AAATTCTGTAATATTCCTGTTTAAACATTTGACAGCAGAGTGAATCCAAGCAAGGTCTGTAGCACTATCATTACACTATTTCTTTAGGATTAGAACGTGACTTTCACCAAGTTTACAGCACTTTATTTACATAAAAGTGGGGTATACGATCCTGGAAAATCGAATTCCATGAAAAATACCACCATATAGAGCGAACAACGACAAGTGCAGCAAGTGCTGTAACTAATGTTGGCTAAGTTGTGGGTTAGCAAACTTTCGCTACAGTTGCTGAGAGGCTAACATGCAGACAGGATGAAACTGTCCCTTAGCCAGCACTCCAGCTCCAGACAGCGATACTCACAACTCTCTGGCTGTTACAGCTAACATCACAACAACAGCATCTCTTGGCAAAATAGAGAGTAAGCTGAATGTCTGTGGACAAGTCATTTAGTGTTACCTGACACATAAATCATGGCTGGAATAGTCTCAGTCTGAGCCACTTTATTCCCCATTTATAGAGCCAGATTGGATAGTTTTCCCAGCGCATACACAAAACAGACAGCTAGTGGACCGGAAGGAGATATTCGCTAAATTTGACAAAAAGCTGTGCATTGTATTAGAATCGCTTACTCCACCTTTTAACTAGGGAAAGTGTACACTTATTTTCCTCTTGATGCTTTGTGGTGAGGCCTGGTTGGAGCAGCTAGTCCTGTTTTGCTGCTCCTTGACACCATGAGAATTGTAAAACGACATTTTTTAAGGCCACAAAATGCTTTTAATTAAACAGTGGGTACATTTGGAAAAAAATATAAGAATGATGCATGTCAGATTAACTCTGCGTTCCTTAAAACAGACTTAAGCAGTCCGTGGCAGGATTAAGATGTCACGTGGCCCAGGGCCATGTAAGGTTGAAGAAAGGTACACAAGGTAGCTTCTATATAAGTCCACCCAGAAACTGACCAGAACTCCTGGAATAATACTACCGGGCCACAGATTTTCTGGGTGTTATTTAGTTTATTGCAATTTCATTAAACTCTAATTTATTAAAGCTGCACTAATCAATACTCTGATTTTAATAAATGGCAAGTGAGAGGGTTAACATAACATGAGTGATATTTCAATATTGTCTGGTCTTGATAAAGGAGCCGATAAAGGATCACATAGTGTAGAAGAAATTATCAACTTCTGGCCGTAGCTGTAAAAGTGTGTAGCTCAACTGCTTAGGAACTTTTAGGATGAGCCTGAAATAATCCCCACCACCCCATCTTCTGCTCTCTCTCACAGATCCTGCACGGTTTTAAGGAGCAGGTTGGGGAGGAGAACTGGCAGCAGTTCTCAGAGCAGTTCCCCCCCCTGCTGAAAGAGAGACTGGCAGCCTGCTATGGCGTTTAGATTCTCTACAGCCACCCAAGAGGTAATCCCACACCTATCATTTTTTAAACTCAAATCAAAGGGATGTAAATGTTTACACTGGAGGTAACTTCTTTGTGTCCACTCTCCCTTTTATCCATCCTCCTAGGTGAGCCTGCAGGAGGAGGGTGAATGGGAAACTCATCCATCTGTGTATTGCACTGCCCAGATCTGGGGGGAGGGAGAGGGACGCTATTGGCCGCTCCCCCTAACGGACGGCCCCCACGCCCTATGTGTTTGTCCATAGAGGGAGGGTGGGCGGGTGGGAGGGAGGGACCGAGGGACACCTCTAGATTAACTAGGCAGGGACCCGACACAGAAAAACTAACTGGTAGGGACAGATAGAGAGGGACAGAGAGATGGACATGGAGGAGAGATGGAGGGATAGACAAGTTGGGAAAGAGGGAGGCAGGGAAACAGACCAGCACAGAGAAAGTTCAGGGAAAGGAGGGAAGGGAGGGAAGTCCGTAACAAGGCAGGGAAAAAGAGCAACAGAACGGTCTGTTATTGGCTGGGAAGACCGGGACAGTTGAGATTTTAATGGGATTCTTAAACTTAAGAGTAACTGATAGCTTGACTGACAGACAGACCAACATACACAGACTCACACAAATACACTTGCACATGCAGTACATAGGACTGGCTGTGGGTGGCACTATTATTTAGACTTTTTGAGACCTACTACGAGTAGTTAGGGACAGACAGGCAGGTGTCTAAACTCTCTTAATTTTCTGGGTGATATCTTTCTTTTCCAAGGGATTAGGATTCACTATGAATTACTTCATCTGTAGTCACCGAATTCTACTTAACTGTAAGATAGTCTCGCTCTCCGCATCTATGTTTCCTACCTTCATTTTGACCAGAGTGCTGCTTCACAGAACTATCCATCTGTCAGCCATGTTCCTGTCACATATTCTACCTGATCAAAAGAGTGTGCAAATGAAAAAAGAGCAAGTGTCTTTCCTTGTGGCTTCAAAGATAGCATTTCTGTAGGAATGGAGGATTAGGGCTAACATTTCCTTTCTCAGCAGAGGGGAGGGAATCGTAGATAACAAATCACATCCTTAGTTGTCTCTTTGAGGTTTTGTGTGTTAGTGTGTGTGTCTTGTGTGCGTGCGTGCATGTGCAGTTTGTAAATCCTTACTTCGGCATTTTGTGTTAACAGTGTGTGAAACATGTATTGTTTTTGATATGGTACCGAGCTAAAACTTGACTCCCACCGCAATGTCCTTGGCACCTGTTAACTGTGACCAAGTGTTTGTGTTTCTGTGTTTCTGTGTGTGTGTGTGTGTGTGTGTGTGTGTGTGTGTGTGTGTGTGTGCGCGCGCAAGAGTGAGTGTGTATATGTTTATGTCTACATTCGTACTGATATCCATTTGATGCCATATTGATATCTTAAGTAAAACAGTGATTGGCAATGTCATTGTGATCTTTATAATGTTTTAAAAATGGTCCATTTTTTGTTTGTTTTGCTGCTACTGATAATTTTTGTTTCTATAGTGGACTTAAATTCGCACAATTAACGCAAAAAATATTTGAATTAATGCTATTTTCAGTGACTGTTAAGTTGTTTTTGCACTTTTTATTTTACCTTTTTTGTATGGACTTTTTTTTTTTTTTTTTTAACCTCACCCATATGATATGTCTTGACCCTAATGTCATTGTTTGTCATACTGTGTTGCACTGTGAAATTAAGTAATTAAGTGTCTTTGACTGGCAAAAATATCCCAATACTAAATGGCAAATAAAACAACTTTGTGAAACTGGGACTAATCCGCACCTTTACAATGACTAACTTTACCATATTGATGAGGTGTGTGTGTGTGTGTATGTGTGTGTGACATACTGCATGAGTGTGAGATCCTGCATGAGTAGGCATGCATGAGTACCTGTTTTGCCTATGAGCATGTTTTGGATAGTTAGTTTAAATGATGTGTGCACAGTAGGGTGCAAATTCATTTTTGTTTGGAAGTGTGTGTAGTCTGCCCCAGCCTACTTTGTGTGCATGCTCTGTGTTTGTGTTTTCACTGTGTGTGTGTGTGTGTGTGTGTGTGTGTGTGTGGGCGCGCAGCGGTGTATGTTTTGACGTATTTCAGCATAATATGATTGCCCTTTACACACCAACACACCACCTCAGTTCACAACGAGAGGTTGTGAAGTATACTTAAAACAAACAAACATAACAGCTAGGACACCGCCAAAGAGCAATAGCCACTGAAATTTAAAAACCGACAACAAGTAGACAACAAGCTGCTAGTTCAATATTCACTATGTGCATCATGATGATGTAAAAGTACAGGCACCGAAGGGCTTTTAAGATTAATCGTGGATTTTGCCAGCAAAATTGATCACAGGGATCTATATTTTTTCATTGGTATTCTGCTAGTGTTTTCCAGCGTGCAGACATTTTGAAACAAACAGATGATGGCACTTGATTTGACCTAGACTGTGACCACTGAGCTTAACAAATCAATCCTTAATCACTTTAAATACAAGACAATCTGAAACCCAGTCTAGTTCTATTTCCACACAGTCTCTTCAAAGCGTGTACGAGAATGTTTTTGGTTGCTTCTTGATTTTTGAAGTTTATTATTTGTGTACCTGATGTTTTTAGTTTCACAAAAGGTTTTTGCATCTGCAATATCAGTGTACATTTTCTTTGGATGATACTGTAGTAGTCCGTGACAGATTCGTGAATAGATTTTGAATAGAGGTAAAGAAGATGGGAACAAAGGAAGGATGAAAGATGATGAATTTCTAAATTCTGTTTATATAATAAAGAGCATTGTTGTTATTATTGCAATTTGGCAGAAAGACTTTGGTACCTCTTGTTTTTCTGTGGATTATTTTCACCAGTTGTGTTCCCCATTTTTGAAGGTGGGAATGGAAATAAAATGCTTTGAGTCTGTTATATGATTTATAGTTAATGTGTGTAACATTTCTTGAAAATCCAGCTGAATTGTGGTTTCTTGAAATAAATCATGTCATGCATGCTGAAGGCTGGATATTAGAGAAGATGGCCAGAGTCCATTTCATTTCGTAAGGCTTTGACAGAGTGTCAATGTGCAAAACTCTTACTTAATGTAAAGAGCCAAACAGAGCTGCAAAATTCTTACATTTCAACACCTGCTGTCTTTACATTTAAATTGTTAAACAGTAAGTCACATGCTGAGGCCTCAGACTACAGGCACCTCTTAACAAGTTTCAATGCTTTTTGACTTTTCATTGAATGTGTCTGTGAGCAGTTCTTAAAGTTAAAGTTTAAAAGCATTACCGTGATGCCCGTTCACCACCAAATGTATGGCAGTGGTGTAAAATAATAATTAATAAATAAATGTCTTTTCTAGACTACAGTTTACTCAGTGGGGCTATAGCCAATGTAGCCTACACAGATATGATAAGCCCAGGTCAGGCTGCTGAGTGTACTAGTTAGTGTAGACTTTAAAGGCAGTTGAAAGATATGTTAGCTCAGAACTAGAGAATAGCGCCACCTGTCATGGGACCCAGTAGATTTACAAAAGCACAGCAACCCAGTCTAATGATTTGTCAAAACATTGATTAACATGAATACACATGCATTGATATCTGACATTCTATTATTTACACATATTCTGAAAGTTTATTTCACATTTTGGGAAGTTTCAGGCAAGCACATTTTGGAGAAAATTCCTTAAAAAGCTACAAGAGATCAGCATCTGTCCTTTTAACATCTGATCTGCTCACTGTAAATTGAAAGACATAAAACTATTTAAAAACTACAACAGAAAAGCGTATCTGCAGCAAAAACAAACATAGTGCATATATGCTGTTATATGAGTCGCTACTCATGGCTCAGAATTATGATTTAATAAAGAGAAACTTTGTGTACTGACCAGGCACCATTTGCATGAATAAGTCTCTCAGTAGAAGGTCTGCCAGTCATTAATGCCATTGTTTAATGCAGTGTGTTGGAAGATTTCTGACACATCCACAGAATGTTGTCCATCCTTATAGATACTGTAAAGTAAGCATCTATAGATAATACTATTTGATATCTTATAGTGGACACAGAACAGAATTTAATTGTATTACTACTAATGTCACTACCTGCCTCTTTTTCCTTGGATTGGACCAGTACTTGAGATAATAATATGAGCAGTGAAGAATCATATTATTATCATAATATATATTTTTCTCTTTGCATTCTGGCAGTGGGGAACGAAGTATTCAGATCCTTTAACTTTCTTAAAAGTATCATACCACATTGTGAAAATACTCTACTACAAGTAAAAGTCCTGCTTTCAAAATCTTACTTTAAAGGTATGTAAGTATTATCAGCAAAATTTACTTAAAGCATCAAAAGTAAAATTACTCATTAGGCAGTAAAATGGTACCTGTCTGTGTTTTACTATTATCCTGGCTCTGATTGGTTGTTTTGACTTGGGTGACTTACAATAAGCCTTAGAAGAAGAGATTGAGCGGGTTCTCTTCCACATGCTAGGAAGGGGACTCTGTGGCAAGGAGTCTTCAGTCCATTAGTATCTGCAACCTCACTGCTAGATGCCACTAAATCCTACACACTGGTCCTTTAATGCTTCAATTGATCAAAAGAATAAAAAATGATCAAATTTGGAGATACATGGTTTGAAAAGGTACTATCAGACAAATGTAGTGGAGTAAAAAGTAAATACTAGTAGGCTACTATACTGGAGAAACTCAAATTTGCACTCAAGCACAGTACAAATTCAAGGTACAAGGGGTCAGAAATTGCTGAAGATCTCTTGTCTCTTGCTCCAGTCCATAGGAGGTGCTCTCTTTTTGTTGCGGTTGGCGAGGGCCTTTTGTTTAGCCTCAGCAGCTGTGGGACTCAGTCTCAGGCCACTGTCAATGAAAGGGTCCGAAACACGCCTGTCATTCTCATCGGGGACCTACAGTACACACAAACGTACGTGTTTTATGCACACACTCACCAACGTCTCATTTTCTGTTTCATTTCTTGCATTATTTCTCTCACACTTCTCCTCTCACCGAGCTGCTGATCTCTGATTGGGTGGTAGAACTTCTTGAGGATGCTGAGCTCCTGTTGGCCCGGGATTTTGGAGTCTTGTCTGTGTTTGGGGAGTCTGTCAGTGTGACGTTTATGATTGGTGGACCTGTGGCAGGGAGTTCAGAGGTCGGAGAGGGCGTGGGTGATGCGCTTTCTGTGGCTGATTCTTCCACATAGACCTCTGTGAGAGAGTAAACATTAACACATGAGGCATTTTGTCTGGAGAGTATGAGAGTTGTGTACCGTAAAACTTCAATTAATATCCCAGGCTTTTATTTGCTTCAATCACTGAACTCACCCTGCCTATATTTGGAACAGGCCTTTAATTCCTTTCACACAAAACTATCTAGGCCGAGAGAGAGAGAGAGAGAGAGAGAGAGAGAGAGAGAGAGAGAGAGAGAGAGAGAGAGAGAGAGAGAGAGAGAGAGAGAGAGAGAGAGAGAGAGAGAGAGAGAGAGAGAGAGAGAGAGAGAGAGAGAGAGACCATGTTGGTAAATCTGACTGAATAAGACTTTGGTGCTCATTGTTTCCATAAAAGTGGACTTGTGGAGAATCTAACCAATGTGATGTGTAGCATGTCTATATTTACAAGTTTAAACATTTATATTTGAATGTGTGATATAAGCAGCTTACAACTAGCTCAAGAGGACGACCTGGTGGGGTTTAAGAGGTTTTATACATCCAGAGAACTATGAAAACCAGACTAAGCTTCTAATTGAGACCACAGCGTTTATTTGTCAAAATCTGTAACCACACCAGGCCAGTAAAAGGGACAGGCAACTTATTGGGACTAGGTTTTAATTGAAGTTTTACGATATGTGTGTGCATACAATCTAACCTTTGTCATGGCTGGTGGCGGGTGTGATGCCCAGGGTATGGAAGAGCTCGTCTGTCTCCTGATCGACCACTAGTAGGCGCACTTCCTCCCCTCCTGCTCTAATTAGTGCAACCACCTCTGAGTGCCTCAGGCCCTCTATGTTCACTCCATTCACCTGAGAAGCAGAGAAAAAGGAGATGTCAGAGTAAACAGAAACAGTGGAGGACAAAGAAGTGAAGAGATGCAGAGAAAATGATTGACAGACTTAATGAGACAGACAGGAGACAGGGGCAGTGATTAGGAAGTAGTCGTAGTACTATTGGTATGTCTTGCCTTACAGACCAATAACTGTTGAGCAGAAACAAGTTTATTTGTATGAATTCCCTTCCTGCCTCCACACTTTTCCTCTACACAACATGAAGTGTACACCACCAATGGAAATGGAAATTATGTCTCACTCATGCAAGTACACATACAGTATCTCACAAAAGTGAGTACACCCCTTACATTTTTGTAAATATTTGATTATATCTTTTCATGTGACAACACTGAAGAAATGACACTTTGCTACAATGTAAAGTAGTGAGTGTACAGCTTCTATAACAGTGTAAATTTGCTGTCCCCTCAAAATAACACATCACACAGCCATTAATGTGTACTGCTGGCAACAAAAGCGAGTACACCCCTTAGTGAAAATGGCCAAATTGGGCCCAATTAGCCATTTTCCCTCCCCAGTGTCATGTGGCTCGTTAGAGTTACAAGGTCTCAGGTGTGAATGGGGAGCAGGTGAGTTAAATTTGATGTTATCGCTCTCACACTCATACTGGTCACAGGAAGTTCAACATGGCACCTCATGGCAAAGAACTCTCTGAGAAAAAAAATGGTTGCTCTATATAAAATGGCCTAGGCTATAAGAAGATTGCCAAGACCCTGAAACTGAGCTGCAACACGGTGTCCAAGACCATACAGCAGTTCAACAGGACACGTTGTCCTCAGAAAAGGCATCACATCTGTGCAGTATCCTCAAACGGAAGGTGGAGGAGCGCAAGGTCTCTAACATCCAGCAGCTCCGTGATGTCGTCATGGAGGAGTAGAAGAGGACTCCAGTGGCAACCTGTGAAGCTCTGGTGAACTCCATGCCCAAGTCTAAGGCAGTGCTGGAAAATAATGGTGGCAGCACAAAATATTGACACTTTGGGCCCAATGTGGACATTTTCACATAGGGGTGTACTTTTGAGGGGACAGCAAATTTATACAAGCTGTACACTCACTACTTTACATTGTAGCAAAGTGTCATTTCTTCAGTGTTGTCACACGAAAAGATATAATCAAATATTTACAAAAATGTGAGGGGTGTATGTGAAATACTGTATCTCCAAGTCTTTGATGCATGTCTAATCCAATCACACCTCAAATCAGCGCGCAGGCCTGGTTAATGTGGGGAGTGGTGGCATTGTTTTTCCCATCAATTAAAGTACCTCTGGCAATGCATGTATACTCTGAAAAGGGGAACAGGGGTCACACTTCCGCCTCATATATTTTAATATGTGTGCGCTTTGGTTGTACCTCCACTAGTCTGTCTCCAAGCCTGATGTCTGCACTCTCAGCAGCTGAGCCAGGGTCCACTGAACGCACAAACTGTCCACCCTTTGTCTTATCGCTGTGTAGGTTGAAGCCATAGCCCTTCTCCCCCTTCACCAGGTGACACAGACGTGGAAGGAGCTCAGCTGTTGGCTCCGGTGAGAGCTGCGCCTGCGCTTATAACAGGACATAAGACAACAGCAAAGTCTAGAATGAGAACTTTACAAAAATGTACAAATATTTAATAAGGAGGCAGAGTTAACAGATTATTAGTTGTTTTTTTTTTTTGTTTGTTTTTTACAGACTTTACAAAAACAGGATATTTAATAAGGAGGCAGAGTTACCAGATTATTAGTTGTTTTTTTTGTTTTGTTTTTTACAGACACTGTAATATTGATTTCATGTTTATTGGCCAGCCCAACTAAATGTGTACCTAGAGTGTGTATATGAGCTAAGCAGGAGAAAGTGGCAAGATGAGCCGGTGGTCTCAGAGCTGAGCAGAGTGGGCTAAGTGGATCTAGCTGAGAGACATTAAGACAGATCCTGAACCTAATGACCACTGACAGGAGTACTATGTACATGTTGGATGTGTGTGTGTGTGTGTGTGTGTGTGTGCGCGCACGTGTGTTCTGTGCCAGGATCACGCATTAGTCCCTGTCCTGAGGCTAGCCCAGGAAAGTGACTGTCTAGTGACACTGCTTCATGGGTAAGCTTACCTGAGAGAGCTTTATGAAAGATCTGTTTTTCCTATTGTCTTGATAATCAGTAAATCTTAGTATCAATAAGTAAATATTTACAATTTATTTAGCAACAATGCCAAACATTTACTAGTTCCAGTTTTTTAAATGTGACAATTTGCTGATTATCTTTGTTTTAAATGACTGTAATATATTTGGGTTTTGGACTGTAATTTGAAGCGGTCACCTTGGGCTCTGAGAAATTGTGATGGGCATTATTTCACTATTTTCTGACATCTAACTAGAACAAACAATCAATCGATAAATCAACAAAGTAATATCAAATTAGTACCTCCAATTTAATATTTTACTATATTGGAGCTTACTTTTTATACCTTCTTCAAAGTGTTATCACATTTTCTTATATTTTACAGATAACTGAATTGTGTGGCTGTGATAGCAGCCAACACTGTGGTTATGTAAGACAACTGTATATGGGTGTCTGCTGCCATGTCACAGGATGAATGACACAGAGGTGGAGAGATGAGAGGGAGAGACTCTGTGTATGCACAAACAGAGTGAGTGTCTTTTGCATGCTTGAAAAACGCAGGGCTTCAGTGGTGTTGGCCTGGAATTAATACACTGTAATAGTTTCTGCTGCTTAATTAGTGGACAAAAATAGTCAGTCACATACATAAGATTTGTTGAAAAGGTCTATAAATTGATGCCACAATATTTTTAATAGATGAACATTATGCAAACACTTAACCAGTTTCACATGCAGTACAGTCAGGTAAACTTAAGGTACTCTTAGCAGTGGAAAAAGCTGAAAAGGTTCATTCTTCAGGCCATCTTAGGTAGAGCAAAGAGAAAATGCATATTAAAAGCCATTATTTTGTCAGGTATATTAATGGTTAAAAGCACAGGCCATTTGTGCCCTCAACAGGACTTTGTATTGTGTTTGACGGTCCCATGTTACTCCATGTAGAGGAGGTGGACACATTCATACCTGCATAATATAATGCATTTTTTCAGCACTAGAATGAAAAATATATTTCTGAAGCTTATAAAGTTCAGCTTTGGTTGAAGTGGTCAGCTGATATTTGGAGCCACAGCTGGTGGTGATAGAATAGGATATGGTGTACAGGTGCTGCTTATACTGCATATTATGGAGTTTCATCTGAACCTATAACCAAAAGTGATGCCCAGACAAGGGGAAGCCTGTATTTACCCTGCATTCGGCTAAACAGATGGCAGTTTGATATGGTGCTGAGGATCCTGGTCCACTTTGTTTGGAGCCCAAACACTGAGCAGGCTGACACTGAGATGTCACAGTGATGTCAGGCAGTTTTCTGCCATGTCATTAGTTTGTGTGTATAATGTTTGTTACATTACCAAAGCTTTGAAAGAATGTGTCTAACTATATCTGATTGCTCCTGTAAGGTCAGTGGTACACAAATAACAATAACAATACCTACCCAAACAGTTTGAGTGTGCAACATTTATTTTATCTGTCTATTTATCTATTACTATCTTAAAATCTGATTCCTCGCAAGGTCTGCTTGGTACGTTCTTTCTTCCCAGCAGACACTCAAAGCCTGCTTTGTTAAAATCCACTCAAATGAAAGTCGAGCAGACCAGGTGAGTGATAAAATCTAAACTCATATTGGACAGTGCGTTACAAAGCCCTCCCTCATCAGAGCAGACTGTTAAAGGAAAAAGACATTTAGATTCTAACTAAGGGAAAAAAATATTTTTATGAAATTCCTGCTAAATTTGAATGTTTAAATGTCTGTATAAAAAATAGAATAACATCCTGAACAAATCTTTAAGGTAAATTCAACTCTCAGTGAACTGAGTACATGGAGTACACCTCCACCTAGTGCACAATCTCCAAAATGATGATTCAATAGTTTGACTAAACAACTAAACAGTTCTGCATGTGCAGCATACATGGTCAGTTGAGCAGGGTTTTTTCTCTGATGTCTGCAGTCAGGTGCGAAGAATCATGTGTGAGGTGTTAACACTCTGTGTGCACAAAGAGACAGCACTCCTTAAATACAATAATGCATTTTAAATCTTCACACCGCTTAGAGTTTACAGTGGCTTGTAAACAGATAACAATGGCTTGAGATTATATTTAAGCAGATGTTTGAAAAATAATGAAAGTTAAAAAGAGGACAATAAAACCCACTGTTGCAATGTGGCTGAGAGGGGGTGAGAAATCCTTTTAAACCTGCTGTAATTATACTTTTTATTCACTCTTCTATTCAGTTTTTCACCGTTATTGTAGCCTAATTTCGACTGGAGGAAGAGGGATTATGCAGTGTTTTCGTGCTGTGTAGGTATTATCCCTGTTCAAGACATCCAGCTGATGAAAATAAAGAAAGATAAATTCAAGTCACATAGTTATTAATATCCTTTCAAACCAGCCAATCTTTACTTTCAACCCTGCATAAGTGCCTCCACTTGGATGTTTTCTTACTCCCTTTTTGTGGCTTCAATTAATTTGTTCCTTTTTTTCTCCAGTGCACCTGAGGTTTGTGCTTGAAATTTTCTGTCCCACCTGTTCAGAGAAGTAATCAGACTCTTTAAGGGCACTGCACTGGGACTGAATTTAGCCAAGCAGATCACCCAAGTGTTCAAATCCAGATTAGTGCTAGACACGCATCAGGCTAAAGAGTATATATAGCCTACTCAGTGTCACACAAACTCTTGACACAGTAACACATTGGCTAATTGCTGTCAGCCAGAGAGACCAACTAACCATTTCAACTCAATCTGGACTCTTCCTTTCATTTCTCTTCTAATAAAAACTATGCATATAATCAATAACATCAATGTTTCATGTGATCTTCTAGTGCTAATAAGAGACCACAAACAAGGGTCTGATGTAATGAAGTCCACCCTTACCTCTGTGTCTGTCGCGGTACTTGATGTCTCTGAGGATCTCTTGGCCTTGCCTTGTGTGATAGTTTGTGTGGGTGAGCCTGCAGCAGGACGGTGAAATGAGTGTGTGTGGTTGGGTTTTGGTGACAGGGTCTTTTTGGGTAAGGGAGAGGTACAAGGGGCAGGTTTGGGTGAGGGGCGTGGAGAAAGTGTTCCCATCTCAATGGCCAGGTCCTCGGTGCAGGCCAGGCCATGTCTACGGAAGTGGTCATCAGTGTCTCTGTCCACCACCAGCAGCCTAGTGCGGTGAGCCACCTCACGGATACGATTCACCACCTGCAGGGAGGAGAGAGGAGTAACAGAGTGGACCTTAAGACACCGGTTAGTGTGGTGAGATTCTGTGCATTCTGTTCCCCCTATATTGGCCTTTACATACTAGTGTGACAAAGACACACAGTGATTCCCACAAGGCTCACAATGACCCATTTTAATAACCCCCCCCCACAGGCAAAGTAAAAAGTGGCCCAACAGGTAGCCTATATAACTCATTGTTTGTACCTCGAAGAGTCTAAGACTTTTCTGGCTTCTCCATACCACAAAGGCATGGAGCTATTTATTTAGCCATGACTCACTTGATGGTGGGTTTCGTTCTCCACATTCTCCCCGTTCACCTCCACCACCCGGTCTCCAGGTCGCAGCCCCGCCAGGTCAGCCGAGGAGCCGGGCTCCACTTTGCGGATGAACTGACCGCCTTTATTCCGCTCACCGTGCAGGTGAAACCCATAGCCGCGCTCTCCTTTGGTCAGGTAACAGACCCTGGGTCTCAGCTCACTCTCCATCCCAGCGCGTCAATAGTTGGGAAACAGGTCAAAGTGTCTCAGGAGAATAAACAGGTGATTGGTACTAGAGCGGTGGAAAGTCTCTGGCTCTTAATCCAAAATCCGGCTGCGCGCTTCAGTGACCAAATGGTCATCATCGTTTAGCATAATGCGAGTCCTTTAATAATCCACAATTGTTCAGATAGCACAAATATACAACTAGGCTAAAACTAATGTGAGTGTTTAATCCACCATGCAAATGCCAGGTCGAAAATATGAGCCCGCAAAAAGATTGTGCCCATTGAGCGTAAAACACTGGCCAAAAACCCCGGACAGGGTTCACGTCCAGTGCATCACAGGAGTAATCCAAGACATCAGAGATTAGAAAGCTGTTCGTCGGACGTAACACTTAATTCTCCTCCTCCTCTGTCCTCCTTCCCGAGCAGGTGCGAGAGTGAAGAGGCGTCAACATCAGATGCCACCACGTCCCCTTCAGCGCACACCTGACAACGCAGCGCAGCAGTGATGTGCTGGCAGTAAATTTAAGCCTGTTAACAGTAACGAGGCTGTTAGGGATTGCTGTAAAAATGTAGGCAGTTTGTTTCTGGATGAAACGAGTCTGCAACCAAGATGCCTCTGAAAAACGTTCAATGCAATGCTAAGGAGATTTGCTCCGGTTACATCCCGTCTAGAGAGGCTCCACCTGAGGGGTGGAGGTGAAACCAGACTGGCGGAAATCTCCCATATCCGCCCTCTATCCCTGTCTTCACAGGAGATCAATACAGGTTGCGTAAAAGGAAACTTAATTTTTCATGAAATATAAGCTTTCATTGTGTTTGTGATGCGTAACTGAGGCTTGCTTGCATTTATCCATTTAAAAGGGAGTCTCTCAAATCATCCAGGGCAACCAAGGTTGGGGGTGTGTGTTCTTGATATTCAGATCAGGAAAGATGAGACTTTCAGAAGATTTTTGCACTTCAAGTCATGTGATCTGTGAAATCCTCAACATATGCCCAGAGATAATGTCTGTTGTCTGGTAATATAAATAAAATTGAATTGAGCTGAATTCAACACTGCAACATGTTCCCTTGAGCAATACATTAAATGCATATTCAAACAGTGAAATATTAAATTACTGCATCTGAATCACTACTGTCAAGCTGCCTTCAGCAAGGCACTTACAAAGGTGCTCAGTGGCCAACACAACAGTAGTGCAAGCTCAGTGCAAATGTGCATAACTGTAAATGTAAGTGGTCAGTCAGCTCTCCCTTAGTTAACAACACCATTAAGAAAAAAACAAAAGCAACCAAATAACTACAATAATACTATCTACTAAGCCACAAATATACGCACTGTATAACATTTTACAGAGGTTCCAGTCAAGGGTATTTATATCTGTAACAGGCCTTTTTCACAGAAGAAATTTTGCCTTGTAGCACGACACAGGTGTAAGTAATAACATTAACAATGACTCTGTTCCATTTAAGTGTCACAGTAAGCCATGGCAGTCAGCCAACATGAAATACTAGGTGCCTTGGAAGTGACACACCTAATGACATGAAGTTGAGTTCAACCATGTTTTTATGAACGGAGGCTGTGTTTGAACTAATGTGGCTCTTGGGTTCTTTCCAAAGTGAAATATCCTTTTCATCCTGCCTTTACAAGGTTTATATCAGTGCTTTTTAAAGTTGATAGTGTTTGGCCAGCTCTTTACAATTATTTTCTATTTACTGACTAATTTGGACTAATATCTAGCATACTTTAGGGCAGTGGTTCTCAAACTGGGGGACGGGCTTTCACTTTTTCCAGCCTCTAAAGGGGGGCGTGACAGAAGAAGTTTCAGAACCACCGGTTTAGGGCAAGATGGGACTACTAAAGTTACTAAATTGATAAACACGGCCAACACAGCCAAAACAGCTTTTATGAATAAGGAATTGAGACCATTTACTGTATTTAAGTATATTTCATGTTGTTTCATCACAAGTATATTATATATTCCAGGTACAGTATTGACTTAAATATTATGTTATAAATGGGTTTAGTGTCGATACATACAATTTTTTAAAGTTTATGTTGTTGTTACTTTTCCCTCAATATGCAACAGGCATACTCCCTCTACTGGACAAACTTGAAAAATGACCTTCAAATCCAGTTTCAGGACAAACATGTTTTTATTTGGTAATAAAGAATTAAGCACTAACAGTACAAAAATATATAATCTCAGATAGAATGTAAAAGGTGTTGTTATATTGTCAGTGATGAAAACACAAATATCACAATAATCACATCAGCATTTAGCTTAGATGCATGTTTTCAGTGTGTGCGTATACATTGAAGTCTTTTTGTCACCGCTCGGACAAACTTATGTGACAACCAACTTAATGATTAACCTTGCTTTTTAGCTTCCTTCTCTGCGTGGTCGGGGAAATGGGTGTGGACCGTGGCTCCTTCTTTGTTCTCTCATCTTTAACAGCAAACTCCGGTTCAGTTTTGGTTTTAAAGGAAGAGGTTGGACTCAGAGACCATGGAGATCTAGCTTTAGGCCTCTTTGTAGGAGAGTTCTTGTGGGCAGATGGACAGCTGTGCTGGTTCAGACACACTGAGCAGAGAGGGTTGATGGGTAGACAAACCTGCTGTCCGAAGCCCACGAGCAGCCAGTTGATCTCACTCCACAGCTCCCTGCAACAGAGTTAGAGAGGAAATCTCATGCTTACTGTAGACCTGTATTAATTGTTTTTTTTTGCTCATTTGGGAATAGCACTGTAACAATAACATATTATCACCTTTTCCGCTGACATGGGAAACTTGTTAGCCAACAGCTGCATTTTTACACATCTAGCAGATGTGGAGCATCATAGAGTAAAGTCTGCAGGGCGTAAAACCAAACAACGCAGAAATGTTCCAGGGGAGCTGCAGTGTTGGGCGATAATTCTCTGAGGGTTCATCACTACAACCGACCCCTCTCATATTCCATGTAGTCATTTGATCCCAATGATAATCTAAAAATATTGATTAAAGCAGCTTTAAATCATCGGCTGCTAGCAAATTAAAGACATAGTGGTTTGTTTCTGTATATAATTATTTCACTTAAACAGCTATATGATCTAATTCTAAAATATGCCCAAATCTGACAGGTATATGTAGAAAATGTGCACAAAATATTGTATCTCCCTGTTTTGAACTACCAGAGGTTACTGTTCCTGTAATAGGTTAAAATCATTGTTGGCAGAGACAGACTTACTGAAAATCATTTTGCAGATGATGGATTTGTCATTCCTCATCATTAAAAATGAAATTACAACAGTTACGTTACTCATATAGTGAGGAGTTCCTATTAACCACCAGAGTCAATGATGTGCTGTACGCATCTGGGTCAGTCCTGGTGACTCTGATCTTCATAGATTTGTTGGTCTCTATATTGATCAGGTTGTTATGGGTCAGTGGTGAATCAGTCATGCTGTTACCTGGGTAACCACTCCTCCAGGGCCTTGCGTGTTTCCTCTGGGTTCTTGGTTGGTTTCTTGAGCCATCCCAGCCTATTCGAGATACGATGCACGTGTGTGTCCACACCTACACAAAAAAATCAGCACTATAAATGAGACACACACACACACATAACCATTTACATTTACAGAAAACAGTGAATGGTGATGTTGGACTCACTATGTCTACTCTAAACAGATAAACTGTATTTTTTCTATATCTGTTTAATCTGTTATTTTTCTGAAGCGATTATCCAATTAATCATCAAGTCACTTATGAAGCACCACTGCCAAACAATACCCAATTCCTGCTTCTTAATTGTGAGTTTTATGTTTTATAGAATTTAGTTTATATTTGGACTGTTTGTGATGGACATTTGTTACTATTTTCAGACATTTTAAAGACCAAACAATCAATTAATTGAAAAAAAATAATGAGTTGATGAAATAACAATTAGTTGCAGTCCTAGTAGTAGCCTCTTTCTTTTCAAACACTGCGGCACAATGGCGTGCACGGATTGAGGTATTCTGACATGTTAACTGAAATATAAAAACTTAAAAATATATTTGTCTCTCTGGGCGTCACAAATATACAGGAGTCGTACCGCCAAAGAAAACTTGATAACTATTGCCTTAGTTATCAAGAGGCAGACTGACGCTTGTTTCCATCTATATGTGACTATTTATTCCATCTGATTTGTAAGTTAATGCTCATGCTTCAGGAGTGTGCCCCCACCAATGCCGGACACCTGGTCCCAGGCGATGTCCATAGCCAAGTGAGCCATCTTAGGTCCAACTCCGGGCAGGCGGACCAACCCCTCCACGCTGTCTGGGATGTCCCCGCCAAACTCCTTCTGCAGCATGGCCGATGTCAGCTTAACATACTTCACCTTAGTCTAAAAAAGGGTGGGGAGAGAGAAACCATTCAATAAGGTGCTAAACTGATGAAAGGAGAAGGGTGAGAGGATGGAAGCACAGCTCCTAAACCGATTTCATTAAGGTTAAGTGATGTAACACATAAAAAAAGACTTCTGCATTACCCTCCAGAAGCCGACGGGGTAGATGAGTTTTCCCAGTGTTTCGTCATCAGTAGCGAGTATATTTTCCACCGTACAGCCGTGAGCTCGGAGCTTCTGCATAGCTTCTGCTGTCACCTGGTCCTTGGTTTGGCTAGACAGCATGAGTGAAACCAGCACCTGGAAACGTCTCACCTGTGCCGACAGACAAGACAACAGAGGGAATCAGATTGAATAGATTTTAACTACTGAATTATTTTGAAAAAACTGAAACCACACCTACACGTGCAGGGGCCTCTGTGTCGTAGCATTTCTCTGCTCCCATGTTGTCCACAGGTGCATCACGGCCGCTCCTCATCTCCTGAATGTATCCTAATTGTTTCTTCCAGTCGAGAGGTTCCCAGTGCTCAGTCTTCACCGGTGTTGCGCCTTCATCCCCGTCATATTCCACCTTTAACTGTCTCCTCCTCTGGCTGTGTGAAGACAGTGGTAAAGTGTCCGTTTCTGTTTTTGGTTGTGCCATCCTGTCGGGGAAGAGTTCAGGGCAACCACCTGAATGAGCACAGGGGAGAGAGAATGAGAAATATCTGACCCAGCAGGCAACAAAGCAAGTGTGCATTAAAAAGAGAGTAGACTGTGTGGCAAAAAGTTTCTAGACATCCGTGCAAAGTATGTGATCACCTCATTGAAGATCACATAAGTAGTATGTGTGGTGCATAAAGACTGAATGCTGCTTGTCCGTGTTTAATTTTGACAGTAGTTGAGCCTAATGATTTTGTATCGTCTTAAACACAAAGTAGTCCCTGTTCTTAGGATTTAAACCAGTTTAGCACTGTCCCAGAAAGTCCCACCCAGTTTTCCTGTGTGTGTAGTAATATGTTGATGTCAATTGTTTTGAATGCAGCACTGAGATCTAATAATACTAAGACTGAAACTTTTCCATTGTCTGTATATGAGTGGATCCCATTCAAGACCTTAAGAGCAGTCTCTGTGCTGTGATGTGGTCAAAGTCCTGTCTGGAAAACATCAAAGCAATTGTTTAGGGCCAAGAGAGTGTTAAGCTGTTAAAAAAATTACTAAAAAATGACAGGGTTGATATGGGCCTGTAAGTGTTCATTCGTGAGTTATCTTTATGGTTATGTTTTAATAACTGCAGTTTTCAGGGCCTGTGGGGAACAGCCTTAGAGTTAAGGTGTGATGACTGTTTAAAGAAGTCTGATGCCATGCAGTTAAAAACATGTTTGAAAAAGCCTGTAGGGAGAATATCAAGGCTTTATAGCTGTAAACCTTCAGTGGAAGGTAGGACAATACTATACTCTATATCTACACCTGGTTAAACATTGCATGGTTTAGTGGATTAAAGTTCAGCTTCAGCACAGTAGGATTTGCCAGCCTGTCAACAGTAGCAAATAAGGCATTATTGTTGTTTTTGGTAACAACCATGGCAGCTTTCGCAGCCCTGGAGCAGACAGTCTGTAAAGCTAGTTTATGACTTAACGTTATGGTTAATTTGTGTCTGTGTTGTGTAACGTTAACATTACCCGTTGATAAGGGGGCCGAGGAGGGTCTTTGCTCGCAGATCCTCGCCTCATCATCATCATCATCCTCCTCCACTTTCACGGCCACAGAGGAAACTGGATCCACATTCCTCCGTCTGTTGGTAAGTTTGGACTTGAGAGAGGCCGCAGGTGTGCAGCCAGCATTTTGATTACCACTCCGAGTGATTACAGACCTGCTTTGCATGAAGTAAGGAGAGGCCATAAAGAAACACTGGACGACATAACAGACCCTCGTGCTGCAGCGGGGGTGAAGCATTTAGATGAAGATAGTTTCTCATTCGTAGTTTCTGGTCACGAGGGGAAGTTGAATCCCTTGAATCCCTTATATAAATAAATGCATGAAGGAAATAACAATCATTTTGATAAAACAACTTAAATTGGTATTTTAAATTTAAGCTCAAAAAACACTAAGATACTAAAACAGAATTAAATAACACAGCTCTTCTGAGCTAGTCTGAGAATCATTTAATTTAATATCTAGGACAGTGAAGCACAACAAGGTCTACAGTGTCTTCCTGATCACAAAAACCACACTTCCCTGAGTTCCTATTTTAAATCTAGTACTGTCCTCCATCATCTCAGTTTAATCATTACTACTCCTGCTTTTACAGTATACCTAAAAAAACAACACAACTTGTTCTCTTTTCCTCTAACTGCTTTCATTATCTTCCTTCACAATCTATGCTTATTAAAAACACTTTATTATGTCTTACTAAAATTCACCATCAGGTCAATATTTGCAGCCTCTTTTGCTAATTTACAAGCAATTCTACTAATTAGTAGTTATTATGGATTTGATGTACAGTTGGAACATAATGAAAACATCTGGTCTATACTCCTTGAATGACTATCTTTTTAACAAATTGGTCATGAGCTTGACTTTGGACATACATCCAGAGACCTCATACAGTATTATTGTAACGCCAACAAAACTGTTACCATTTGCAGTGCATTATTAACATAATCAGTAGTATGTTGTGTTTACACCAAAGTACTTATAAGGTACCTTAACTTACAGCGAATAACGTTAAGTATTTTGCTGTTTCTACTACTTACCATTCGAAATGTTTGTTTCGCTCCTTTTTTCACAGCAATCTTTAGCATGCTCTTGACCATATAACATAGCAATACAACAAAGTTGAGTTCAATGAAACAATTCAATTACAAGAAGTCAACCTTGTTTTCGAAAAAAGCTCCACTCACAGGCAGCCTGACGGTACGGCTTCTGACTCCAACATGGAACCAACTTCAGCACCGTTAGCATGTTTAGCTAGCCGCTACTTAGCCGTTAGGTACTAACGTTTCAGTTTTAGTAACATGTATTGATAACGTTACTGTTCTAGTTTTTCGCGGCTGTTGGGAAACAGAACAGATGCGTGCAGTTACTGTAAATGTTTTGCTCTGCATTTGTCATGATAAATAATCCCAGACTTATAAACGGCTGTTAGCATAGTTTGGGTTTAGCTTGATCAGAACTACATTTCCCGTCAAGCGAAAGCAGTGAACGTGTTTTTGTAGGAAGTGGCCCTGTCAGAACATTAGTGTGTCATCCGGTTGAGGACCAGCTTTCAGCAGCAAGTACAGAGTAATATAAATGCACAGACACATACAGCTCTGTTAGGTTAACGTTAACTGCATATGGACGAAGCTGTAAGTCAATGAAACCGAAAGTGACTTTTCTCCAATAAGGTGAGAGGGGGAGAAGGGGAGAGGGGGGGGCGTGCAGTTTTTTTATGCTACCAGACCTTGAATGCCACAGAGGATTGCTAACTCAGACCTCGACAGGCAACGTAATGCCTGACGTTATCTAACGGTTTAAGTTAATAGGTTGCATTTCTCCTGATTAGACCATGTTTATTTTGTCAAGTGCTCATGGATGTAATTTGCTCTGGTGGGAGGCTACCTTGCATCGATGTGGTGGTGGTGGTTGTTATTGTTGTTGTTGTTGAACTGAAACAGTGAAGTCGTTGTCTGTCTGCTCACCTCCCCTCCCCTCTGTCAAGTCCACATGACAGCTAATTTCCAAAACCTGGTTTATACATGTAGCCACAGGCTGGGACTCCAAACTTCACTGCTGGATAATAGTGGGTGGGAGTCTGGAATGGTCTGTTCACCTTATTTACATACTTAACTGACCTGTTATGGTTTCGAGATGCAGCCATAAGTGTAATAAATGTCTGTTAATTAAGATTGTTGACCTTTGTTATCTTAGGCTGGTTGGGTGTCATGAGAAAGAAAATATCCACCTTACAGACAGAGTTATGGTACAATAATATACAACCGTTTAGTGAGAATACACAATTTATAACAGCTAGAAGTGCACAGCCCAGGAGAGACAATTACCAAATTTTCTCACCACATTCGTATTTCCTGGAAGACACTTAAGACTTCAAACTGCCAAAGACTGAGAAGGAGACAAAAAGATAAATGAGGGACAAAATGACAATAGTCATCATAAATAGAAATCTTATTTCATCATGCATAAGAAGTTCCCTTTAAGATCCATATTAAAACTCCACACTGCCCAAATGTTGAGTCATTGGAAAAAGACAACAAAGAGAAGATGACGTGAATATGGGGGATATATTAGAGTTAAACTTAGGTATACAATTGCAGCTCTCTGACGCACCTGGACAGATATATTTCATGATTTTGCTGCAATAATCAATCAAGGGTAACCCAACAGTGTTTCCTTCTGGAAACAGCATCTCAGTTACTCTGGGTAATCCACATACCTCACTGTGAACATTTCAGTGGGAGTCACTGAAGAAATAGTTCATACGAAAACTAGTAGGTGTTTGTATATTGGGATAACTGACTGTTTAGATCTTTAGCATCATATTTGCTTAGGTAATGCTAAATCATAGGAAAAGGTAATTGCTGATGCTTTTAATAGCTCTGTGAAAATTGATTTTACAATTGCAATGGGTTTTGTTTGAGCACACGTATGTTTTACTTTGACCATCCATCAAACTGCTTGCCTTCAAGAAACGTCACGTCTTTCTATCCTTTAGCTTTTGCACTTTAATAACCGAAGCTTACTGTGATGCATAATGTAAAATGTGTGTTACTCTTTTTCCAGGCAGCCGTCAGTCCCAGCCTGTGCAGTCTACCACGCCTCCAGGTTGGGCCATGAATAAACAACCAAGCAAGGAGAGTCTCAGGGACAAGGTGAAGGGGATCTTTGGGCTGGGACCCCCACGACCACCAAGCAAACAGAGTGATAACAGACCGTCTGAGTTTATCATTACGACTGACATTATCAAGGTGTGCAGAAGAGAACACCTGTGCATGCTCATATGCACTCAAACTCACCACGCTTTGAATTTCCATGTCATCATGTTCTGCATCGTGTCATGACCTTGTTGTTTTTCAGGAGCTCCACCCGGACTGCGGTCTGAGCAACCGTGTTCGCATGATGAACCATGTCTGTGATCTTGCCAAAACTAAAAAATTTGAGGAGGTGAGTCTGCACTGGGTGTAGTATTTTTGTCATAGCAGTACATGTAGTCTTATTTGTTTTGTTTTTAAATCTGTGTGCACATGCGTATGTGTGTTTCAGCATGGAGTGGAGGCAGTATGGAAAGCTGTGGAGGACATGCTGTCTCCAGAGCAACCACCTGAAGCCAGACACGCTGTCCTGCAGCTGCTGAGGGCCATTATACAGGGACAGGTACATAGACACAATGCGCACACACACAAGCAAATACAAAATGTGAATATAGCTCCTGTTATCTTATGAAAGCCACGTTCACTGTTCATGTGAAGGGTGAGCGGCTCGGCCCGCTGAGAGCCTACTTTTTCAAGGAGATCAGAGACTACCAACCATGCAACGAGGACCTATCTGATAGGCTGGAAGTCTTCAAAGCCTTAACTGAGAACGGGAAAGACATCACATACCTAGAGGAGGACATAGGTAAAACAAACAAATATTAAAGCACTTTCAAAATGTATTATCAGCATAATTCATCACCATAATCCTCTTTCGTTTTGAATTGCAATGTTAATATTTGGATTTGATAATCTTGATTCCAGTGATGTCAAACACAGAATAAATACAGCCCATAAACTAACTTGCAAACACTGAAATGGCGTATTAGGTTTCATACTAGATAGTTGTAAATGTTTTGTATGTCTCTGTTACGTCTCAGTCGGTTAGTTTCAACTTGTGATCGCTGTTCTGTTTTTGTAGATGGATTTTGTGTTCAACTGTGGGCACAGATATGGTGACTTTACAATGAAGATTTAAAAACTAAACTAAACATATTTCAGTGCTACGGTGACTGTTAACCCTCTGGTGTAGCTGACACACCCTTGTAATTGAGATCCAAGCTAATGTGAACCACGCTTTGTAGTAGAGTTTGTAATTGTAACTGACAAAGAGTGGTCTGTTACACACCTTTATTCACTGTTATCTCCTTTCTATCAGCACCCTTTGTCCTCCTGTGGATGGAAATAGGTCTCACCTCCGACTTTCTTCACGTTCTTGTAAATCTGGTGAAGTTCAACAGCTGCTATCTGGACCAAAATGTCTCCGTCATGGTCCAGTAAGTCAGAGACACAAATAAACACATCTCTGTTGTTTTTTAATCAAAAAATGTTATTAACATGCATTTTGCTCGTTCTGTTGTGCTCTTTACAGGAAAATCTGTCTCCTGTGCAATAGAACAACATCTTCAACAGATATTGAGGTAGGTATTTGTTTATTTCTTCACATTACTTACAGATTTGAGTTAAACTGAAGCAACTATCACTGCAGTGTAACATGTTTTCAAGTGTCATCTGAAGAACAATCAACACTGTCTTTGTTCAGACATCTCGTTGGTATTCAACAGTACATGCTGGCCGTCCCTGCTCAAAAGTTACTGTTGTTGTTCACTGGTAGTAAGATGACATTTCTGAGCCAGCGAAGACCTTCGGTCATTCAGTGGTTCAGTTACTCAAAGGTCTCGCAAATAGTGTGAGAATGGAGTACAAAGCCATTGTATACAGTTAACCTGCATAATCACTATCAAAAGCCATTCTTTTCACCGTCAATAATTTTGAAATAAATGATGAAGAAACTGACATTTCTGTTTAAATTGTGTGGATGCAGATGGCCTTTTCATCTTTTATATCGTGTTCACTGGGTGTGTATTTATAAGCACCGTGTTGTCATAGCAAACCGAGGCACTGAGGGAAGAGATCTTATTTCATTTCAAGTGTTTTTCTGATTCTCAAAATGTGATTGTTTGTGGACCTGGGTTGTTGATATGCTTTGATTTACTAAAATCTCCAGTTGTCTACAGGTTTTGCAACATGCTGAATGTGAATTTATCAAGATTAGAGAGCAGTTTCCCGATGTGAAGCTTGCAGATGTACTGCCATGTTTTTAATTGGTGATGGCATGACAGACTCATATAGTGCTGATTACATTTATACTACAGTGGAATTCCTTAAACATTTAGCCATGCCATATAAAAACGTGAGGCGAGCATGTGACGCCTAATTTTAAACAATCAAATGGCAAGAGGTTTATAATGAACTACTTTCCTCTTGTTATGACTTTTAAAAATGCACATGGTTTTATTGTAAACAAGTGATTATGTAAACATCACCAGTACCCATTAACTACATAATTAACACAGCCAATCTAGTGACACCTACTCTAATCTTGAATTTATGAACCACAGACATTTTTTTTTTAATAATCAAAGCACTATGCAAAAATAATTAACGCAGTTGGCTTGTATTCAACAGCGGTCTCAGCTGAAGGCCTTTGCATGTTTGATGCTGATCAGTTTTTGTACTGCTTGTGTGTGTGACTGTGTATGATGTGTTCAGGTGGCACTACAAGTACTGGATGCAGTGGTGTGTTACAACTGCCTGCCCTCAGACTCCCTCACTTTCTTCATCATCACTCTCTGCCGTACTGTCAACGTCAAGGAGTTTTGTGAATCCTGCTGGAAGGTGAGAGCGCGCACACACACACACACACACACACACATTTGCTTTTATCTGACGTGAAAGTGCACAATTCATAACCGCCTCCGGTGTTGTTTGTTGTTCTCTCTTGTTGTGCTGCTCTCTGCCTCTCTAGCTGATGAGGAAGGTGTTGGGGACTCACCTCGGCCACAGTGCCATTTACACCATGTGTCGCATTATGGAGGAGAGGTATTGCTCCTGGTTTAAGCATATTTTCTGAGCTTGTGGTGCATTACTGAAAATATATTTTTGTGATGACATGTGTTTCTTCGATAATGTGTGTCTCTTTATTTACCTGCAACCTGGACCAGGGTGTACATGGAGGATGCACCATTGTTGAGAGGAGCTGTATTCTTTGTTGGAATGGCTCTGTGGGGTGCACACAGACTCCCCGCCCTCAAAAACACACCTACACTTGTTCTGCCCTCTTTCTACAAGGTAAAACACATGCCAGGGCTGGACAATAAAACAATAACAATAATTATTGCTATATCATTTCAATAACAATTTAACAAATGTTGAATCACACACAAATTAGGAATTTTTTTAATTATTGTTATTATTGTTGAGGAAAAAGGACTGAAAAATGCTTTAACTTAATTTTACTCATGCATATTTGTTGACAAAGATATATCATAATTGTTTTGAATGTTCTACCTCAGATTTGTGAAGTGATCCTCTATTTGGCCTCAAGTGTTGACCATAAAGAAGAGTTTAAACCACAGTTAACCATCAGGTTTCTTCAACTTTCACTCAGGAGCAAAAATCATCCTTTAAACTCGAAAGAAATAACAATTTGATACTTATTGACATCGATTGATATGAAACTTTTTATCGTGATTTTTTGGCCATATCGTCCAGCCCCAACACATACACATAATGTTCTTTCTGATTATGTTATCTCAGCCAAAATGATCTTATTTCTTAAATTACATGAAAATAAACCTAATGCATTCTTGGCAAAATAAGGGGAAAAAAATAATGATTAATTTCATTATTGAATAATCTGAAACTTATTTTCTCAGTTTTTCTCAGGTCTACAAAATGTCACAAAACATAGAAAATGCCTTTCACAATTTCTTGAAGCCTAAAGGTTATACACCAATAGTTCTTGTTTTGTCCAAACCCAAAGATAATCAGTTTACTGTCATAGACTACTGCTGTAAATATATTCTATCAAGCACTATCCAGCGTAACTTCCCAAGTTTTAAGGATTGAGTAAAGCTGAGATTGAACAATAATGACTAAAGATACATAAGAAATGACTATATAGAAGGTAGTCTGATAAAACAAGACTATTCTAGACTATGAATGCAGTAAAGCAGTTGTGATGACTGTCGCTGTCTGACCTCTGCCACTCAGGCCATGTCATGTGCCAATGAGGTGGTGTCCTATGAAATCGTCCTCTCCATCACGAGACTAATCAAGAAGTATGGCAAAGAGCTGCAGGTGGTCACCTGGGACATCCTGCTGGGAATCATAGAGCGACTGCTGCAGCAGATCCAGGTACACACATACAGTATATAATGCACACACACACACACAGAGTAAAATACCAATTCTTTTTTGAGCAAGTAGCGTGTCACATCTGTCTTCACAGACAATAGGCAGTGCGGAGTTGAAGGTCATCGTGTATGAGCTGCTGACCACAGTAGAGGAGCTATATGAGCAGAACGGTTACCACGGCTCAACAGAGAAGTTCTTCAGTCTGGTGGAGAAATGTGCTGACAAAAGACCTGTTAGTGTTGTTGAGATTCCATCCCTTGGTGTCATGCTGTCATTTGGTCTTCATACATACTGCTGCTACGTTTCTAATCTTAATCTTTTGTGTGTGTGTGACAGGATGCTTCAGTGCTGACCCTCATCTCCTACAGGGCCCAGTCTATCCAGCCAGCCAAGGACGGCTGGATTCAGAGCCTTCACCGCCTAATGGAGAAATTCTTCAGGTAGGAAGCACAGAAAGATCTTAATGGTAATGATATGGTAATGAAATCGAACGCCTCAGTGACCAGGTTTTGATTTTTCTTTGTGTTCCTCTTGTTGATCATCGCCTCGATTGCTGTCTGGTTCCAAAGGAACGAGACTCGCAGTGTAATAAGGATCAAAGTGCTTCATATCCTGTCCTTTGTTCTCAATACCAACCGACAACTCTACGAGGTCAGTATGCACGCATACAGTCACATTTGCATCCTGTTTTGCTGCTGTGCACTGATGTGTGGTTTTTAACGTGTGGATGTTTGTTTTGATTCGATTTGATCAGATATGTCATTCAAATCCAACAAGATAAAACTCTTTGTCTTGTTTCCTCATTGACTGGTTGCAGGATGAGTTGATTGAAATGGTAGTGATCCCCCAGATCAATGGGATAGCTGAAGACCGGGACCTGGCCGTCAGAAAACAGGCCACCCAGCTACTGGTGGACCTCGCTGAGGGCTGCAACACACACCACTTCAACAGCCTGCTGGACATCATTGAGCGGGTACACATTCACACAAGCTCACACATACACAGATGCTCACATTGTCTCAATGCATGATGAGATCATTTTTTTTGTGTTTGTCTCTGTGTAGGTGGCAAGTCGCTCTCTGGTGTGTCCAGGGCCCCTAGAGATTCCTGAGAGAGACCCTACAGCAGAGTCTCCTATGGAGGATGTCAGGACTGCTATACTGGGCCTGCTGGAAATCCTGCAGGTACACACATGCAAATATTGAAGGCTAGATTCAAAAAAGTGACCAAGCAAGAGACCTTTTAAAAAGATCTGAAACACTTTGTGTCCTACAAACTTAACATCTTTTGATATTTGGAAACTTCTTAAATTGGGCGTCAGCATAAAGAACCAAAAGTGTATTATCAGTGATTTCTAAAGAAGCGTGTTTACAGATATTAATGCAGTCTGCATGGTTCGACCCTTACTGGTTAGTGAGCTAAATCCACTTCAAAACCTTCTTTGGATTTAAACAAAAGGTTCATGCAGCACCCAAAAAAGACAAAAAAACATTTATTGACACACAAAAACAATAAGTAAATGTAAAGTGTAAGTTATTAATATTGTATAATCCTATTGATTTAATATCAACTTATCTTTATCTTTTAACATAAGATGATCAAGTTATGGGGAAAGAAAATGGACTCAAAACATTTTTTCCTGGGTTGCAATTGAGAAAAGTATTTGTGAATCTGGGAGAAACGTATCTGGTGATAAACCTCCATCTCTTTCTCTCCTGGCAGAGCAAGCTTTACAGCCTACCAGCCAGCCATGCTAGTCGTGTGTACGAGTTGCTCATCAGCCACCTACAGCTTCACTACAAGAAAAAGTACTGTTCAGTTATCGCTTCCAGTATTAGGCTACAGGTAAGAGGGATTCTTTTTCCTCTTCATATTTGTGTATCTCTTACTCCATTTGTTTATGTGTAGGCCTGTTGACTTCTTTTTCTTTTAACTTCTTATTCTCTCCTTCAGGTGTTTGACTTCTTCCTGATGATGCGAGCGGACTCGCTTCACCGTCTCGGTGTCCCCAACAAAGACAGGGCCATGAGGTTCAGCCCTTACTGCTACTGTGACACCGGGTGAGGAGGCGCGCGTACCACTTTTTGCAACAGCTCTTACCTGCATCTGTTTTGCTTATTATCATCCAGTCATCTAAATATGAACTATTAACTGTGTCTTTTGTTGCCAGGGAGTCAGAGAAGCGTGTGAGTGAAAAGAAGCCCGCAGGTTCAACATCTCCTCCTGCCGGCAGTCCCGCTCCCCCCGTTGCACCACCTGCTACGACAGCCTCCATACGCTCAGCCTACCTGCCCTATGCACCTGCCTTTGGTGTTCTCCTGCAGTGCCTCAAGATGGTACACATACACATAAATATTACATTCAACACACAGATATGTGGCATGCATGGAGTACAATGTCTCTGTCAAAACTGTATCTGCTATTTCTTGTATCACTAATGCTCCAGGGTTGTGTAGCAAATGACTCTTCACACCACACAGATACACTTCTAACAGATGATTTTATCTTTAAAGAGATCAGACATGGTTATTTTTCTCTTGTAGGAGACAGATTGGAAGGTGCTGAAGCTGGTTCTCGACAAGCTGCCATGGACGCTGCAGTACAAAGTGCTGTTGCTGACGTCGCCGTGCAGCCTGGACCAGCTCTGCTCTACACTGTGCTGCATGGTAGTTCAAATGAAGACAGTGCATATAAACATATACTTACAAGTCTGCACACATGTGAATTTGCTTCGTCTCCACATGACCAAATGCCACTATATGTTGCTAATTTCTTCGCCGATGTACTCGTAGGTGACGGATCGGCTGATCTCAGAGCGCTTGAAGAAGACCCCTGAGGGGTTTTCCCGCACTGATGTTCAGCTGGCAGTGGTTCCTGTCCTCACAGCGATCACCTCCTACCATAACTACCTGGAGCAGTCGAGACAGGTACAAACGATAGTCTGTAGAAAGTAATAGTCTGGTTTCTAGGATGTTTTGAAGTTTGCATGTTGGGTTTACTGACTATCTAGTCAGATGTTTGGAGCCAGAACATCCACATGTGGGCTATGACGTCCCAGTATAGCTGGTGTCTGTATGCTACACACCACCTTATCTCTCTGATTTACTAGCCCCTCCACAACTGGAATGACGTTAGATAATTTTGTTTCCATTCTATAGAGAGAGCTGGTTCAGTGCCTCGAGACCGGCCTCATTTACCGCTGTGCCAAACAGTGTGTGGTGGCGCTTACAATGTGCACCGTGGAGATGCCTGACATCATGATCAAGCTCCTCCCCGCTCTTATCGTCAAGCTCACCCACATCTCCGCCACCGTGGCCATGGCGTCTCCTATGCTCGAGTTCCTCTCCAGTGAGCACCAAAAGCTTTTCTGAAAATGTCTTTAACATCATTGAATGTTCAAGATCATTCAGTCACATCAAAGTTTTCTGTCACAGAAAAAGGAAGTGTTTGGTTAGACGTGTTCTTTCTTTTTATTCTGTTTTAATAGGTCTGGTGCGCCTGCCCCATCTGTATGCCAACTTTGTAGCTGAGCAGTATGTCAGTGTGTTTGCCATCTCTCTACCCTACACTAACCCTTCCAAGTAAGTGCTCACATACACACGGGCACGTGTATATTCTCAGATGCACAGACACATTCTGACCTGTTTCTCCCATTCCCGTTAGGTTCAACCAGTACATTGTGTCGCTGGCCCACCATGTGATCGCCATGTGGTTCATACGCTGCAGACTCCCCTTTCGCAAGGACTTTGTTCAGTATATCACAAAGGTTTGTCTTCCTGTTTTTATGACTTTTATTTTGAAATATAACATCAGCACTGACCATCTTGTGATGGGATCGCATCAGCCACGAAGACAAATTGGTGTGTATGGCGCAATGAAACACATGACACAACAGATGTGAGATTGTCGATATTGTCAGTGCCCCTTCCCTACCTCCTACCCCCCTGCTTCCAGCGCCCATGCTCGGACCACACCCATCTTAGAATTCTTTCATTTCGATCTTTAAACACCTGTAAAGTTTGGTGACTGCATCTTACACAGTTGTGACGTGTGGTAATTCCCGCTACAGTAGGTGTCTTCTGGAGCACATTTTGACATGATGACTGACACGCACTTACTCACAATTGTGAAAACAATACCAGCCATGCTGTTGCAACTGGTAATTAGTCCGTCTCCAAACTCAGAACTTCTCCAATTTTCCATTCCCAGCCCACACAAACACATAAACAATACACATACAGAGAAAAAGAGAAACTATGCAATGCTAAGAGAAAGTATAAAAGCATAACTCAGGGAAAATAAAATCAGTGTGCTTTCACCTCATCCTTTTGCTTACGCATTTATAAAAGAAAGTTTCATATTTGAGAAAATATTTTCTTTTATGTGCTGTAACCTTTCCTAACTGTCTCACCCACTCCTGGAAATCGAGGGGCTCTATGCACTGTTCAGTTACTGAGAATAATTTGTAGTCTACTCAGTATTCAATAATACCTTTTTAAAGGAATAGTTATACAGAATACATTTTGGGAAAATGTGCCTTTTTGCTTACATTAGAAGATATGTTTGTGTGGTAGATGTGAAGCTGGAGCCAGCTTAGCATATAGACTGGAAGCAGGGAGAACCCTTGAGTCTCACTGGTACCCTGAGGACTCTCGTCTACATAACCTATCGGGGTCCAGTAGTAACCATGTGAAATTTAAATCTTATGAGCTTTACACTTAAATATTTTTACATTAACTTAATTTAATTTAGTTTTTCAGTTTTGCTTGAGATTCACACTTTTTGTCTGTGTCTTCAGGGTTTACGCTCCAATGCTCTGCTGCCATTCGACGACGGTCACGAGCAAAGTTCATTTCGTGCCCGAAGCACCAGCCTCAATGAACGGCCTAAGAGGTAAAGCTTACATACAGACACATCTGCAAGTGGTGACGTACAAACCAGCAGCACCACACACTGACCATGTGGCCCTTGTTGTGTAAGACGGTTTGGGGTTGCCAAGGTAACAGGGGACTCAGCATGACTGCTACTGTGGCGTGATCGTCGCAATGACTCCTCTCAGGTTGCCATGGTGCTCATTCGTTCATTTTATTTATTGTTTATGCTTTTTACATTTGTTGTTTTTCTGCCACGATTTATTTTTTTGAATCCAAAATTCACTTCTCATATTACTGACATACAAGGGGTAGACAAAATAATATGAACACCTGTATAACATAATGTAATCTAAGGCCACACTCCTGCAGTTTGTGTAGTTGTGGATTAAGTTATATTGTCCAGGTGTTTGCGTTACTGTGTCTACCACCTGTAACATACATGGCGATGGCAAGAGGAAAGGCTTTCAGAGGTTGCTTTCTTGCTATCTGACTGTTTGTAACCACAGTGCATACAGACTTTACATGTACACAAAAAGAAATACACACTGTCTTTCACACAGAGGTGTAAGGAAGCTTTTCTCAGCAAGGCGTCATTCTCATCTGTACATGGTGTGAATGTTTGTCGGTTGTCCATGTCTTAGTCTACGCAACAACCTACGATAAAAACACCCAAAGTAACTCATTAAAAAACATAGTAATCACAGAGAGAAGGAGGGGACTGAACAAATGTTTAACCAGCTAAGACTCAGCAGACTAACTGGGCTGTGTCGCCAACTGAAAATGGGACTAAAAGGAAATGATTTAGCTGTCATTATATTGTCTGGGTGTTTCAGTTTGGACAGAGAGCTCTTCAAAAATGACCTGGGGACACCAGTGTGGTAGTGTGTTCACACACTGCTTAGTCTATATTCAGAATTAATCTCCTTGTTAAAATAATACTTCTACAGTGCATATTTCGAGGACCCAAAACAACTATAAAAAGTAATCAATGTTGTTTGAGACCACGCTGCACCCTCTTTGTGTAAGTCCTCTGAATCTTGTTTCAGTCCCCACACCTGATGGTTTATTTCAGAACCTCGTAACACTCTTGTTTCCGTTGCAATCAAGCACACCCCCTGTTACATCTCTTCATAGAGATACACGGTGCCTCTACTAACATCAGTTTCTATTGATTTTTCCATATCAGCTCTTTTTCAAACTCACTTTCAGTGTTTCATATTGTGTTATCATTCATCCAGTGACGTGACCTGTCCTTGTGCTGCTCACTACCCACTGTTAGGTTGGAGTGCTGCCTGTCAGATTTTATATGAATAATTTATGAAGGTTATTTTTCTTTTTTCCTATTCAGCCTTTTCTCACAAATGCAACATTCACTTTATAAGATGAGGTCATGGAAAACAAAAATTACTGAGGATGTTCCAAAAACCTTTCTTGCCTTTTAAGTCTATTGAACTACCAGTAAGTACAATTATTAGTCTTGTCTAGTCCTTCATTGGCTCCCTCAGAGAAGTTAGTCCAGACTTGCTGTGCTCCAACCCTCAGGTCTAACCCAGCATTTAATTTTCAGTTGGATGAGTCATTGTTTTAACTTCCATTATGTCAAGCCTGTGCTGAGTCCATCCCTACTATTTTACTTCTTCTGTAATAGTCCTTGGCTTCACTCTGTACCTGCTGTGTGAAATAATGTTTATTTCGTTGCTCTCCTGAAGACTTTCTGTGTGTATTTTCTTTTCCGAGTTCAGAAGCTGTTTACCCTCTGCTGTAGCTTGTCTTTTCCTATTTATTTTAATGTTTATCCTTTTTGTTAATCCTCTTTTCCTTACTCCGCTCTTCTGTAATCTGATTCATAGTGTTCACTGCTGTTAATTTTCACCTTGTTTTGTTTTTCTTTCAATTCTTCATTTGACCTCTCCCCTGGCTCCTGCGATTGGGTGCTGCGTTGTGGTTGTGGTTTTGGGGGGTGGTCGGGTCATCCTGGATCCTTCCTTCACCTGTGACCTCTGACCTATGTGGCCCTTTCCTCTGTACCCTGCCCCCTTTCCATGGCATATGCCCTTTGGTCACCTGCTCATGTTACTCTGGTGCTCTGACCGTGATTCCTGCTGTCTCCTGCTGTACCTCCACACACCGCACTCTCCCCCCACATTCCCAAACCACCGCCACCCTCACGATGACCCACCACATTACTGCCCACTGCCACCTTATCGCCAACCCGGGTCCGTTCCCCTTGCTCTTGGGTACTCATCACCGCCCAGTCTGCGGGCAGCAAAAGTGGCGAAGGCGGCAGCGGCGGTAGCCAATAGCAGCAGCTCGCCAGTTAAAGAGCTGAGGGACCTGTCAGCAATGGACGCTTTCCGCTCCCGCAGCATCAGTGTCTCCGAACATGCGGTCCGCAGGTTAGAGAAGAGCCTTCTGGGTAACCAAATAAAAAAACCACAACCCAAACACTTGATGCTTCCTCCATGGGATGGGTGATGGGGACTAGGATCATTGTCATGCGGGTCCGTTGGGCGGGTGATGGGTGGTTTGTTGTCAGGGACACCTGGAGAGGGTAGTGCATGTTGGAGAAACATTTGTGTGTCGACCTTTTGGTTTGTTTTGGGCTGCGGTCATACCTCTGCTGTTTTAGGTTTGGTTTTTATGATTTGCTTTTGCATGCAGTGTTTTCAGAAGACATCGGAAAACACTTTTTTCTGTTGGATTTTGCACTAACAAAGATTTTGCTTTTATTTTCATTTAATTTTAAGTTGCCTTTGGTTTGATTTTGTTTTTGCTGGGTGTACTGCTGACTGGTTTTGATTGGCCTAAAAGCAAATGAATGGCAGGAGGGACTGGTGCAAAGCATGTGTATCCAAAGTGACGGGATCTTATCCTGATCAACCGCAACATACAACTCTGCCTTCCTTTTCCTGGTCGGAGGGTACTTCTGCTTCCTCGGCCAGTGACAGGGACAACAACTTTGTTTGCCTGCTTGACATAGTTTTGTTTTGCTCCACTCACAAACATACACTTTTCTGCTATGACCATGGCAATCTCCTATTGTGGGATTTTAGGACTAGCCGGCTGATGTGAACTTTTAATGAATGTTTGAGTATAGACTCAAATCATTCATATCACACACACACACACACACACACACACACACACACACACACCTCTGACTTATCTTCATACTTTTATGCTTATCTCTGCTTGGCTGACTTGCTCAAATGACAGACAGATGAATGATCTAACATTGCAGTTGTCAGATGTGGCTGTTGTGCAACTATATTGATTATGTCATACCCCTCCTGCCCAAAAGATGGCAGTAAAAGCCCAGTACTTAAATGTTTGAAACTACTATATATTGTATTTAATTACTGTAACATTGAACTCGATCAGACTAAACAGCTGCAGTGTAGATCTGTTTAACCTGCTTCAACTGCTAAATGGCTGCAAATCTATTTTCTCAGACCGCTGGTTTTGTGTCTCTTGAATGGTAACACCTGAGTGACGAGTAAGACTGGTGGACACTTGTTTTACTTCAGACAACATGACCATGTTTAAGGCAACATTTGTTAATAATCTAAACCTTTTAATTTGCATAATTTGTCAATATCGCAATACATTTTGTTTTAGTCTTTGTTTTTAGTCAAGCTCATGTTGTGCCGCTCACATGTCTATACTGAAAGGTGTACTGAAGAAAAGCAAAGCATTGAATTCTCATGAATGCCCTAATATTCAGCTTTATTTTGGATTGTGTATTTGAAATGAAATAAAGCGTAATAGAGAAAGCACTGAACAGCACACTGTTTCAGTCGTGAGTGTTTCATGGTCATGTTTTTTGGCGTACACTAGTTTCCACTAGACACTGAAGTGAAAAAATTAATCATTGTCAGTGGAAGAATGGTAAGTACAAAATGTGTGGAATAGTTATGTAGTCACATGCTGGGACTTGGTATGAGTGAGAGATTTCTTCTTGCTTCTTAAGACAGGACAGTGCATCTGTACAGCTGTTTTTTATTTTTTAAATCTGTCATATTTAAACCTCAGATTTACTAATTTTTTAACTGTGTGTATAGATTTCTATTTTTAAAACATTTAATTTGCGTTCGTGAACATACTTGAATTGGATTTTACACTGAGGATGTAATCTTGTAGATGTATGAAACCATGACAACATGCATTTCCTGTTGAGATTGATTCCTGTCAGACAGCCCTCCCTCCACTATTATACTGTCTTATATAAACTGCAAACTGGGGCTGACACGAAGTTAAAAAATTTTAGATCTGCCAAGGACAGATGTTCCTCTTGCATCACTCTCAATTCATTCTTTTCATAGTTTGTTTCTGCCTCATTTGTTTTAGTATTTGTTCCTTTATGTACATTTTCTTTGGTTTTCTTTATGGTTCTGTCAGAATGATGCATGAAAACAATCTACCTGCCTTGTATACTCCCCACTGTGATGAGCAGTCATCGCAGTTGGAAGCAGAGTGTTCAGTTATTTTGAGAGTGTTTACTTCTGAGCAGCAAGCCACTTGTGTCTTCATTTTGACTGAATACACATCCAGTATCTTTTCAGCCCTGATTGAGACTGATTTTAACTCTGTAAAGGTGCTTTTAACCTGATTTGCCTGTAGAGCAGGCAGTAATGGTTGTGGATGCAAGATGCTGCTCACTCTGCAGTGAATACTAATAAAGAGACTTGGCTGCAGCACACATTCCCTCATGCACAGCTTCTACATGTGGCTTACTTAGCATCAATACAGTGTAGATCCCTTCAGCTTCCTTATTTACATTTAGGGAAATAACCAATGTGATAGCACAGCTGAAGAGGCCACTTATACCATGTCCCAGTGTGTGCCTGTGTTTTTAATTGTCTGCTGTCTGCATATAAATGCTTGCTTTGCATGTGATATAGAGAGAATGTGAACGTTGTCATTGTGATTTTTACGATGATTTTTATGATTCTTGCATGTCTCTGTGTTCCTGATTTACATGTTAAATATATATCTGGAGCCTCCCTTTTCCTCAGCTGCCCTTCTCGCTGATGTTTAACCTTTTCTCTGTTTCGTCCTGTAGGATGCACACCTCAACCACCACCTGCAGTCTGGGCTCCGCTGATGAAAACGCGGTGACTCAGGCAGACGAGGGGCTGAAGACGGTCCACCTGGAACTCACGGAGACCTGTCTTGACATGATGGCACGATATGTCTTTTCCAACTTCTCAGCCCTGCCCAAGAGGTTAGCAAGGAGTTGTTTATTATATTTGTTTGTTTTTATGGTTGTTTGCACTTCACAGTGGTGATTTTTGTAAAAAGATCTGAGAGAGGCTGTGGTAGTCATAACTTTGACTTTTTTTTGTCCTCTTAGGTCTCCCATTGCAGAGTTCCTTTTGGCGGGGGGCCGCAGTATGACCTGGTTGGTGGGCAACAAGCTGGTGACCATAACCACCAGTGGAGGGGTCAGAACGCAAGCGCTGCTGGGTCTGGATATGGCCGAACGACTGGGAGGAGGAGGGGAAATGACAAGGTGAGCCACGCTCACACACACACACACTCTGATTTTTAGCCAGTGGCTTTAGGGATGCCAAGGTCTGTCTGTGTGAAATATCTCAACAGCTATTGGATGGACTGCCATGATATTTAAACCAGACATTCATGTTCCAATGAGGATCAATCCTAATGATTCCCTGTCATGATCAGGTCAACATTTGTAGTCCAGTAATTTAGTTTATGACCATATACCTGCAGAACTGCTAATTAGCACATGTTATCATTCTCATCAACCTAAACTAAGATTGTGAACACGGTAAACATTATACCTACTAAACATCAACATGTTAGAATTGTAATTGTGGGGATGTTAGCATGCTAATGATAGCATTTAGCTCAAAGCACCGATGTGCCTAAGTACAGCCTCACAGCCTAGCATCAGTGTAGTCTTGTGGCTGCTTTGTAATCATTTCTCTTTCCTGGTCCTGAAGGTCAGATCCATCACTGCACACTAGAATAACCAAAGAGGCTCCAGCCAAACTGGAGTCACAGTCAAGCCAGCAGCACAACAGAGCCACACGCATACGGGTCCGCTCCATGTCAGGTAATAAAAATATTCAGCAGCTTGGCAGGTAACACTTGCCATTGAAGAAAACATTTTAAAGTTTGTGGGACACTACTAACACACCTTAGACTAGACTATTTACGTTGTCATGTATAAGAATTGTTGCCAAAATCTAACAGCATTTAGCAGTTATTGCTGATTTCCAATATCCATTTTTGAAATCTCTTTTTGGAGGCAGGTAAAATCAGTTCCTGCTGTCTTGAAATGAGAAATAATCAGGTAGCTTTTATCCTCCACAGATTTGCAGCCATGCTTTTTTTCCGTGCCTGCCTTTCTTATCTCTTCGCTACTCCACTCTACCACTGGTACATGTCATTTTAATGAAGATTAGTGGCATTGTTTGTCATTACTCTATATCTGATTCATAGTACATTCAAAGGAAAATGTGATGCAAAATGATGCTACTTTGTTGTAATCTTTCATACATTGATGTCTGTCTGTACTTTGTGTGCTTTGGATTTTGTGTTTGTGGATCTGAAAGACATAAGGTGTTGTAACTAGATCTTGTGGCTTATTTATTATGCAAGTGTGTATTTTAATGATGTCAATCTTTTTGGCTTTGTCAGTCACCCTGAATGTGTTTGCATCATCCAGGTCATAGTTATCTAAGGAAAGTTCAAATCAAGGGCAACTGGACTTTTGTTTAAGATACTTGAAGACGTTTCGCTTCTCATCCAAGAGCCTTCTTCTGTTCTGACTGACTGACGTCTCTCCCAACTATTATATTTTTATATATGAATTAGGGCTGCACGATTAATCTAATCGCAATCGCGATTTTGTCATGTTCGATTACATAACTGCAAAAAATTTATGTGACCCTCTCTTCTCTGTGTGCGTTGCAGTCTGCTCATTATCTCCGCCCACACTGGGCTCTTGCATTTGCCCCTAAAAACAGATAAGTCTACATGCAATGAGAAAAATTATTTATGAGCAGAGTGCCAGTAAATTTTAAGACAACAACCTACCATAACCCCCCTACACGCCCCGCCACTAATTGTTCAAAACATAGTCGGACTCGCCACCGGAGCACCGAGAGAAATGCCGGTGCTCCGGGCGCTCTGAGACAGAGAGACGTTGGCCGCAGCTGAAGTAGTGAAACAGAAGAAAACAGGGAGAAGATGAGGAAGGTTTGGGTTTGGCTCACTGGCCAATTAACGTTAGCTGTATCAGAGACTTCCTATAAGGACTTTAGCTGTATCGGTGCGTGTTGTTGTTTAAAATGTTCAACTTTTCAGAGCTGATGGGCACTTTTCCTCAACCGACCAAACATAGCCTGGATGGGGCGGGACATTAAAAAAAAGTTTGACGTGCTACAGCAAATCATTAAATGTTGAACAATATGATTATTGACAAGTTAGTAATTAGCATTAACAAATTAGACACTGAGCCTTTTGCTTGCACAAATATTAGAAGAATAAAAACAACCCACAGAAATGAAACAGCTGTAACTGGATTTAATATTCGACTAGTGGTAAAATAGTATACTATTATATGAAATTATAATGAATATAGTATTATAGATACTAACAGTATACTGTTAACTAAACATTATACTCTTTATTTAATACACTCATGTACAGTTCCTCCTCCTTAAGGTTGTGGATAGAGTCTCTGCATTAGACAGATGTACATTGAGCCGGTGCCAGTATGCCAATATTTGCTCCTTTTAGCCTCCACCTCCTCTGGAGAGCAACATGCTCCCTTGTTCTGTTTTACATCTGTTTTACTTGTTATTGTTATAAATATTGCTTATAGTTTAACTTCATTCAAGTTGAGAAATAGACTTCAAAATGTCAGTATTTCGTGCATTCCTTGATAATTAAGCAAGTAGACTCATTGTACCATTTGTTCCATTATAATCGAATTGTAATATTGTCCACAATAATCGCAACATGACTTTTTCTTCAAATAGTGCAGCCCTAATATGAATAAATATTATTATATTTGTTAAATTAATAGTACACAGAACTGAACTGAAGAAGCCTCTTGGATGAGGGGCGAAACGTCTTCAAATATCTTTTTTTTTTTTTAACCTTCCTTGTCTTTATGCTGATGTTTTATAATAACTAACCAAGTTCTCCAAAAATCTAATCAGATGAGCTGTCAGTTTCATACTGGCCTGAATATAAAGAGAAGAGCTGACATATAACGATAATGATGTTGACCTTCCTCTCTCTGTCCATTGCAGGCGGCCACGCTCTACGTGCCGGTCCTGCTCAGAGTCTCAGTCCTCTGGTGTCCCCCTCTGAGGGCGAGTTAGCTGCTCCGCTCTCTCCCTCCTCTGGTTCCACCCTGGATAGTCTGGGTCCTCCCTCCTCCACCTCTGCCACCCCGTCTGCTCCCCCTCCTCTCAAAGACAACCCCAGCCTGGCTGAGTTTGTCCCCATGCTCACACAGGGCTGGGCAGAGATCTTCATACGGAGACCGTCTGGTAGGAATATCACTTAGAAGAGTCCCTGCTTGCAGCTTAAGTAACACATGAAGATAATGACTACAAAAATAAAAACATTTACACAAATACAAAGGAACCTTGACGTTAACTGTGGTTATTGTCCATCTCAAGCTTATTTGTGTCTTTTGCAAGTTTTATTTTCATACTTTTCTAACGTGTATGGTTCCCTGGAGGAAAATGATCAGAAAGTCTGTCATACTATGGTAAACTTTCATACCTAATGTAAAATTAACATGTTTTATTGGTAGTTAGTGGGCTAAAATAATCAAAAGCCCTTGTGTGGTCTTTTTACAGGTGATCGGTGGTCTAATGCATGTGTCTGTCTCTCTGTCACAGGTAACACAAGCTGGCTGATGTGTCTTGAGAACCCGCCCAGTCCCTTCTCCTCGGAGCTCGGCAACATGCCGCTGCAGGAGCTCTCCACAGTCCTCATGGCCATGGAGGGAGTGAAGGAACCTCCTACCGAGACAGCCAGCGCTCCAGCCAGCACTGCTGCTCCTGCACCAGCCTCCATCTCTGAGCCCCTAATCCAAACACAGAGCAGTTTTGGAGGGAAGGCAAACTTGATCCAGCGCTCCAACACTGGTGAGTGACAGTCTGAGCAGAGAGAGTCATTGGTTGTTGTCATTGATCAATGCAGTTAAGTTATTTATCCCACAAACAATGTCATCCTATTATCAGTAAAATAAACACATCCACAATATTTAGCTACAGAACAGAAAATCATTATGGACTAAAATATGTAATGTTACGCATGAACGCATCCTTCCTGTCTGCCTGAATGCCCGTCCTTGGTCCCCTTTAATGGACTGAGCTAAGAGCCAAATTGCCTGTAAATACTCTATTTGAACCTGAAGGTGATAAAAGGCCACATTGAATTTGCTCGGGTCAGTGATCGTCAAAGATAACTGCTTTGACATGTTTTTTTGCCTGGTGTCCTATGCTTGACCCGGTGTCCTCTCTTGCCCTTGCACCTGCCTCCAGTTATACATCTTTGCATTTTCTCATTATTTACCTCATCAACTCCTATTTTTTTCTTCCTGTCAAAAATGTTTCTTTTCTCATTATCTTTAAGAGTTTTTCCCTTGTTCTGATTGGTTTGTTTTCATGTTGTTTTTTTTTTTTTTATCCTCACCACAATCCTCAACCACCATGCTGGTTTGTGATTGGATGCGATGTGTTATGTGGCGTCATGTGCTACCGACCTGTCCTCTGACATCCCGCCTGCAGTGGGTGGCTCGCTCTGGTCTCTGGGTTTGGGCTCTGTCCCCCCAGGCCCTCCAGCCCCTGGCAGGTTGCACAGGAGCATTTCCTGGGCAGGTACCGTCCACCTCATGTGTGCCCATACCTCCCCCCTCCAGAAAACTCTTGGTGTAGTGTATTTCTTCTCACTTGTGCAATACAGTGGCCTGTCAGCACAAACTGAAAGTGACATTTGATCGTCACACGTCTTTCATTACAGTTTGTTAAAAATATTGGCAGAGAAAGCCATACATTGTCTCATATTTGCTATTAACAGTGAAGATCTGAAGACCGAAATATTGTTTTCCCAATAAGATGTTTTAAAGGAAGAGTTTGACTTTTTGGGAAATATACTTATTTGCTTTTTTGATCAGAGGAAGATGAGATGATAGATATCCCTCTTATATCTGTCTACTCTGTTCAATATGAACGTTAGCTTAACATAAAGACTTAAAACAGGGGGAAACACTTACAGGGCAAAAAGTGCTCGAGTGGCCCAGATGGTATGCTAAACAAAGTTAACCGCCTCCTGGCTCCAGCCTCGTATATAATGGACAGCCATGTGAGTTGAATCGATCTTCTCATCTAATTCAGCACGAGTAAGTGTGTTTTCCAAAATGTCAATCTTTTCCTTTATTTGCAAGTGAGAGATAACTGTTGCTGAACTTATTCAAAAGACCTGTTGTTTTATACCTGAATATTATGCAAGTGAAGGAATTCAGCATTTCTGCTTTACCCATCAGTCTTCTATTAAGCTGGGGGAGAGGGAGGGTCCTTGACAAGTGATGCTGAAAACTTGCCTGCACTCAGATCAATCAGTCCAATGACACCTAAAGATGGATTATGATTCATTTAGATTCCTTCCGTGATTTGTTCTTCCTTCCTAATCATCTTCCCTAACACTAGTAGAGATACAGCGCATAACCCACCGTAAATGAACTCCCAAGTTGAACTATTAACCTTTGACCTTATGATGTTTTCAACAGAAAAAGCCCAGACCGTATCCAACTACTGTGCTCTTCCCTGCCTTACTGGTAGACCAATAGCGTGAAGACATTTTCAGAGGATGTCAAAGAGATCTGACTGACAATGCAGCTTCTTCTTTGAGTGTAGGGAGAGTGTTATTATGGAGATACAGGACTGGATGGGCTGGTCTGGGCTGCTGTTGTGCAGTGTGTTCAGGCCAAGATAACCAACCAAACAGATGCATGCGCCTTGATGGAGAAATCAAGTAGCCAGATGCTGCCTGCTGCATTGATCTGTCTGGCTCTGATGTCAGTGTTTTTAGGTTGGATTGACTGAAGGTCATGTTGGTTATGTGTTTGCCTGACTGCCTTTTGAGTTTGTTAGTAAAATCTACATTCTAGAGAAGTACACAGTAAGAATCAAATGTAGCCACATTGATCAGAGTTGGTGTGTGAAGTGCTATCACAATGACTACGGCTGCAATGAAATCTTAGATGTTTGTTGTGGGAGTCTTACGCCTGCGTATGCTTTGATGTCTCTGATTGTGTTAACTAATAGTGCACAACACTGGTTTGTGTGTGTGTGTGTGTGTGTGTGTGTGTGTCTGAGGATGCTACTTGGGTTTTTGTGTATGTGTATCTACCTATAACGCACTTGGGTTGTTGCTGTGTCCTGCTGTAGACTCTGTGGTGGTGCTGGAGGAGGGGTCAGGGGTCACCACAGCACACACCCCGTCTGATTGGCCAGAGAGTGAAGAGTTTGAGCCAATCACCTCTGATCCCATCTTCATGTCTGAGAATTTAACAAAGACCCCGCCGACTGGAACGCTCAGTAGGGTAGGCAGTTGATGCACTCCTTTTTATTTCTACACACAAAGGCGCATGCAGCTTATGCTGACATGAAGTAAACAAAATAGCACGTGTACTTGAGCATGGTAAACAATAAAGACTACAGATACATATTCATTCACATGGCTTGATGTGGCTGTACTGTCTCAAGTACAAGCTGTGAAAAGATGAAATTAGTATTCACAAGCATCTCCACCACTTGCTTTTGTTATTGTTGTTTACCATCCACGCTCCTATTAAGTGGGTTTCCCCACCCTTGTTTCTGCATAATAAGCAGCACAGCCTGTGATCACACACCCACCACTGTTTTTATTCTGCACATTGTTTTTTCTCTAAAATAATCTACTACAACTATGACTATGACTACAACTACTATATTTTTTTAAAGCAACACCTCTAATGTTTGTCCTCCAGTCCTCCTCCACCTCCAGTCAAGATGACGAGAAGTCGACGCTGGAGGAGGTGAGCGAGGGAGCAATTCCCATTGACCAGCCCACTCTGGGACCCTCCACACCAGGTAGCCAGGGGCCCGAACTTCCCTTCCAGACCCACACTCAGTCCCAGGGTCACGGACTTAACAAGTCCAGTTCCTCTCCGGAGCTCCAAACTTTACCTGCAGCCTTCTCCAAGGCCGCTATGGAGTCCGAGACTGTGCCAGGAGACACATCATGGCCCAAAACACCTTCAGACAGCAAGCCGCAGCAGCAGCAGCAGCAGCAGCAGCAGCAACAGCCTCATTTTGAGAAAGAGAAGGTGGAGGGAAGCACAGGAGGGGACGTTAATGGACTGGGAGGTCAGAGTCAAGGGGGTGAAAGCCCAGGTGTAGTGTCATCTCAAAGTGGAGGAGCAAGGATGAGATTAGAGTTTCCATCAGCAGTGGCGCAACCTGGAGCTGTCTCCCCGAGCGGAGGCCACCGACCCCGGGGTCACACCATCTCAGTGTCAGCCCCCTCTTCCAGGAGGGAGAGGAGGACGGACAGGGACTCGTACCACAGTCGGCCCGGGCCCAGCAACACTGAGAAGATTGCTGGACTGAGCCCCAGGTACTCCAACATATACACAAAAACACTACTGCAGCCTCTGTCGCCTGTTTCTGCCAAATAAGTGTCAGTGTATCTTCCCGATTCAGCAAACAAATTTCTCCTCGACTGCTCAGATCCCAGGTGGCAGCCTGCCAGTGAAGAAAAGTGCTGCAGCCCAGCTTGAAGTCGAAAGATTGTTTGAGATGATGAAAAAATTAAAACTGCGTCCTAAAACCTGGAATGGAACATAGTGTAAATATAGCTGTGCAGCTGTGCTTGTATTTTTATTTCATTTCTCATATGTGTTGTAAATGCCACTTTACAAGCAATGGCAAATGTCAACATATGGGTTAGAAGCCTTGTTAATTTTGTGCTCGTGTCCAACACTTATTTTTCTCTCTGTCTACTACTTTTTGTCTCCTCTAGCTTTGTCTTTCTCCAGCTCTACCACTCTCCTTTCTTTGGGAATGAAGCCAACAAGCCACTGCTGCTGCCCAAAACTCAAGTTAGTTGACCTCTCCGACTGACCTGGAATCTACTCCAGTGTTTTATATACAGTGTTGTTCATTGTGTTTATTTACTGTGGTAGGTGATTGACCGCGCTGTGAAGGTTCTGGACCAAATGCCTCCTTATGACACCCATAAGATCGGAGTGGTGTTTGTAGGAGCCGGTCAGGTGAGAACACAAGGACACTGATGGCTGTTTTAATTGAATAATACTGTCAGCTCATTCCTACACTCTCTGACTTTACACCTTCATCCTTTCCACTCCCTCCAGGTTAACAATGAGGTTGCCATTCTATCAAACGAGTATGGTTCGAACCGCTACGCTGCCTTCCTAACAGGCCTGGGAAAATTAATCCATTTGAAAGACTGTGACCCCGACCAGATATTCCTCGGAGGGCTTGACCAGTACGGAGATGACGGAGAGTTTACCTACTGCTGGCACGACGACATCATGCAGGGTGTGTGTCTGACTAATTTGGTAATTGCTGTGTTCGATTTCCACAGCCAGTCTGCTTGTTGTTCATGAAATCCTGTCTCCACAGCTATCTTTCACATAGCCACACTGATGCCAAACAGGGAGAGCGACAAAGGCTGTTGCAACAAAAAGCGTCACATTGGCAACGATTTTGTCATGGTGGTGTACAATGACTCTGGAGAGGAGTACAAACTGGGCACCATTAAGGTACATGCACACACACTCATACGTGTCTCTAATCTGTATATATTCAGCTCCAATCCCTTGTCTTTTCCCCCTCCTGTTAGGGTCAGTTTAACTTCGTAGAGGTCATCATAAAACCGCTGGACTATGAATGTAACCTGGTCTCACTCCAGTGCCGCAAAGGTGAGCCAATCACTGTGTTTTCTATGGTCTTGCTCCTTGCCACGCCATGTTTTGTTTTACTTTTATTCCTCCTCTTGTGCTCTCTTTTCAGACCTGGAGGGATTAGTCGACACAACAGTGGCAAAAATCGTGTCGGACCGCAACCTTCCACTCCTAGTCAGGCAGATGGCTCTCCATGCAAATGTAAGTCTTCTTCTTATCTCTCCCTCTCACACCTAGTCATACATACACACTCAGACAGACACGTACTTCCCTCCTCTTTGTCTACCCGCAGATGGCCTCTTTGGTCCATCAGTACAGAGCCAACCCCTCTGATGCCTACGCCTCTAAGTGGTTAGCAAGATTACGACACATTAAGAGGATCAGGACCAGGGTAAGGAAGCACACAAATGAAGAAATGGTTTCCTTCCATCACTGCCACTGCCTTCATTTCATAATATTTTCAATTTCCCCTCATAAATTTCACCCATCTTGCCGCCTCTCTGTTCTGGCTCAGGCCCAGGAAGACATTCAGTCTCGCTCCACTCCCGGCATCTCTCTGACGCAAGGACACACTCAGCAGAACAAGTCGTTTCAGCAGAGCAGTCCAGCAGCAAACCAAGAAGTCTCCGGGCAAAGGAAAAGACTTGTATCAACAGTGGATGATTTCACAGATTTTGTGTGATTAAATTTCTTGTCCTGGCAGACACACAACCACAGACATGCACACACCTGCCTTAGAGCTGAGGTGAGTTTACTTTCACCTCTCTGTCTGGGAGAATTTAGGATGACATACTGATTTTGATTTAGAACCATTTGGGACTTTACAGGAAAACTTGAGAGCGTTATGGTATCAAAGGCTTATTTTGTGATTAAGTATTGATATGTGTAGACAGTAATTTCTGCATATTTTTCGAAATTTTTTGAAATGCTAAGGCTTTGCACTTTTTAGGTCTAATCATGATGTTTCTGATGTGCAACATGAGATGAGTAAAGTTGTACAGAACACTACATTCAAGAGCAGGGTGTGTAAATATGTGTGGAATAAAAAACGCATTAAAAAGCTTTGTAATTTGGATTTGTTCTCTTTGAGTATCTGCTTGATTGCAGACCGTAAACAATAACTAATATATATTTGAAGCATTCAACCACAAAACAATTTTGTTATGCACAGTTCAGCTGTCAAACTCTTTATTCGACTTTGTCAAGTGCAAAAGCATGAGAAGTGCTACAGCTGCAAAATACAGATACGCAATACAAAGAAGACAAATTTGTAACACAGTTTGAAAACAAAATGCTTCATACAACGCAAAGAAAAGCTGGAAGACAAGTAGGTGGGCTTTGCCACTATCTTGCTACACACTGTACACAGAGCAGGAATATGAAGGCCAGCGGAACAGTTGACTGCTGAGCTTCCTGTGGTTTTGTAATTGGCGTATTTTGAACAAAGATTTATATTAAATAGATTAATAGCTTTGGCTGTAGTGCTTCAGTTAGTCTGGGGAAATGTAAAACTTTGGGGTTTGCAACACCAGTGCTTGACCTATGCATATGCCACTGCAGCACATAAACAATACTGATCATGAAAAGCAAAAATATATACACCACAAAGCCCCAATATATACAGAAATATACACAAGCAGTTGAAGTGGGATCTTGCTTTTTGTGAGATCATGAAACTTGTGAGTTCTTATGCAACTTACAGGGCAGGAAAAAAGTAAGAATGTTTCAAAATAAAATAATTTAGGGTCTTAGCATTTTGTTTCATGCTGTGTAACGGTTGGGTATGCTCGTTGCTATTGGCCCTTTTTTCATCATCTTTTAAAAAGCCATTAAAACAGGGCGCTGACACAGAACTTACCTGTGTTTGGCTGAGAGAACAAAGGAGAGGAAGTCAAACACAGGCTGAAAGTCAGTTTCAGTGGCATGATTTAAAGCTGGGGTAGGCAATTTATTACATCGCAATTATTCTTGCACGCGCTCCGCCTGTGCACTAACTGTGAATAAAAATGTTATTTGGGGGAGTGGCTTTGAAAGGAGGGGGTGGGATTTTTTCAGTTGGATACTTTCAAAAACTAGCTAGTTTGCCTACCCTAACTTTAACCACAAAATATCATTTAGATTGTTGAAAACACCGTCTTTGTCCCCAGATTTGGTTTTGTCTTTCCAGGTTTTGGGGAAAAGGGTGGGTTCCCTGAGATCTGCCCACTGGACACAGGAAGTTTGTATGTTGATCAAAAATAAAAAGTTAACAACACTACCAAGAGCAGACAAAAGTACAAACACAACAGCTAGCTATGGCTTCAACACCTTGATAATACTTACTAGGACATTTCTATAATGTAGCTGCTAACATACAAAATGAAAACTTGACACGAGAGTTAAATACGGCATTGAATATCAGCTCAATTTGGAAATAAAGTGCAAAGTACAAAATGAATGAATTACTTGGCATGGTAAAACTCAGAATGCATAAATGATGCAAAAGCTTTGGCAACGTTTATAGTTAAGATACAGTATGAGTGAAGCTTTCTCTATTGGTTTCGACATCAAGCTTATTACTTTACACCATGCCTCCACAAAAAACAAACAGTCTACATCAGAACAAAAGTGCTTTTAAATCACAACCATATTGAACACAACACAGGAATAAACATTTTTAAAATATAATCAGACATTATAGCTTTATGATGGGAAAACGTGTGTAAATGTTCAGTACTCCAAATTATTCTTGTTTCCTCATCTTTTACCTACAACCAAACGTCTCCACTGAGCATGGTCGTAGGCGTCTTCTTCTTTCCCTCTTGTAAACGCTACTTTGGTCTGCGTTGTTCTGCTCACACTTGCTACACTTCGTTCTTGTCGCTACGTGTGGCTTCCCTTTATTTTTTAATTTCTCCACACTTGACCAGTAGAGAGGATGGTTGTATCTGCACCCTGAAGAACTGGCTGCTGGGATCCCAACAACCGTGTGTGTGTGTGTGTGTGTGTGTGTGTGTGTATCATTTTGTTTTCTCTCATACCTCTGAAATGTTCAGCACTCTCCAATTGTCTGTGCCTACAGTGTTATTTGTATGCATGTGTGTACCTGCATGTGCATGTATCTGTGTGTGCCTGCATGCAAATTTGGGTTCATAAAACATGACTATTTTCAGACAGGCCCAAAGTACCCATGGTGACCGAAATATAAAATATAAAAATATGTAGACAGACATCATAACTGAGAAATCAACCCAATTTTCTGATACACAAAAAGACTAACTGCATTGTCTGCTTTCAGTTCGTTATGTCCTCAGGTGAGCACGCTTATGTGCTCCTGTCAGTGATCCCATGTGACCTCCAGGGTCACGTAGGATCAGGGGTCAGTTTTAGTCCGGGGGAAATTACTTTACTTGGCTGACTAAACCCAGCTCAGTTAGCATCTGGTGACCTGCACCTTGTTTCTGAGAGAACTGAGCAGGGACTTATGGACGGATCACTGCTTTATAAACTTGCAAAGTCTTACTTTAATGCTTTCTGTTCATCTTTCATCTTTCAATACCTCAAACTGCTTGTTTCTGAGATTCTTCTTGTTTCCCTCCTGTGCTTCATCCTATTACCGTCCCGTCCACTATTTTCCCTCCTTTTTCAGGGTTTAGCGAGGGGGCACCTGGGGACAAAACCTGCTGCCCCCGTCCTCCTCTCGTCCTTAACCTGACATTTACTCTTGCATTCTTTTGCTCCACCTTTCACTTCTGTTCATCCATCTATGATTCCTCAGGATTTGGGGTGTCCAGGGCCGTGCCTGTCTAGGTTGGGGTGCACCTTGTTTTTGAGGGGTGGGGGTTTGCGTTTTCGCTTGCGTGTAGGAATGGTGGTAGTGTGAGCTGGGTGGTTGAACAGGCTGGAGGAGGGGAGGGCCTCTCTCTCTGTGGGGGGGTCCCAGTCCCGGCTAATGGTTGCAAGGGCAGGGGTAGATGGCAAGGAAGGGATTTGTGCAGGGGTACATTGAGGTGCAGTGGGAGTTTTAGGCAGTGAGACATGGGAAGAGGGAGTGTTAGCCGATGAGATGGGGATACAGGAGGGGTCAGAGGCAGATTTATCGGTGACTGGTGTAGGAGGAGGTGCACTGGCTGAAGGTTTGGCTGATGACTGAGGAGTATGAGTAGTGGCAGAGGCTGGTCTGGGCTTTAAGAAGGGAACAGGTGTGACTACTGGAGTCTTTCTGGTGTTTCCACAGTCCTTCGGAAGTTCACTCTTATCTGTCTTTTCCCCCTTTTTGCTCCCTTTGTGGTTTTCTTTGCCACTCTTTCGTTCTCTCCATCCAGCAGAGTCCTTGTCCTCCCCCTTCCCTCTCTGCCTTGACCTGCTCCTCCCTCCCTGGCCCCCACCTCCTCTCTCTCTCCCTCTCCGCCTCCTTTTCCTCTGAGCTCGCTCCAGTCTACACTCGATGTGGTACAGATCCTCTGTTGCCATGGTGACACGGTCAAGCTGTTGCAGCAGGGCGTCCAGGGTGGGGAGGAGCCTCCTCAGAGAGGCTTCGGTCTCTGCTCTCTCCCTCCAGCTGGTACTTCCCATCACCACTCCTGGGCCGAGCCCCAAACCCAGGCCCAGGCCGAGTCCCAGGCCGATCCCCGGGGCTTCTGTCAGGCTACAGGGGCTGGAGGAGGCCGGGCGCCACGAGGCCTCAGAACCTGCATCAACGCTGTCTGGGGTAGGAGGGGAATCAGGACCGTCCAAAGGTGGCAAACACAGGGACTTACAGTCGCTGGTGGAGGACGAACGGGAGGGTGGCATCTCCATGCCCTCAAAACGCACCTTGTGACGAAACTAAAAGGACAAAAGAGGGAAAAAGAGAAGATGGAGGATAAGAGGAAAAGTGTTAGGACTAATGTATGTTTCTCTAAATCTTACTAGTCAGTCCATTAGGTGCCACTAATGGAGTATCATTAATCTTTTCATATTTTGTCCCTATTAAATCTCTAAAATCTTATATAATGACCTACTTAATATAATAGGTTTAACTATTGTGTTTCGTCCCTGAAAGATTCCTGGAAATTGCCACATCAGCTGTAGATGTTAAACAGGAAATGTACCTCCTTGGTCCTGCTAAGTCCCATCCACATTTTGAGTCGTCTGAGAAACAGCTCGACCATCTCGTAGTCTTGGAGATCCACAGCTGGACGGTACAGCTCTGCTCGTGCGCGACGGTAGTTCCTCAGTAACACAGAAGTAACCAACCATAGCAACACCAGCCGTAGAACGGCGAAGCTGGCGTGGAACACCAGCAAGGACAGGGTGCTAGAAGGGCCAGTGGTCATCCAGCTAGGATGCCATGACCGCAGACCACGTCCGGCAGCAGCACCCAGCAAAGACAGGCAGGCAGAGCTCACGCTGCCATAGCTGTCCAATACAGAGTAGAAGAGCTAGAGGGATGGTGACAGAAGAAGAAAAGGATAAAATGATATGTTATTGCCTATATAAACATATATAAATGGCATAAAGAATGGTACATATATCCCCCCCACACCTCTGTGCTGTAGTAATGAAACATTTGCTCAAAAAGACACTACTAAAGAGTCTCCAGACATGCTAGCAGCTCTGTGAGGTTCTTTCAGCATGCTAACATGCTCACAATGACATTTTGATGTTTACTATCTTAGCGTGTTAATGTGCTAATATCTGATAATTAGCAATAAACAAAAAGTACAGCTGAGGTTAATGGGAAAGTAATTAGTTTTGCAGGTATTTTTCATTACAGTACATTTAGCGGCTTTGGACAAAGTGACATTTTGACCTGATGATGGCGCTACATTGTAAAGCTCAGTATTTGTTTTTGGGGAATACTGAATTTTGGAAAGTTGTATTTGGAAATAGGTACAGATGTGGACTAATGGATTAAGGCTACTTTTGAAACCAGGTTTTACACTTTCATGCTTAAAATACCCATCAGTAATGACCAAAAGTAATTAAGGCACTCCAAAAAATATTATACTCACTGGAGAAGACTAAGAGCTCACCAGTGACACAATAGTAGTTTTTAGGATCTTTGTTGAAGAACGTAATTCATTATTATGTATCATTATTCATCATGTACCATTATTATTCATTAAATTATTATGTGTTTCAATGCCTTTTCTGTTTTTCCTCCACTTGTTAGTTCATGTTACATAAGCATACTTTCATTTTTGCAAGGATGTCAGACAGATTATATCTCTGGAACATAATGGTTAAATAAAGGTTATATCGAAATAAAGGATAAGATAACATTGTGTTACTTTATACACAGCTAAGAATCATACATTGTAAACTCTAAATGACTCGGGCAAGTATTAAATAAATGTTGTCGCTTCTTTACCTTTCAGTAAAGCTTCTAATTCAATTCAATTTAATTAATATAGCACAAATTCACAACAGAATCTCAGTGCACTTTTAATGTGGTGTAGGTCTATACTACTCTTTGCCATGAAGATGAAGCTGTGTTATGCATGTGTCAGTCATATGTCAGTGAAAAAATTAAGCTTAATTAGAGTTTACTGGCATTACCTACTGGCATTGAAAAGAAAGTGGAAGGAGGCCATTGCAATGAAACATTTCTGAACAGACTAAACAAACCCATGCATGAAAGGTGAACAAACATGTGGGTGGACAAGGTTATGTACTTGTATTTAATAAAGTGTATTATGTACTGGTTTACATTATGTTTTGCCTGTGTGTGTGGGGGATAGGTTCAGCAAGAGAGCAACAGACGTGAGAAAAAGTCTGACCAGGTGTCCTGTGTGTGAGTAAGCCAGCATCAACAGCAGTAATGCCAGAGCAACGCCCAGCAGCTCCCAGACTGAGCGCCGCAGAGCTCTGCCGAACACGGCCCACTCTCTGAGAAACCGCAACTGGTGGGATGCCTGGGTGATCAGAGAGAGAGCGAGGAAAAAAAGTGTTAGAACCACATAAAAATATAACAAAAATGATGTTCTCTTAGTGTTAAATGAACACGTTTATAATTCCAATATGTTATGGTTTCGGCCATCCCTTCTAGCTGTTATAACATTGTTGTCTTTAAGTAATATTTATTTGGCAAATGCTTTTGTCAGTCTTTATAAGGATAAGGCTGGCGTTATTCTATATTTTACTTATTGTCATCAAATCCCATGAAAAGACCAAAACGTGCAGCGTGTTCTGCAATCTCTTAACTCGAATTCCCTACCCTCTCTGTGGCGCTCAGTTCCAAGCCCATTTATTCCTCTTGAAGATGTAAATCTTTAAAAACGGCAATTACAAGGGTTGGTGGGTTGGGGTGGTGTTGTCTCTCAGCTCCACAGGAGCTGCTGCTGAGTTTGTTAACCCTGAGAAGAGGGAAATACTGCAGTTTCTGTTCAAAAAAGACCAACTTTAACTCCTGTGTCAGCCCACTGTAGTGAGGGGGAAGAATCTGCTCATTTGGAATTGTCATATTATTATTTTATATTATACCCTGCCAAAAACATAAAGCAACTGGTCATGACTGGGATTTGAACTGGGAACCTACTGCATGAAAAACAACTATTCTGCCACTGCACCACTCAAACACACACATAGGGTTAATCCAGAGTTTAATAACCTTCACTTGTTTTGCTGTCAACACATTACATTGGAATTTACAGATTTAACTTTTACTTGATCAGCTCCCAGTCAGTGCTGGCAGATTCTCCTCCTCACTACAGTGATCAGACACAGGAGTTAAAGTTACTCTTTCTAGAAGAGAAAATGCAGCATTTCCCTCTTGTCAGGGTTAATAAACTCAGCAGCAGCTCCTGTGGAGCTGAGGGGCTGACCGACAGCATGACCTGTTAATATCGTTAGGTCTCCATACAAGGGTACAGCTTAGGTAACATTCATCTGAAAATATAGACCCCGAACAACATTATTATTTGGTTATCACACAGGGATAAGAATCATATTTAGATAACATTGTTTCACCTACTTATCAAATGGACAAAAACTTTCCTCTTCCATGTACATTTACTCATTTGGTAGTCACTTTTATCCCCCCCAAAATTAAAAGAATGTTATCATATGCCCATAATCCCTAGACCTGCTGCAATGACAGATGCACTAAGAGGGAATCGATCCCAGGTCTCCCATACTAAAGACAAGAGCATTAACTACTGTACTGTACCATCTTCCCACCCCTTGGATATATATTTATACTGTAACTCACACATACATACTTACAAATAACAGTATTTATGTATGTGCAAGCGAAATATTAAATTTTGGCCTAGGCGGCTTCTCATAGTTCACCTCTGTTTTATCAGCCAAATAAATCTGGTTATTAAAAAAGTAAAAACATTTACTTTAATTTAAATGGTTTTGAGTGTTACCTTTGCACATTTAATCAGGAATGATGCAGATGATTATTTTTTAAATGTGTTTTACTGCACTAAAATATCATTCAGTATAACAGGGGTGTTTATCAAAATAATTAATTTATTGCAAACTTTTATTAATCAAAACTACTAAGATATACAAAGTTAGACTGGCAGACTGCGTTTTGGTGAGTAACAACGAATGTTAACAAATTTTGTTTGTTTTTAGGAAAACTCCACACAGCACTTTTAACTTGATAAAAGGGCTGATGGCCAAAACTACAAAAATAATACCAAGATTTATTTCCTAATATGCTTACATTTCCTTGGCCTTTCTCTCTTACCTTGAGCACCAGTATGAACAACAGCAGGGCAGACATGACTGTATATATCTGACTCTGTCTGGCCAGGGGGTAGAAGTCTGTGAAGGTGTCCTGCGGGTGCTTCAGGTATGACGCCCACTGCTGCGTGGCCATGGTGCAGCGGCTCAGGTGCATCCCACACACGGACGCTGCCAGACCCAGTTTGCAGATACCCAGGAACCTCCAGGCTGACAGCAAGTATGTGTAGCCTTCTCTGAGGAAGCCCATGATCCCCCGCACCAGGAAATACAACACCAGGGCAAGGAGGACCACCTAGAAAACAGGGAAACCACAACATTAAGTCAAGGTGTGTCACCAAAATAACAAAAAACAGTCAAGGACAGGAGAAAGGATTCACGTGTAGCTTGGTGGTATTTGTTATTATTGGGTGGCCAGTGGTTACCATTAGAAGGAGCTGCAGGTCCAGTCCTGTGAGTGGCCACAGAGTGGTGACAAGGAGGTCAAGGCTGGACTGGGCATGCTCCGAAACTGGAAACTCAAACAGGAAGGAGAAGACAGCCAGGAGGTTTGTGTTGATGTTGTACAGCGAGAACTCCACAAACACAGCGCGGGTCCTACAAACACACACACACAAACGAAAACACACTTAATGGACTACAATAAGATAAGGAGTAACTTCTCTCTCTGTTTTTGGACCAACTTTAATATTTTCTGTAAGTTGGGTGTTTCCATCACATTAAGTTTTATTTAATATGAGAGATAAAAAGCACTAACTCCGCCACCCACGTTTTATTGACCTTAAGTTGTTCCCCCCTCAATATTTTCAACCTAATACCAAGTGTGGTATTAACTGGATTAAAGTTTTGTTTATGCCATCAGTTATTATTCTCAGAACAATTGTCGAAAGCCAGCCCACATTCCTAACCCATCTTTACTGGATTATTTTCTATGTTTTAATTTAATGTTTGATGTTTACATGTGCGAGTGTTTCACTGACTGCAGTTTGTAAGACACATAGCACTTCAGGGACAATCAAACTCCCCTCCAGATTTATAAAGCCACGAGAAGGCAAGGCTCTGTTTTCTTCCGTTATATTTATCCCATTATATCTTTTGTATTCATCATTGTGAAACTGTCTGCACATCGAGTCTGATTTCTACTCCCTTACATCTGGCCCCTCGACTTTGGAACAACCTTGCCAGTGAGAACAGTGAGCAAACTCTACTTTAAAGCAGAAAAAAAAATTACTTACATAAATCAGTTTTTATAGATTTTATTGCCTTGACCTGTGTATTTAATATCTGGCAATGTACTAGGATGTTGGAGTGAAACCTAAAATGTTTTTCTAGTATTTCCAGTCCTGTCTTCGCTACCTGTAGTCGAGCCAATGCAGCTGCTGCAGCTGCTGTAAGGAAGAAGAGGCCTCCTCCAGGCTTCTGTTCAGCTGGTGGACAACATCTCCCATCTGAACTGACCTCCACACCCTGGAAAGAAGAATGGGAGGAGACACAGAGAAGGAAAAAAACAACACTTAAAGAAGACCAGATGTTTATTAGATACAGAATCCGGCCTGCAAGTTAACTTAACGCAAGCCTTGTTTACGGAGGGTTTTCAGTCATTTCCTTACCAGTTTTTATCGCTGGCTCCGAAAGCAGCAAAATTCTCTTTGTCTTCAGTTAGAGATGTATCCCAGCTCTTTCCCCAAACACTGTCTCCTACCCTGGAATCACCTGCAACTGGGAAGAGACAGTAAATTTTCAACAAGATCAGAAATGGTACAGTAATAATAATGTCTGCCGGAGTACCTGTGATGCTAAACATTGAAAATGTTATGGAGTTGACTCAATATAATTTAAAGAAAGAAAGAGAGAATTTCTTAAAATATATATTTTTCATGTGTACAGACTCAGTAAGTTTGTAAGGTCAGAACCTCAGTTTATTTAAATAGGTCAGACAGGGACCGCATTTCAATCTCACCCCGAGTGTCACGGATTTGACGGAGCCTCAGTGTGCCGAGTAACACACTTCCTGTGTCTCTCAAGAGGGCGGAGTCATCCAGTAGCCGTGGCAAAAGAGACTTGTTCAGCCACATGAGAACGTCATCTCGGCTAAAAGAAAAAGAAGTAGAGGATTTGAAAATATATACATTGTGTGTTTGTCACATGCCACATTAGTTCAGGATCAACACTTTCTGAAAGACACGCAGGATGACTGTGCAGTTGACTAAGAAATACTCTCGACCTCCTTTGCTTTAAATAAACAACATTTATAGACATGGTTTGCTTGAGCCAAGTTTTTCCACTCTCATTCTCTTTTGGTTTGAATACAATAACACATCCAGGTCAAGTCTCAAGAGCACAGACGAGTGAAAACTGACCCTCGTCATTTGAGTAGCTCAGGAATCCCTTTTTTTTTATGACTTCACACACTGTGTCTCAGCAAAACTTACATGCAGATAAGTAGGAGGTCACCCTTGAAAATGAGATGTTATTCTCAGCGAAGTAGCCAATAAAAAATAATAATAAAAATATCACATTTTTTGATTGGACTACCACAATATCTTCAGATACGCTCAAGTTGTACCTGTTGTGTATGTGTGCGTGTGTACCTGCTGATGTTGTGGTACTCAGGAGTGTGTAGTGCTCGCTGCAGCTGAGTACGCAGTCTCAGGCTGTGTGTGTCTTTGGCTGAGTCAGAGTAGTTGAGAAGCAAAACCACCAACAGGAAAAACATGTAAACCAGGAAATTCTGAAAATGAGAACCAACAATTTCTGTTAACAAACAAGACACACGCGCACACACACACACAAATACACACACACACACAGTAAAGGTATAAAGACATTTTCTAGCATCAGCTCTCTAACCGTCTATCTTTTTCTGACTCACCTTCAGCATGGTGTGCAGCATGTGGACCTTGCGGGCCTGGTGTTGAGCCTGAGACAGAGCAAAGCCTTGTGGTGGTCTCACCCGGGGGACCCGTTGGACCACTCTCTCCACACGGGGAAACTCTACCAGCACATCCTGGTCCTCTGGACGCAGGCGAAGCACACACACTGCATAGTAAACTGCCTCACAAAACACCTATGGGACAGAGGGCAAGGGAGCAACGCAGCTGTTCAACTCCAGAAGTTGATGAATTTGCTCAATCCAAAATTGATTGTGCTATTCACAATGATCAGCTGAAATGAAAATAGGAAAACCTTTAACATGACCACAGCCAAACAGGAATTTAGCCCAAGGAACATTTGGATCTGTGCAGGATATGTACAGAATTCCAGCTTGAAGACATTTTTAATTCATCAAGTGTTTCAAGGGTACAAAAATGGCAGGATGAATATTTAAACCTGTGTCAATTGATTTTTTTTTTGGCCACAAGGGGTCAGCGAAACAAGCGGTAAGTACACCATAATATGATGAACTTAAGTGTCAGTGTTGCAAATTTACGCATCTAGCAGATACATCAGCATTTATTTGGAAATGTGTTTTTGGTCAAGTCCAATATTAACTCTACTTTTAGCTCTGTTTTGGGTTTCCATCAACAAATGAGTCTCTTTAGCCGCAAAACGCTCCACTATGTTCACCAGCTAGTTGCTAACTTTGTCTGTCTGCTAACTGGAGTACAATTGAGGACAGCTTGTTTCCTGAAAACAGCTGCCTATTGCGGCCAAAAAAATGCATTAATGAGAGAGGTGAGAGCCAAAACATTGAAGTTGCAGGCGTCAAAAATAAAACAATGAGCTGAAAGTCTGGTGATAATTCTCTGGGGGTTCACTACAAGCAATATCTTTAAAATGACACATAGTCATTTGATTCATTGTTAATATAAAATATTGTTTAGTGCAGCTTTAAAAAAAGAAAAGAAAAGAAGGTGAATTCAGAAAAGAATATGTGGTAAGATATTGTAGCATCTTTGAGAATAAATGTGTGCGTACCTTAATCGGCTCCAACATCAGGAAGGAGCACAGGAAACTGGCAAAACAGGATATGAGCCACATCATGGCCACATTTTGACTGAACCCAAGGCCCGCCCAAATCGAAACACTACTAGCCAGAGCGATTCCTGCCCAGCTGCCCCATAGGGCGGCACGTCCACACCAGGGAGGAAACCGTCTGGGACGACACACGTCTGTCACAACTGGAGAGGGGAGGTGACAAGTTGGGAAGTGGGGTAATTAAGAACAAGATAAAACAAAGCAGTTTGATCAGGCAAGAAAGTTACCTCCTGAGAGTAAATACCTTTTTAATTCACAGTATTTACTACTTAAATGCAAAGAATTTGCATTTTAAAAACTTTGGACCCAGGGCACAAATGCGACTTATCTTTTTTTTTTTTTAAGATAATAAAAGCAGGTGCACGATGCATACATTCTGGTTTCACATCAAAATATAACTATAATGGCCTAGATACACAACCTCCAGCACTGGGCTCATTACTGAATAAAAGCAACTCAGCCTTACTCATTACTCACATTTCTTTTTCAAATGTAGTCATCAAACTTTGCTCTTTACCTAATGAGAGTTACAAGTCTCATCCTAAAATAAAAGGAGGTGATTTATGTCCTGCATGCAGAGCAGCAGCAGTACAGTTTGCAGATCATTTATCTATGAGGAAAATCACATTCAGGATGCCTTTAAGTCCTGTTGTTGTGATGGTATTTTAGATTTCATGTAATGATTTTTTTGCACCTGCATTCAATTTATAAATCGACAACTGGGACCTTCTTGTCATTTTGTTTGTTAAAATAATCTGGAACCAAAGTAGCAGTAACACTAACACAAGGAGAAACTAGACTTATGTGCTATTTTCTGTTAAGCTATCAATCACCTGCATACTATAGAAAAAAATTAAAGTAAAAATACACAGATTTTACTTCTAGAGGTAAACGAATAAAATTTATTTATTAAAATGTTCAATTTAAGAGGGCACCAAACGTGATTTTACAAAATATTAAAGGTCAGTACGAAACAATATGTATAATTATTTGCATTTGCTCTGAACATTTGACAGGATGTTACACCGCTGTCATTTTCATTTATATGGGGTGTAAACAACAAATCCAAAACTTGCATTAATTTAGTTTCAATCACTTTCCATACATCTTTATTACGGGCACTTGTGTGCAATGTGGTACTAAATGACCCTTACAATATGTTTTCACTGAACTAGCTTGTCTGCTAGCAACATATTTTTTTCCTGCTGCAATTTGGTTTTATTTTTCCTTTACATTTCAGCTAATTTTCTATTGATTAATCCCTATTTATAATATAAATATATTAGAATGTTGTCATTACTTCTTCGTTTATTGCTACTGGAGGCATTACGGATTTCACACAAATAAAATCCCTATATGGTTCTGCAAAATAAAATATCAATGAGTAAAATTTGTGTCTGCTTGGCTATTCCTGCTCTGAGCATACACATATTTAGTCAGGTGAATGAACTTTGAATGAATTTGGACTGACAATTCAAACTTACACACACACACACACACACACACACACACACACACACACACACACACCTGTATTTGAGGTGAAAGCAGTTTTCGGTGGGTCTCTTCTCACAGATTCTAGAGGAAGAGGATCATTCAGCTTCTGGAGGAGAATCACCTCTGTCTTATCTCCAAAAATGCTCGACCTGAGACACATGCAGGCAATGGAAATAAAATGACCCAGGCAAATCCACATATGTTTCAGGTAAAGCTAGTGAATATTAACATTTCATAAAAGAAAAAAAAATTTAAACTTACAGGTCAGCCATCTCACTTTCATCTGCCTGAGGAAAGAAGTTCTGTCCATCTGTCAGGATGTGTTTGATCAGATCCTCGTCTGTTAATGAAAGGTATGGACTTCAATACTCTCACTGAGACAGTGTAAAAATATAACCAACCGCTCAATGCACTCAATAAATCGAGCAATTGATGATTTAAAAGCTTTCCTGATTTGGTTACCTGAGGAGGTGAAATATTTGTTGCGTTGGTCAATTGCCTCCTCGTCGTCAGGGTTAAAGGTCATGTCGACGCCCAGGTGGCGGCTCCCCTGACCCCTCTTCAGCCTTGGCAGCCCTGCCCCATGCCCTGCCCCTCCCACCACAGACACATCACTCAACAGCTCCGGCCAATCCCTGTCCTCCATTTCCTCCTCCGCCATGCCCCAACTCTCCACGCTGAAATACAAAGCAAGAGATGTTGATGCAGTAAGACTTCATCAAATTGTTCAGTTACTTTAATAGTCTTCAGAGTTTCTGCTCCGTCTCTCTTAAAGCTAACAAAACAATCACGTTTCTCAGTGAACAATTACGATGTTGTAATAACATTAGACTCAGTGCTGAGATAATTATGTCTTTTAGATTTATAGCTGTTTTGTGGCAAGAGAGAATACTTTTGATCTTTTCAGTCTGTTTCAGGCCACAATCATCTAAATTACAAGCTATTTTCCCCTTTTCCTTTTAGTTTTGATGCTCTTTATTCTTCTATTCTCTCTTATCCTCATTCGTTTGACAGCTGGCAATTACAGTTCCCCTTCGAGGGAACTCGAACTGTGTCGGTGACGACACTATGGGAACGCCCCTGGGCGTGGCAGGGCTGAACTATGAATGAAACTACTACAATCCTATTGGTGTTACTAGAACGGTAGTGTGTGACGGCGTAACTGGAGGGGGTATATAAGCACGCCGGCACATAGGACACATTAGCTTCTTTCTATTCAGCAGGCACTCTGGCTATGTTTGGAAACTCCATTTTCCTACCTGACATCGAGACGAAGCAGCAGATCATGTCAAAGCGATTCCGACAGTGTGTCTTCGCTTGTGAGCGTTTCATCACAGAAGGTGATACACATGGGATGTGCGTCTCATGCCTGGGGATGTCGCATGCTCAGGCGGCTCTCGAGGGGGCTGCCTGCGACCATTGCGAGGCCCTGCCCCTGAGGGTGCTGAGGTCTTGAACGGCTCTTTTCCTAGAGGATGGTCGGATGCGCTCCCCTCGTGTTACAGGCCCCGCGGTCGCTGAGGCGTAACGGCGGCTCCGATCCTGGGGATCACAATGCGAGATCGCAGAGGGTGCCGGAACGGCTGAGGCCTTTTTCCGGTCCTCGTCCGCGGAATCCTCCTCCCCTCGTCCCCGATCGGGAGCCCGTTTCTCCCACTCGAGGGGCGAGTCCGGAAAGGCTGACACGATCTGGCTCTGAGGAGCTAGATGTGCTTAGCATAGAGGAAACGGAACGTCATCAGCCCTTGCCAGGATACGAGGAGTTGTTGGAAGTGGTGACGCGGGCCGTGGCCAAGCTGCACATTGATTGGCCACAGGCGGTGCAGCAGCCATCGGCAGGCAGCAAACTAGATGAGCGGTTTCTGCAACACCGAGCGCCACCCCCGCGTCGGCCCCTACCATTTTTTCCGGATCATGTAGATCATGGAATAAACCCTTCTCTGCGCGGCTGTCTACATCCCCCCTGGCTGGACTACGGCAACGTGACGGGAATCAGACAGCACGGCTACGGAGCGATGCCACGAGTGGAAGAGGCACTGGCTAGCTACCTCTCTCCCAACCTCGCCTCATCCCTCCGGACGCCAGCGCTCCCCACCAAGCCGTGTCGGATGACGTCCGATTTGGTGGGCAAGGCCTACATGGCAGCGGGTTGAGCTGGTGCCAGCCTACATACGATGGCTGTCTTGCAGGCATACCAGGCCGATCTCCTTCGGGACTGTGACGTAGGGGGAGGTCCCTCTGAGGAGGATCTGACGGATCTCCGTAGAGCGACGGACTTGGCTCTCTGTGTGACCAAGGAAACGGCCCGTTCCATCGGCCGATCCATGGCGGCTTTGGTGGCTACGGAGCGCCATCTGTGGCTCAACCTATCAGGCATCCAGGGGAAGGAGAGGGCTTTTCTCCTGGATGCGCCCCTCTCGCCTTCTGACCTGTTTGACGAAGCAGTGGATGCTGTCGTCAACAGGTTCCAGCACGCCAAAACTCAGGGAGAGGCATTTGAGCGATATCTCCCCTGCCGGTCAGACTCCAGGACCGCGACGGCTCAGGAAAGGCGGACGCAGCCTTCATCCAGCACCTACCGCCACAGCCAGAAGCAGAGCGTCGCTTCGCGGGATCCCACAGCCCGGGGGAAGAGGTCCTGAGACCTCGAGTAGGGGGACCCACCCCCAGCCCCGAGGGGCGAAGGTCGCGGAAGCTTGGCGAAGCCTCGCGAACATTTCCCCGTGGGTCCTCCGCACAGTAGTAGATTCGCCCCCCCAGATTCTGCGGGATGGTCGGGAGTACAGTACACGCAGAACAGAGCCGTCAGGTTCTGCACGCTGGGGGCAGGCAGGGTTTCGGTGCGGCCTAAGTGGGTATCTCGTTCCCATAGTGTCGTCACCGACGCAGTTCGAGTTCCCTCGAAGGGGAACGTCTCGGGTTACGTATGTAAACCTTGTTCCCCTCGAAGGGGAACGAGACACTGCGTCGGTCCACCACACCTCACCCCGCCTGGAATGCCTTGCTTCATAGAAAGCGCTAATGTGTCCTATGTGCCGGCGTGCTTATATACCCCCTCCGGTTACGCCGTCACACACTACCGTTCTAGTAACACCAACAGGATTGGAGTAGTTTCATTCATAGTTCAGCCCTGCCACGCCCAGGGGGGTTCCCATAGTGTCGTCACAGACGCAGTGTTTCGTTCCCCTTCTCGGGGAACAAGGGTTACATACATAACCCGAGACGTTCACTTGGCAACAAGTAAAGATATGCATTATCTACAAGGGCTGTCATGGCAACAGCATAGTAACTCACCTTTTGGTTGACGGAGTGGGCAAATCCACATTGGTTTCTTCAGAGTTGGTCTGAGAAACAGAGAGGGATGGATGGATGGATGTACAGACAGATACATTGAGAGAAAGACAGAGAGAGGGAGAGACATACAATAATGATCTCACAAGGGACAAGCATACATTATTTCCTCGCTTGACAAGGCCGTTCTTTTTCTTAAACAATCACAAAGCCAGAAAAACCTTGGGATTTATTTCATGTTAATATTGATTCTGTGATAAAGTAAAAAAACACACTGAGGCACCTGAACTGTTATCGTATAAGGCATGATTCAATTTGATATCACCACCGTTTCCCAAGAGACTGTACCTCGCCATTAAAAAAGAGGAAGGAACTTCCAGCCATTGAGTTGTCCAGGAAGTCATCAATCTCCACTGACTCCTGGTCCACTTGTGGTGGTACCTGCTCAACAGACACACACTAATGTTCACACACACACACACACAAACACAAACACACACACGCACACACACACACACACACATTCAGCTTCATGTTTTGTCTATAGGAGGTACCTTTAAACCTTGCTTGTGTTACAGTTTCGGGCAAGTTTGCATTACCTTGCTGCGGCTCATTCTGAAGAGTGTGAAGACGAGCAGGTAGAGAGGGTAGACGATCAGACAGGTCACAACACCTGCTGTCACAGTCTCTCCATTTAATGAAGCAAGCCTCGACACGGCCCGCGGGCTGCAGCACAGGATGGCATTTAGATGTAGGAACAAATCACCAGTAGTTATAATATGGACACAAAGACAGGAAGACAGAAAAAAAGACCTATACCTGTATCTTTTATCCACCACAATGCTGTACCAAAGTGTGTTGGCCAGCACAAAGAGCTGCAGTAACACAGCGCAGCACGTGGCTCTCTGCAGGCGGGTGAAAGGGCTGCGGGGGGGTCTAACCCACAGCGACAACCACAGATGACTCTCACACAGCGCCCTCTGCAGCTCACAACGCAGGAGGCGGGACCGCTGAAGAAGCGCAGCCTCCTCTGCAGGAAACAGGAAGTAACACAGTGTAGTGAACAAATCATAGACAGTATTTAACTGGACAAAGCCACCCCACTGGTTTGAATGGAGAGCAGTAAAGCCAGTTTTGTACCAGTAAAATACAACTACAGGGCTGCTTCCTGTTGGCACCAGCGTTTACTGCGCATGATCGTGCAGCATAACCGTGGTTTAATGATGTAGAGCAACGACAGAAATACCGTAGTTCTGGTAGTTGCATAGCTGCACTAACATAAAGTTTCATGGCTCAGTGTGTATGTCTGAGTCAAATCGTCTCTGTTAACCAGCCCACCTATGAGGCTCACCTGTCAAACACCAACGCAGCGTCACTGGGGGCCAAATATTTTTTTTAGATTGCCAAGAGTTTATAATCTAAGCAATACGGTTACATCTCTCATGTGCAACGGGATGTCACAGGGTTTTGACGTCATTTTTGGGCCTACATGGAACCCTCCATGCAGGCTTTGGTCGGCTTCACTCTTCGATCTCTGGCTTACCCCCTTGCAACAAACAGGCATCAACCATCAGCAGATGCTCATCATGGAGGATTTGGTCGTAGTTTCTTACCTGAGGCCTCCACCTCAATCTCTACCCGTCCGTCAGTTCTCTCATTGTCGACTGACAGCCACTCCTCAACCAGGAAGTAGTAGCTACTTCCCGTCTGCAAGTCTTTGACCAAGACGTACTGTAGCATCCACGCTGGGGAAAGACCTAAGGGGAGGATCAAGAAATGATCGTTGCAGGAAATTTGTTTCAATATTAGTTTATTAACCTCTTTTCTGATGACAAGTCTCTGTTGTGTGTTCGCATGTTAATCAGTACCCTTGTTGTCGTGCCAAATCCGTATTTTCCAGACACTGCCCAGGCTGGTATCCGTGGCAATATGAAAGATGTCAAGAGTGTTGCGTGTGAAAGCTCCTCTGCTGTCAAGATGCCGATGTCCACTGCGGCTCTCACGTCCATACAAACTGATTCCCACATGAGCCGTGGTGCCTGGAGAAACAGAGAGAGACTTATACTGACTATTTCTACAAATTCTGAACTCTGCAGAGCCTCTTCCTTTTTTATCAACATGAACATGATATGAACACGTTTTGTGGTAACATAGTTTAACACATATGTCCACTTTTTACCATCCTGACAGGTGTCTAACAGTGTGCCCCTCCCTAACTCACCTGCCCCTCGGCTCCAACCAGTCTTGACCTGGATCTCGTACTTGAAGAGTCCGTCTTGGCCGCAGAGTGGAACCACACCAGCCCGGCGGAGATCCAGCTGGTCCAACTTGTGCAAGATGGCTGCTGCCACAACATAGCTAAGTAAGCCCAACACGCACACCAACAGCACAACCAGGCTTGGTGCACCAGAACGCTCCTGAAAGACGAGGAAATGTGGTGAAACAAGTGTGCGTTTATCTGGCGCATGTGCACAAAAGGTCTTCGTTTGTGTGATACTGACCGGCACTTTAAAGCTGATGGCATTGGCAGGTACAAACAGGCCTGCTGCGAAGGCTGTGAGGTGCCTGGTGCGACAAACAGCTCTGCTGGCTTTGGTTTCTGCCAGGGGCACCATACCATCTGTCCGCCACTGCTTCTCACTCTCACTGAAGTACTGACACAAAGAGGCAAACACCCCGACCTCCAGATGAATGCCCACAGGGTGAGAGCTGGGGCTGCAGGCCGTGCTCACGTTGATAAAGTAATCCAGAGTGGTGTCGTACGACCTGTTGAACACAGGACAGAGGAATCGAATCCCAGACACAAACTCCCAAACTCCCAAATGAAATACCTTCAGTTGCTACTAAATGTTTATCATTCTGAGCTACTTTTGTGTGCATGTTTAGTACACATTATATTACATGGCAGTGGATGAACAAGGGCTCTTACTCTGGCGACAGGAAGAAGGTATATTTCCTGTGGTCAAGATCTCGCCCCCTGGTCATACGGAGTTGGATATGTTTCTTGTCTGTGCAGTTGAACTCATTGGGTCTGTCATGTAAATGAAGGTAGGCTGTGATGTATGGCTCCTCCATGTCCTTTTGTCTTTTGTCCTTCTCTCTGGTGTCTGGACAAGGAAAGGAAAAAATATAGAGGAGAATGAAGTTGGGCCAAGACATTAACCCAACACCTAAATATAAAAAGGATAGAAGTGTAAGAAAAAATTAAATAAAAATAAATAATTAGGACTCTATTAATCAAATCACTTTTAGGAACCATGGTATGTCACCAATTACCAAACCAATTATATATTTCACTAAAGGCCCGCCCTTTTTTGTGTTCCAACCCAATTTATTTTTGGTCAGAATGCTGAGGCTGGTTTTGTGGTTTTGTGTTGGCAGAAAAGGCCTAAAAGTTCAGTTAATTATAAAAGGTGAAAAGAAGACACCATAGTCTGTTGTATTAGATTAAATGGTGAATTGTCTACAGTTTCTAATTGTTTTCCTTTCTTTGTTGTTTAACAATATATATTTCTGTATTCTGGTCCTGGCTAGGCTGGATCTGGAGTCTTGTAAGCTCATGCAGGCTGGGCATAACTGTATATATGAAATAATAATTAAACTTCATTCATTCTTTCAGTCAATCATTTTGTTCAACCTCTTTGTGCCAGTTATGTCAATGCCTCTACAGAATGTATAGTAGCAAGCTATTCAAAATTCACACTGCCACTCTGTTAGGCTGCAATTACATTCGGAACTGATTTATAATTATTATATATCATTTCTATCATTAAAATTGCATTAGATGTTCCTATTTAAATGAATTATAAAGAAACTGAGGTGTACCAAACCAGCATAGTATGGTTCTTTATCAATCCCAGATTGCCATTTGACAACTACTTGGACTCAACAACCGTATAAACAACAAAAGAGAGAATAATAAAAATGAAAAGACTACAAGAGGTCAACCTCTTTTATAATTAAGTCCAACTCAACACTACTGCTGTTACACACAGATTTCTCAAAAATTTCACAATTTAGTAAGCTTAACCAATGGGCATGTTTATTGTACTGAATTAATTTTTTTGTCTACCCCCCAGTGTGTGCAGTGTGTATAGTAACTCACTTTTGTTGCCAGTGGTTTAGACATTAATGGCTGTGTTTTGTGTTATTTTGAGAGGACAGCAAATTTACAATGTTATACACTCACCACTTTACGTTGTAGCAAAGTGTTTTTTCTTCAGTGTTGTCACTTGAAAAGATATAATCAAATATTTCCAAAAAATTGAGGGGTGTACTCACTTTTGTGAGATACTGTATGTGATGATTGTGAGAGCTCACCCTCCAGGGAGGTGAAGTTGAGCTGCACAAACAGCCCTGCCTGTCTGTTGGTGTTTCCTGCGCTGACCCTGACGATGACGGAGTCGCAGTAGCTGATGTTAACAGCTCCAGCTGTGGGGACCCCTCCGGTACCAGAACCCTCAGGACCTGCTTCCGCTCCACCACTTCCATTGTTAATGGCTACAGTGATGGCTAGACTATCGTCCAGTCCGGAGATGGGAATCTGGGTGCCATTTTCAGTGCGGAACTCCATGGACGCCACTTCGGTAGAGACGGTATAGTTTGCCACATAGTTGAAGGGGAAAGGGTTCGACTCCACCTGGTGAGAAAAATCCCAAGAGGATGTGGAGGAAATTAGCTCTGATGAAGTGAGAGTAAAACAGAAATACAAAACAAGACCACAAGTTCTCTCTGTGAGTGTGTACCCGTCCGTCAGTTCTCTCATTGTTGTGAGGGTAAAACAGAAATACAAAACAAGACCACAAGTTCTCTCTGTGAGTGTGTACCCGTCCGTCAGTTCTCTCATTGTTGTGAGGGTAAAACAGAAATACAAAACAAGACCACAAGTTCTTTCTGTGAGTGTGTACCAATGAGAGACTTTGGCACCAGCAGATTTTAGGCTGCCAAGTTTAACAGCGATCAAACAGTTTCACAGGACAATTTTGAACTCCACTGAGTGGTTTCCATCATGTTATGTGTGTCCTGATGTTACCTGGAACAGAAGCTGCATGATGCTGTTTCCTGCAGCGGCTATGCCAAGACTGTTGTTGAAAGCTCGGGGAATGGAGAACCGCTGGCACTCTGAAAAAAAGAGGAGAATAGAAGCTTAAACGTGGTGAACGTGTTTCTGAACAGTACTAGATTTTTACTTATTATTTTTATTTTTATTATGAAGAAATTGATGAAAGTTACCACCTATAGGAGACAAAAAATTTCATCAGCTCATGAGACACTAAATACACAAGCCCACCTGGACTGCTGTTGTCATGGTAGCAGAGCAGGCTTTGGGGGTCTGCCAGTTTTCCCGTGGCAGCGATCTCGGCTCCCCTCAGCACAAGCGGCTCCTCATTGAGCACACGGGCATGCATGAGGATCAGCATGAGGACTGAGGACAGGCTGTAAGCCTTGGCCGCCACTCGCAGAGGGTGTTGCTCCAGTGAGGAGGGAGGGGGTTCTAACAGCATGCCTCCTTGCTCCTCACCAGAGGAGGAAAAAGAGGGGGTGAAGTGGGGTGAGGGGGAATCCACGTAGGCGGGCTGGAGGTAAGACTGGGATGCTGACTGGCTGACCTGATGGATCAGATCACCTGGAGGGAGGGAGAGGATATGAGATAAGGTTAATAGCAAAGGGAGATGAGAAGAGGGAAAAAAGAAAGGTGGAGAAAACGTTACAGCTGCACAGTTTCCTTCACTGTCATTTGTTTGATGATTCTTATGATACTAAATATAAATCTTACAGTATCGGACAGAAAGCACTGACTGATTTGCATCAAAGATTTACTGAAGATGGTTGAAATGCAGAATAAAAAGGCCTTCATGGGCAACATGACTAAATGATTTGAATCCTGTAAAACAAGTTGAATAAATACATATATTATGAGCAAGAGTAGCAGTTTTACAGTAGATCTATGCTATTTGTAGCCACACTTTGCCACATAGCACTGCCTCCAATCTGATGCATAGCTTCATCACTAGCTAAATAAACCAGTCAGGCCTTCATAATAGATGTTATAGACCAAGCGCAGGATCTGGTTATAAGCAACAGCAGTCAGAAGGCACTGTCCTCCGCTTAGCCATAAACATGCAGGGTCCTTAGCTCTTCCTACAAATTACTTTTATTCAGATTTTGAGACCAACAACACTGTTCTGAAAGATGGGAACACCAAGGCAATTACAGAGACACAGAAAACTTTCTGCCTTACCCATGATGTTCAAGATGTTGTCAGCTATCTCAGTGGGCGTGACAGTGCCCTGCTTGGTGTCACTTTGCAGTATCTCAAGCATGGACTCCAGCTTGTTCAGAGTGCTGTTCTGACACTCTTCACAGATAAACTCTCGACTACCCGCCTGGAAAACACACACACAAACACACAAACTGATCATTTGTTGGCTTTCTTGACTGTTTCATTGTCTTTGCCCTTTTTTCGTTTGTTTTTTTATTTTCATGCCCTCTTTCCTTTCCTCACAACTTCCCCTCGCTCTCATCCTGCTCACCGTGCACTGAGCCAAAGCAGCGGAGGTCTGCTGGATGTCGTTAACGGTGTTGAGGTCTAGAGCAGTCAGAGCTCTGGTGATGTTGCTGCGGACTCTGACCCGGTAACTGCGCTCATGTTGGGACACCCGCACTGACTCCCTGGTCTGCTCATACTGGAAGAAAGTAAATACAGGTATAAGTATACTTCATGTATTATCAATTGATGAGTGATTGGACTGATAAATGTATTAATCAATGTTGGTTTGCAAAGCCTACCTCATTTAGGACTGTAATAAGAGCCAATGATAACTCTCTGACCCTCTGGGAGTCTCCTTGCTCCAACAGCTTTTTGAGTTCGCTGTCTGTCAGCTCAGACAGCCAATGGGGAAGGCTGCTGTATTCAGGGGGCGGATCTGGCAGCACAACCTCAATGGAACTGGAAAACAATATCCCATTACGGGATAGAGTGTTTCTAACTTTGCTATATTTGTCTCGACCTGGATGTGCATGCATTTGCCTGCATGTGAGTGCAAGGACAGTAATATGGTTTAGCCACCTCAGGGACAGGATTAGAGGTGTTAGGATACATTTTTTTTTCTTTTCTCCCCCAAGAATCAGATATATTTGTGAATGCTATTTAGCCATGATGGCAACGTCAGTTTTTTGGTCCACTACTTAGGTCCAGACTAAAATATCTCAACACAATGATACAGCCTCACAGATCATGGATGTAGACTCTTGTGTAATGTCTCTGTGGTTTGATATCAGTGAACTTTGTGCTCTCACTTACTAAAAGCAGAGAAATGCACTTTTTCCAGTGTTGTTGGTTTAATAAATGGTGCTTGTTAACCTAACTACTGTATTTATAATAAGAGCATAGATTAAAAATATGTTTTCTGACATAAATGTACAGTAATATTAGTTGGACCAGCATCCAACTTTCTTTTACAGGAGCTGCTGCTAGATCGTGTAATAATTTAACAATTGATGTAAGAGTTGCTAAATTCACTGTTCAACACACAAAGAGCTAAATGATAATAAGCGTGTGGTGAAAGACAAAAACCTCGAAGAAGGCAGAGATTTATGTCACTGCTCAGAAAATCTGTACAGGCTCAGCACACTATAGTAGCTTGGGAGGTAAACAAAATTAAAGTTGGAGGACTGAACTTATTTAATTGGCCTCGCTGCTGCATAACTGAACTAACCAAACAACAAAATGTACTTTACTTGTTAAATGCAGTGATGGCAGCTCCCTGGTGGTCCTCAACTGTGATGGTAACAGTTACAAGGTGATGGGATGAGCTGAAGCCTGGAGGCAGGAAGGCTGAGTGCTCAGGGCTGCTGCCTTTGTACACACAGAAGTCCTCACAGTAGTCCTCTCTGCAGCGTGTCACCAGTAGGCTGTAGAGCAAAGGAGTCTCTGAGACGCCTAGATCACTGTAGCCTGGAGGCAAGAGAGTGTGGGAGACAAAGTGAACAGACAAGATGACGTGTGATTGGACAGATTTAACAAAATCCAAAACATTGAAAAAAATCGGGGAAAAATGATTAAAGCATGCCTTCGTTCTTCCTACCTGAGCAGATGAAGTGCAGCCGGTCCAACAGTGTGCGTATCCTCCAGCCTTCACCGTCTCTATCTCCCACTCTCAGCTGACACTTCCCCCCATCCGGGGGCATATTGTGCCGCAGAGTGATGGAGGCGGCGCCCTCGCCATCCAGACTGCTGTCGGTCACGTGCAGGGTAAAGATGTAGGATTCTCCGTGGCGCAAGACGCCCTGCCGCAACACCAGGTTCATGCCATCACTTCCTGTGGTGGTGGAGGAGGAGTCTAGGACCAGAGTCTTGTTCTGCAGCGTCATGGCACTCCAACGCTGAGAAACACACAGAGAAAGATTTTACTAAAAGCAAGATACATTTGGTGATTTCTTCAGAAATACAAAGGCACTAATAAATTTAATGAGCAGCAATTAGCCAGCCTAAAAGCCCTGATTAAAAGGTAGGGACTTTTATTTTTCTTTCTTAAATTGTTTTGATTTTTGCCTTATAGTGTTTGGTTTACTACAGACTAAACATTTGGAGCCAGCAGTGACCACGATATAGTTTTTGGTGAGTTTTTTTTTCCTGGATAACAGGTTATGCGGTAATTAAGTTGAGGATGCGAGGCACACAATGGAGAATAACAGCTTTAAAGAAATAGTTCAACATTTTGGAATATACAATCGCTTTCTTGCAGAGACTTGGATGGGAGGACTTATACCACTCTAACGTCTGTCTGTTCAGTGTGCAGCTAATTGCCTGGAAAGCTCATAAAACACCAGCACCCAACTCTCTGTAAAAGCCAAATATTTTACACTTTTTTTGATAGTGAGGCCTATGAGTACATTTCTTACTGTGCTGTGTCCATATTGTAATTTAAAGTCTCTCAGATCAGCAGACCAGTGTCTACTGGAGGTTCAGTATAAATCATAATCAGCACTGTATGAACTCCAGCTTTAAGTGAGCTCTTTTGTTGACGTTATTTCTGTTCATGTTTTTTTGTACTAAATGCTTTTATTGTGAAACGCTTTGTAACTTTTGTTTGGAAAAGTGCTACATAAATAAAGCTTTACTTACTTTGATCGCTTTCACACAGGCTTTACACAGCATGAAAGAGGTTGAAGCTGTGGATGGAAAATCAACTTCTTCCAGCTGTTTCTATCACAGCTGATGCTATTCTTTTCCTTTTCTGATTCCGTGTACGTGTGAGAACTACATGTAATCAGATATATGAAAAAAAACTACTAATTCAAAATTACCCTGTGTAGTGTGGAAACTGAAGTAATTATAAATAAGTGACCTAGGTTAGATTATAGCTGAGCACAGTCAGCTGGTATGTGCAATTGGAGGCCCGGTGACTCTTATCTTTCAAATTGTTTTCCTGCATTAGTAAGGACCAAACATATTCTCTCTGGCTCCACTTGTACAATGACCTCATCTTCACAGCCACACACTGTTGCCTGCATCCCAGGAAAAGTTTGAATAAAGGAGAGAGTTAGAGCAGGAGGCGGAGGGGGAATGAAAGGATCTGGAAATGTTGATTTCACTTGTAGTGACCTCATTCTGCAGTGAGATAGAGAGTTGGTTTTAGAGTGTGTGTGTGTGTGTGTGTGTTTACCCCACGATGAAAGCCCTGGCAGTTGGTGCAGGTTCCTCTGAGGTAGACATACGAGTTCTGGCTGACCTCATAGATGGACTGGGCCTTACAGGACACACACTCCAGATACACCATGGGAATATGGCCACTCTGGACAAGCACCTGTTTCTCACACACACACACACACACACACATGCTTTTTGTTGTTTAATCTTATATTTTATCTAACCAATCAGGGTCAATGTGTTTGTTCTAGCAGCCGCTTTTTGTTCCTGGTTGTTGAGCCACTTATTACTATTATGTATTACTATAATATTATTATTATTATCTATTTATTATTATTATATTATTATCTATATTAGTATGTATATATATATATTTAAATCTATATATATTTAAGGATGAAAATGTTGACTAAACCTCTGCATTATCAATAATTCATGCTTACTTTAACACAGCCAACGCCAAAACAAACACAACCGCTGCTTAAACTACATCTTACACTGTGATCCACCATCAACAGGTTTTTCAACACTGGTCCGTTTCTTCCTGATTGCTATGTGTCACAAATTACAGCGTGAGCCACTATTCTGACAGCAGAAGTGGACCTGGTAGTCAAAAGGGCAGTGAGTGAGTGACAAATCACTTCTAACATGCTCAACATGTTTGAGTAAGAAAAGACAGAGGAGGAACATAGCACTGTCCTCTGTTTAACATGATGTAACAGGGTTGTTTGAGGAAGTATACAACATAAGACTGCAGCCAGCATGAGATTTGGGCTCTCAATTGTATATTTAGTACTTATAAGGTGTATACTGTATATAAGAGACAGATAAATTGGCTGGGTTGGGTCGCCCAATAATTGATTATTGCAGATATATGTTGGCTGACAAGTAACAAGAAATTGCAGTACAGATATGTCAAACTAGGTCTGAGGTAATTTAGAAAGAGTGTCACCATTAAGTAGTTTGTCCACCAAAGACCACCAACTGTATTGGTTGGGGTAAACGTATGTAAGATAAGATTTCTAAAAGCAATTATAACAGAACAATCAAAATTTGTGTAGCAGAACAACATTTTTTTTCTTCTTGTCAATCCCATTTATCATCTTGCGGCCCATTTTAGGGGGTGCCGACCCCCGGGTTGGGAAACATCAACTTAAAGCATGCGTGTATTCATGTGTGTGGGAGAATGTGTGCACTTACAGTCTGTGTCGTGGACTCTGGCGCCATGCCGTCTTTGCTGATGGTCAGTCTGAAAGTGTACTCAACGCCGGCCTCCAGCTCGGAGCCGGAGATTCCCAGCACCGGATCACTACAGCCCAGGCCAAAGTTCAGGCTGGAGCAGTGCTCTGCACCCTGCACACAGGAAATGGGAGGGAGAAATTGGGTAACAATTTTAGCAGTTTTAAAAATAAAACATGAGAACAGGGTTGGTATATTACAGCAATACTAATATTCTGAGTAAAGGTAGGTAATATATTGATAGAAGTGGGAAATTAGATTGAATTTAGTTAGAGTAAAAATTAAATATATGTTCATTGTAATGTAGACATTAACACTAGAAAATTCCATTCAAGAGGTTTGACTTAAATTTATTTGTCAATTTTTGAGTCATCTTGCTTATAAAGTCCTGCATAACTTCATATATCTGCGATAACTTTCATTTTAAGATCCCACAAGAAATTTGGTGGGTTTTTTTGTGTTTTTGTGCCCCTAAACTATGGAATAACCTTCCTCATGACATTAGAATAGCAAACTTGCTTGGTAAATTTTTAAAAGAAATGTAAGACTTATGTATAATCTGACTATTAATTTAGGATGGTTCTATTTATTTAGTTAAGTAAGTAAATAAAATAAAGTAAATAAAGAATTCTGTTGTTTCTTCACAATAACCACAACACTACAGATTTTTCCTTCTTAAAATCTTCTTACTTGTACAGATCTTATGAAAATGAAAGTCAACATTGTGTAAGAGTGATTTTTTTTCTTTTTTTTAAACAACTCAGTCTTTTCCTACAATTCTATTTATATCCAAGGTCAGGACTGTGCAGGAAATTTGATAAACTCTTTTTACTCCTTTTCTCTATCGTTTCAGCTTCTGTGCAAAACTGTTATACTCCAGTTCACTGTCTTTCTTTCTCTTTATCTGCAGTGCTATACAGCTGTGAGTGTGTGCATGTTGTTTATTGTATGTGCAAGTGTGTAATTGTCAGGGTGGGGAGCAAAGCGCCAGCTGTGGAATGCTGAGTTTATCTCTAACAGTTACATAACCCTTTAGATGCCTGTCTGTTTAGATGTGCTGTACACACACACACACACACACACACACACACACACACACACACACACACACACACACTCCTGCAAGACACACCCATCCCATTGGGTCTTATATTGTGGTCTTTTGCTGCAAAGGCAGAATGTGTTCCCACCCAGCCAAGGAAGCCGTGAGCGTGAAAAACACTAGATGAATGTACGCTCACGCGCATGCACACGCAGAAACACACTCACAAACTGTCCTGAACTGAGTTCTCCTCTTCACATCAATGCTGCTAAGCCTCTCTGAAGGCAGCTACAGTACTCAGGACCAGATGACCATTATGTAATTTTTCCACAGTCTCCTTCGCAGAATGTCCATCAAACTTAAAATAAGTTGTGAATTCACCATTAAAAAAAAAGTACCCATAAAATGCTTGAGAGTAGAGTTTGGCTTGACAATTCAACACTCTTATTTTTATTAGACTCGAGCCAAATATTGAGAACATAGCGAGAGACAAAGAGAGAGAGAGAATCCTGTCTAACCACAGGAGCAAAAGCACATTGCTGTACTCTGATACTTGAAGACATTCATTTACCATTCACTATTCTACTAAATACACATTACATATGTTATATAAAAGGTGTAATGACCCCTCCTTTTTGCTACATATTACTATATTTAGATATCAACTTGTGGTTCAAATGTTGGCAACATCATTTTTACAAGTAGCTTTTCATTGACCTGACATAATTTTTATCTGTACTTCACCATCGCTGGAACAACAGAAATAAATCAAGAATAATTATTCTACTACTGACACTTTTTTAGTGACAAGTGAAAAGCAACAAAAACACAACCTGCCACAATTCTCACACTGCCTGCAAACCTCTAAAAAGAACATAACAATCGTGAGGGCTTTAATGTACACTCACCGGCCACTTTATTGTTTATTTATTTATTACAGGGACAGTGCATATTCATAAACATTTCTGTCAATATGCCAGAATTAGCCTAAAGGCTATTTTTCATCTGCAGTCCCTAGACAGATGTTAAGAGTCACCCTAAAAAAGATTACATAGTACATAGCACTAAAAAATTAAGATACATTTAGTAAAATATCAATTATATTAAAATATACAATCTAAACACATCAAAACAACAATCGGACAAACAATTATATTAGGTACACCTGTTCAATTGTTTGTTAATACAAATAGCTAATCAGCCAATCACATGGCAGTAACTCAATGCAATTAGGCATGTAGACGTGGCCAAGACAACTTGCTCAAACCGAGCATCAGAATAGGGAAGAAAGGGGATTTATTTATTTATTTACTGGGATTTTCACACACAGCCATCTCTAGGGTTTACAGAGAATGGTCCGAAAAAGAGAAAATATCTTCATTTAGCGGCAGTTGTGTGGATAAAATTGCCTTGTTGATGTCAGAGGTCAGAGGAGCATGGTCAGACTGGTTCAAGATGACAGAAAGACAACAGTAACTCAAATAACCACTCGTTTCAACGCACAACACGTCGAACCTTGAAGCAGATGGGCTACAGCAGCAGAAGACCACAGCGGGTGCCACTCCTGTCAGCTAAGAACAAGAAATGGACGCTACAATTTACACAGGCTCAACAAAACTGGACAACAGATGATTGGAAAAACGTTGGCTGGTCTGATGAGTCTCGATTTCAGCTGCAACATTCAGATGGTAGGGTCAGAATCTGGCGTAAACAACATGAACGCATGGATCCATCCTGCCTTGTATCAACGGTGGTGGTGTAATAGTGAGGGGGATATTCTCAGTTGGCACACTTTGGAGGCCCAAAGAGTGCCCATCTTCTGATGGCTGCTTCCAGCAGAAAAATGCACCATGCCACAAAGCTCAAATCATCTCAAACTGGTTTCTTGAACATGACAATAACTTCACTGTACTCCAAAGGCCTCCACAGTCACCAGATCTCAATCCAATAGAGCACCTTTGGGATGTGGTGGAACGGGAGATTCGTATCATGGATGTGCAGCTGACAAATCTGCAACAACTGCGTGATGTTATCATGTCAATATGGATGAAAGTCTCTGAGGAATGTTTCCAGCACCTTGTTGAAAGTATGCCACAAAGACTTAAGGCAGTTCTGAAGGCAAAAGGGGTCCAACCTGGTACAAGCAAGGTGTACCTAAGTGGACAGTGAGTGTGTATTCATGTACAGCGTAGTGTTATGTGAGCAGAAATATGTTGCAAAGTCTGAAAGTCGTTGCTTGTGTGAGCAACAGAATCTGTCAATTTAACCAGAAAAAGCTAATACAATTCTTTTCAGCTTTAATGCGTGTAAGCGACTTTTGTTTCATGCTTGCCTTTACCTTCGAAGTGCTTTGACATTCCCAGTGGTAATGGAGTAGTGACTGGCTGTCTGGGTCCATGTTGGGGTCGTAGGACTGCTCCGCACTGAGCTGCAGGTCCTGGGTCCTTGACCACACCCTGTAGGTACCCCCTTCTATGATGGGCATCAGCCTGACAAGAAAAAAGGGGTTTATAATTAACATAAAAAGATAAAGTAGTGCAAGAGCATAGGAAACTAAATTTGTCAATTAAATATGGTTACGTCTATTTATGTTGATAAATCCAAATTCTTTCACATTTGTTTCACGGATGTAGTGGTTTACACTGTCATTGGCATGAAATTGATTTTAGTTTCCTGATTTCTTCTACATTTTCTTGCAAAACGTGTGTTAGGGACATACTGAGAATAAGCATTAACACCAGAGAAGTGAGTTATGCTGTTGTTACTAGCATTAATTCAAAGTGACTATAATAGTTATAATAGTCAAATTTAATAAAGATTTTGGATGGACTTTTGTTTTACTTTCATGCTGCAGCAAACGGCATATCACTTTCAGAATTAATCAAATAGGTTAGATATTTAGAATAAATTAAAGGGGAAAAAGATGAACTCTACAGAGAGACTTGATTCTCCACTGACCTGGCAGCCATGACACTGAGCTGTAGACAGGCTGCCTTCCTTAGTGGCACACCTTTATATGACAGAGAAAACACCAAGGTGTAGTTCCCTGCTGCCAGAACCATCTTTGGCAATGACAGCTGCAGCCGCTGCACATCCACCTCCAAAGGCAGGCGAATTATTGGGACTGGCAAAGCCTGGGAGGGCTGAGTCACAACCCCAGAGGGAAGATGGTGGTCTTTGTCATTATCACAGTAGGGTGTTGAGAGTATCTGCCAAAGGTACTGAGCTCCGTAGCGTAGGCAGCCTTTCAGGTCTACCCTGGCCTCCACCAAAGTGGGCTGAGAGCGCCAGATGGCTAGGCGGGGTTGAACCACCTGCACTTCAGGCTCCTCACACTCTAAGACACTAATGTTTACCTCCACCTGGGCCAACACCCAGCTCACCAGGTTACTGCAGTTCACCTGGCAGGGAGACAAAACAAGCCGGTGAAATCACAAAACTAGGAAGATGTCAATGTTTTGTAAACAGAATCGGTCAAAGAAATTTAATATATATTTTACAGATCAACAAATAAATAATGGATCTATAGAGTACATGAAATAATGTAGTTCAAACATACTTGGACCAGGTAGTGCCCTGGGTGTCTGTACTCATAACCCACAGTTGTGATGTTGGTGTTAACTGGAGTAGAACCATCACCAAAGTCCCACAAGCACTCCACAGGGTTAGATTTGGTGTGACTGGGTGTGACAGAGGCCATCAGGGTCACTGTCTTATTGATGAAAGTGTCCCGAGGCTCTGCATACAGTTCAGCATACGTCAGCCGGTTCTGAACCAGGATGTACTTGGTGATGTTCTGACCATGCAGTGCGTTGAAGGCCCTCAGGTAAATGGTTAATAAACCTGCGACTCCTGGCGTGTAGGACACCTGGGGTTGATTGATTCAATGAGACACATCAACACTTGTGAAGCTGAACAGCTGCTATACTGTGATATGTACAGTATCTCACAAAAGTGAGTACACCCCTCATATTTTAGAAAATATTTGATTATATCTTTCCATGTGACAACACTGAATAAATGGCACTTTGCTACAATGTATGCCCAAGAGGGTTAAGGCAGTGCTGGAAAATAATTGTGGCCACACAAAATATTGACACTTTGGGCCCAATGTGGACATTTTCACTTAAGGGTGTACTCACTTTTTTAGACATTAATGGCTGTGTGATGTGTTATTTTGAGGGGAAAGCAATATTATATTGTTATATGAGCTGTACAAGTGTCATTTCTTCAGTGTTGTCACATTAGAAGATATAATTAAATATTTACAAAAATGTGAAGGTTGTACTCACTTTTGTGAGATACTGTATGTTATAATTATAAAGGCTGAACATTGAAGTGATCTGACCTCTTTGCCCATATGGGATGTCTGGTGAAGGTGGTCCACATCAAAAGTCCACAGAAAACTAACAGGTCTGCCCGTCAAGATGTTAGCCACAAATAATTTCTTTACACCTACAGAGATTGCTTTGCAGCTTTCCAGGATGGAAAGTCCACGAATCGGCTCCATCACCTCGATGTGTAAGTGCCGCCTCTTGGAATTCACCTGGATTGTCATATTGTAACACATAAAAATATTTGCACTGGATTACTTTGATTTACCTATCTTGCAGGCCTTGACATCAGCTAATGCCAGAAAGAGTCATGTAGAGATCATTACAATGTTGTGCTTAAAATCACTATGTATAAAATGTCAAATTATTCTTATGCTTTGGTAAAAAAAAAAAAAAAAAAAAAAAAAAAAAAGGTACAGTGCAGGTGCAGTATGTGTTGTTTCCCATTATCCTCACTGTCCTCAGGTCAGTTTTTTGGGTGGGGGTGGGGGTGTGGGGGGGGGTTAGGGCAGTAGTGCGGTTGTCAGTGGTAGTCTTTTTTAATACTTCCACCAGGACCACCAAAATGTTTGAATGAAAACACTTTGTATGTAAGCAGTGAGGTCATATCGTGGCCACCATTTTACAGATAACTTAATGGATGACAACAAAACATATCAACATTGCTCAAATATATTCTTGAGACAAGATTTATGTACTTCAGTTTTATACATGCTCTACTCCTGTCAAACTCTGCCAGTATGCAGAGAAGTTACTTACAGTATAAGGTTGGTACTGTGTGTGTCAAGAACAGTGTAACTGGATTTCAAGCATTGTCAGCAAATGTGTAAATGCACCCCATATATCAGACAGTTATAACAAACCTTAAGTGTTAACAATGTGCACATTGGCAAAAGGAGGAAATTATTTCTTCAATGGTAAATGCTACCACTTAATTGTTAAGATATATGTTATACTTCTGACATGGCTGTTATGACTTTAATGTTTGAATGTTATCTTATATATCATTATAGTGAAAACTGATCAGCCAAACCATCTATATGACATAATCTAATAATATTTTATCCATCTCCTTTGACTTTACCTGGTTGTGAGCTGTGAGATTCACCATGTACTTGTCAACCCTGCTGAATATGTGGATGTAGGTTTGGTTAGGTTGAGGGATAACAGTCGCATCTCCACTGATGCTGAGGATGAGACAAACGTCCGAGCCCGCTGCCATAGAAATGGTGAACTCCACCTTCTCACCGACTGCAACAATATTTTTACTTGCCCTCAGCTCCAACCCCTGAATCTTGTCCTGAACAAAAAACTCTCTGGAAACCACTTGCCCGCTGACATCGTTGGTGGCATTCAGAGTAACGATGGCTGTTTTTGGCTCCTGGAAAATCAAAGAAGTTTTTCTTCCCGTTTCTGTTCTTCCATTCAACAGCCATGTCCAAGTCACATCAGTTCCTGACAGTACCTCCCCCTGCAGCAAGACGTTGACGCCTGTTGCTACATAACTCTGCTCTGTCACATTGGTAGCTGTGAACCTTAGCCCAGAAATGACTTCCTGGACACTGACAACCTTTGACACAACCTCTGAGCTAACTTCATTGAAGACCTCCACGCTAACTTGTTTTAGGCCAGCACTGATGAAGGAGTGGGTCTTCCAGGGCTTGTCCCACTGCAGAGCTTCCCCATTCACAGACCAGCGGTATTGCAGGTCTGAACCTTCAGTAGTCAGTACTGTTAGGTTAGTTGGAGCATTGACTGCAACTGGGTTGTCGCTGGTCTGCAGCTGCACCCCTCCAGCTGGTTGCAGGAAGTGGATAGTTCTGTTGACGGACAGCTGGCCCAGGAGGTTGGCTGCCTGGAGAAAGATGTCACATGGGCCTGGTGTAGAGAAATTCACCTCCACTGTCTTCCCGCTTACGTTGAAGCTGGAGCTGACGGGGTCTAGCTCTCTGATGAGGTTCCAAGTAAATGTCATGTTGGTTCCTTCCTTTAATCCTGCTTGAAGGTGGAGAATACGGTTTGTAGCAAAGCAGCAACCTTCCAAACCCGTGCCTCTACCTGCCTCCTCCACTGCTAAAATCTGCAGCCCCTCTAGCTCACGTTGGACAAACAGGAAGATACTCGCTTGTGCCGTTCCTACGTCGTTCTCCGCGGTCACAATGATGTTAAAAGTGCCAACAGAGCGGAACGTGTAGAACATAGTGTGGGTCCCTAGGATTGGGGTGCAGCGGTCACACAAGATCCAAGAGTATCGGACACCATCTCCCGCCTCCATTTGGGCCTCAAAGTGGACTGAGGCATTGAGAGGGACATTTACCAAGCTGGCGTTGACTGTCAACCCACATATTGGTGAAAGCACAGCAACAGGTAAAGTAGTGTGATTCCTGCTAACTGTGTTGGCTGCTGTCAGTGTAATATTGTAGCTTCCCGAGGTGTTGTAGGTGTGGACGATATTCTGGCCTGTAAGCACATTTCCAACTCCAAAGTTCCAGACGTATGTGACATTGGAAGCCAAGGAAGATGTTGTGAAAGCATATGGGGCTCCATAGGTCAGGTTATTATACTTAGTGCCATTATGTTGAATAACAATTGGTCCTATGGGCATCAGAACCTCAATCACAACACTGGTGTTGCTGGTGGAGATGTTATTGAAGACAGTGACTGTCACCATGTAATGACCTGGGGTTTTATACTTTGTCACAATATTTCCAGAACCACGCATGAGCACAAGGTCTTCCTCTCTACCAAAGTCCCACTGATAGCTGTAGTTAAATTCAGGCTCAGCTCTGGCCTGGAACTGGATCTCCTCCCCGACAGCGTAGTGTGATTTCTCAAGTGTAATGGTGATGTTGGTTAAAGATGGCTGCACACACACCCAATTGAAGAAGTTGGCCTTGGTGGCTTTGTTTACCCCGCTGGAAAGAAGCAGAGAGAGGTGGTAGTTCCCACTTGTCCAGTAGGTGTGCGACACTCTGGGGTTGCCTCGGTGTGTCTCGTTGGGGCTTCCGTCCCCGAAGCTCCATTCATAAAGATGAGCCGATGCGTTACCAGACACCCAAGCCTGGAAGTTGACAGGGGTCCGTTCTTTGACACACCCGGATGGCTCCATTCTCACAACTTGGAAGACAAACACCTGCACTGTTAGGTTTTTCCAGCCAGAGCTTACAGCATTCGCGGCAGTCACATTCACTGTGTAGTTGCCATCTTTGATATAACTGTGTGACACATGAGGTTCAGATGGTGTGTAGATGGTCCCATCGCCCATGGAGAATGTCCATGTGATGTTGTTACCTGATGCAAGGCGTGCCCATACAGTCGTAGGACTGTGAAGCTCTGTAGGAGAGGAGCTTTCAGCAGTTAAATCTTCTATCTCCTCATATACAAATATCTCGGCACAAACCTCCGTAGAACTGATGGTGTTGTTAACAGATACACAGATATTAAAGACCCCACTCTGTGTATAGGCGTGTGCCACGCGGCGTCCTTGCAGCGGGGCAGTACCATCTCCAAAGTGCCAGTCATAGTGGATGCCATAGGGTGATGGCAGAGGGTGAGCCTCAAAATCGGCTGATTTGCCATTGAGGAGGAGTCGTGGCTCTGTTTGTATATCAACATGAGTGAGGATGCTGTAGACGCTCATGTTGATGCTATGACTGATGTTCTCATAACGATTGGACACTGACACCAGTGCTGTGTATATCCCTGTACAAAGAGGTGGAAGACAAAGAGAAGTTAGCCATTATCTACCTGCAATCTTAAAACATTTTAATTCATTAATTCAAACAATGATAAACTAAATTGGCTAATTGATAATGAGTACAGGGGGTTACCTGGCTGAGAGTAGATATAGGTGACATTGTTACTTAGGAGGACCTGATTGGGTGACTCAGGGCAGAGGAGGGAGGGGGGGTAGGGAGGCTTGTATTCAAACTCTTTATATCCACCGTCACCAAAAGACCATCTGCAGCGCAAGAAAGACAATGTAAAGCTATTAAAAGAGGACCTTAAGAGAAATACATGGAGCTTAGATGAATAGATGTACTGATAACTGTTGACACACACCCATACACACACACACACACACACACACACACACACACACAGCGTCACTAGCTGGAAAGTGGGAATCTTCTCTGACGAGGCAATAGAGGGTTTGGATGAGGAGAAGTGGAAACTCAGAGAGCCACTCTGGACCAAGAATGGTGAGAGTGGAGGAAAACTAAGTGAAAGAGAGCGCCACAGTTGGGAGGGTGGGAATGTGAAAGAGGGAGGGAGAGAAATGAGTAAAAGAGAAAGAGTGGAAGAAAAGGGGGAAGAAAAGTGCAGGGGAAACAGCCAAGCAAAAGGGAAAATTCTTGTCAGCAATCTGTTCTAACCACACGGTTATAAATCCAAGGCTCTGCATGGTATGACTGCTGCAGTGCTATTACGGCGCACAGGAAGAGAAAAACAGAGAAAAGAGCAAAGACAAAGACAAAGACAGACAGACAGATAGAGCAGAAGAAAGGAACAGTCACACAAACATATTCACTGTTTTCACTGTATTAGAAGAGAAAGAGAGATAAAAAGAGGCAGTGATCTGATTTTTGTTTGAAAACACAATATAGAAGATCTATCTATCTATCTATCTATCTATCCATCCACCTCCCCTCTGTTCATACCGGAAAGTGGCAGCCACAGACATGTCGACGAGCACAGAGGTGGTGAGAGTCTGAGTGGAGCCCTGAGGGACCACATCTGGCACACCCTTTACTGTGAGGTTGGCCATGGGCTGCAGCCGGTCCACAGTCACGTTGAAATGCTCTGTGAGGGTGCTGACATGGTTCATGGCTGTCACCTGGAAGAGATGGCACATAACTAGTTAGACAGTTGGTAGACAGCCGGTAAGAAGTTTTGTGTCACATCTAAGCTATGCTAGCTTTAACTGTGAAACAACAGAACGAGCTGCAATGACTTATCCTTTCAGTCATTTTAAAGCCAGAATGGTAAACATGTGCAACTGCCTTTAATATAAATATTTGCTGGTTTTATTAATTGTCTATTAGAACAAGTTGAATCTTTGGACAAGATCTCAAGTTGGACTCTGGGAAACCACATTTTTCACAGTTTCCTGACCATTTATAGACCAACAATTATTCCACAAAATAGTCGATCAATTCAGTCTAGTATGTGCAATAGATTTCTTTCTTTCGGATGGAATTAACAGAAATAATAATGTTAACATAATGAAATCTAAAATCTTTCAAAAATCTCCATGTTTTCAGATGCTGGCAGGTGTCCTGCTGTTATTTATTTTTCATATATTGATGCTGTTTGAGAAACTGTCTGACTTCTAATAATAAAGCTTCCAGCTAAACCTTACAGTCCTAACTTTAAACCAGAAAATAACAGTGGATGGTGAAGTAGCATACATTTACAGACATTTTGTCTGTGTTTGTGGATGCATCATTAAAAATCTGGATATCAAAAACAAACCTGTCACATATGAATGTAATTAAAACAATGAATATCCTGGCACTGATGTTAACAGACAGGACAGTTCAGCAGTTTCACAACAGTTTGACTCATATTGGATTTAAACAGAAACTCACTGTGAGCTTGTAGATGGCAGCATGCTGGTAGATGACATTGAGGACAGTGTTGTAATAGGTGAAGTAGGGCTTGTCATCCACTGTCCATTTAAATGTGGGATTAGAACCTTCAAGCACTGAAGATGTGTAGCTCTAAAACACACACAAACATATATACATATATGTGAAGTGACATCATAAAAAGGTACAGTGCAATGTGCATAATACCAATATCAAATAGGAACTTAATACCACTGAAGTAAACACATAAGCACAAAACACACACTCACCACGACTGACTCCATCAGAACTCTGTGTGCAGGGTGCGGCTGCACCACCAGTCCTCTGAGTGGCTCTTCCAGTTGGACGACCACAGACAGGCTGGCCTCCGTCACACTATTGTGGGCCTCCAGCTCCACCTGCACTGGGCTCCTTCGCTCCTCCATCCCCAGGCTCAGATCCAGCACTGCATACAGGCTTGGCTCTGCAACCTCGATCCTGGACCCTGAGCTTGGCCCGGGCTGACAGAGCACTGGGCGGGAAGAAAACTCTGGGGGACAGTGGCTCTGAAATGTCACAGTGCAATTACTGCCCCGCCGAGAGGCATTTGTCGAGTAGCGAGACTGGACACTGAGCAGCAGCCGGGTGTCGTTGGGTTGCATGTAGAGGGTGCCATTCCGGGTAGGGGGGTGGAGGATCGTCAAGCCCAGAGGAGGCACCACCCGCAACGGGCACGATGCTGAGGCCCGGTATGATGGCTCAGCTGAAGTTACCTGAAATTTATCATATTCAGTTTAGTCTCAATTAATTTGTTAGGACAAAATAATATTACCAATATAGGATGAAAAGCAGGTATAGACATCACTTACACAGCTTAATGGTGATTTTTTAGTTTGTATTACACACACACACACACACACACACACACACACACACACACACTGCTAGAATCAATCCTAGTTGAAAATCAAACCTGAATCTGACTCAGGAACATTGGAAAAAAATGCAAAAATATTGGTTAATTAAAAAACTTTTTTTTTTCCTATTTATTCCTCCATATAGTAAGATTGTCAGATGCATGCTGGGATATGACACTGATGTCTTACCAGCAGGCTGTAGAGTCCGGGCTGGGGTAGACCAGCAGACAGCTGTGCTCCCTGCAGCTGAGTCTCACTGTGGCCCACATAGAGCACTCTGACGGGGCAAACTACTTCCTCCAGCCAACCTCCCTCGCCATCCTCCACCAGGGCCTTCACGTCAAGCTCTGGGTCTGGCAGAGGGTCAGCATTGTGGTGAGCGGAGGAGTCTGTTGACTGTCTGGTGTTGTTGGTCCAGAACCACTCTGATTGGTTGAGGGCTAAAACAGGTTGTCGCCACAGTGAGTGTGGGGAGGATTGGCAGTGGAGAAGGGAGGCAGGGCCGGCATCATGTTGCAGGGCGATGACATCACCACGGGAGACCAGGAGATCCTCCAATTGTTCTTGTACCTGGGAGAAACAGGGATGAGGAGAGTGCCTCTTTTATTGCGGTGAAATGGCAGGTCTTGTGCAACAGCTGTAATCCCTTAACTGTCCAAACAACCTCAAATTAAAGCTGGCAGTCATGAACTATTTGTTCTGGGTTTACAGCATTTCATATCAAAAGCTTTAGCACTGAAAACTCTCTCCCTGACTAAATAAGTTTGGAGGTAAAAGTAAATCCTCTCACCAGTATGTGTGCAGCTTGTCCTGCTGACAGAGTGAAGACCACCTCTTTCTGAAGGGTGTATCGGGGCCTCAGCACCCCAGGGGGCAGGCGGTGAGCCTGGGTGCAGTTAGGACAGGAAGATGGTTGGCAGGGACTAGACAAGGGCAGGCAACTGCGCTGGAAGGGACACCACTGCTCTAGTCGGGGGCAAGAGGGTGGATCACTGCTCCTGGTGTCATTAGGCACACAAACAGCCACCGGAGAACACGCGGGACCTCCACAACCTGACACACAAGATGTATCTTGTTTGAATCATTTATTTTTAATTGAATTTTGGACATCTTACAAAAGTATTCTTTCTCTCTTATTCCATTTAACGGAGCTAATTTCAATTCTACCTCCTTAAATGGAAAATGGACTGCATTTATATAGCGCTTTAAAGCAAATGCCAACATTCACCCATTCACATACACATTCATAAACTGATGGCAGTAGTTGCCATGTAAGGTACCAGCCTGCTCATCAAGAGGCAGCTAGGGGTTCAATGTCTTGCTCAAGGGCCCTTCGACACTCCCTGAAGTCGACTAGACAACTGCCCCTTCTTATTTAATACATACCTAACTATTTCATATACTATTGGGTAGTTCTATAACTTATATACACTCACCTAAAGGATTATTAGGAACACCATAATAATACTGTGTTTGACCCCCTTTTGCCTTCAGAACTACCTTAATTCTACGTGGCATTGATTCAACAAGGTGCTGAAAGCATTCTTTAGAAATGTTGTCCCATATTGATAGGATAGCATCTTGCAGTTGATGGAGATTTGTGGGATGCACATCGAGGGCATGAAGCTCCCGTTCCACCACATCCCAAAGATGCTCTATTGGGTTGAGATCTGGTGACTGGGGGGGCCATTTTAGTACAGTGCACTCATTGTCATGTTCAAGAAACCAATTTGAAATTAAAGCTGCAAGCAGCGTTGGGCGGGCCCTCGCACTTGTAGCGCGTCCGGGTGTGAGCCGGCCGCGTTGCACATTCTGGAGCTCTGCCAGTGCGGCTGTGAATTTGCTACGCGGTTCCGATGCCGCATGAAGGTGTTATATGTCACTTCCTGTGTCCCCTATGTGGAGCTACATAGCAATTGCCGCTATTAATATAAATCGGTATTGGTGTGTCGATGTCTGCGGGGTGGGAGAGTTATCAAGCACGTAAAGTTTGGTTCAGATGTGAGCATGTACACTGAAGTTACAACAACTTCCTGTGTCATGGCGAAGAGTTGATCTTTGACGTCACGCCACGGACACGCCCATTGACGAAAACTCGCAAATAGCACAACTTTTCATCTTCAATGCCTTTAGAAGGCACAGCAGAAATTTGAAGTCGGTCAGACTAAATCCCTAGGAGGATTTCTGTCCACAAATACTGTACAGCATGTAGTCTAATGAACAAGACTTATGTTATAGCTGACTTGGGCAGTGAAATGTTAAATTTTTTTAATTCATGTGGTCATAGTTGTCCACAACTCAAATCATAATTTAAGAAGAAATGTTTTATACCACCTCAAGAAGGCTTCCTATCAGAAAGGTAGGAAGGTATTTCAAATGTACAACTGCAGTACTTAAATCTAAATAAAGTAATTTCCCTGACATTTTTGTTCTGCTCCTTTAAAACTGAATTTACCATACAGAATTGAATACGAGTGCGCTCCAGATTTAGCTGCAGCCAGCTGACCGTGTGCTTCTCCCTATACCGCAGTTCTGTGTCCATGCATGCAGCAAACTGAAAGCACTGTCTGTTGGAGCGTCTACATGAAAAGAGAAGGAAAACATGGCTGGTAGTGTCTTCAGAGTTGTTAAACACCTCAGCGCACTGAAGGAAGCCATCTGACTGTGTGAGGGGCAAGATCGTTGATGTCTGCAGGCAGAGTAGGCCTAGAGCTCTCCTGTCTGACTGGTCCACCAATAGCAGAGAAGATGACCCCTTGAGACACAGCCCCTCCTCATTTGCATAATGAGGCAGAAATGCATACAGAAATTTAAAAAGGACAGGCAGAAATAAATACCATGGGTGAAAATAAATAAGGTAAAAAAATACAAAGGAAGAATAAAACAGACAAAAATATTAAAACACACACTTAAATAAATACATTTACAAAATTAGTAATAAATAAAGTTGAAGATTATAATGGAGAATAAATAAATAAGGTAATTATAACAAAGGTGAATAAGTAAAGGCACTAATTAAAATATATACATTTATGTCTCCTTGTATAATTTAATTACTACCTACATTTATTTATTTACTTTATTTTTTTGTGTATTTAATTGGATGCTTATTTATTTATTGAGCATTTATTTATTTCTATATTTATTTCTGACTGTGTCAGGATCGGTCCTCCATAGCGGGGTGGGAGAGTTATCAAGCACGTAAAGTTTGGTTCAGATGTGAGCATGTACACTGAAGTTACAACAACTTCCTGTGTCATGGCGAAGAGTTGATCTTTGACGCCACGCCACGGACACGCCCATTGACGAAAACTTGCAAATACCACAACTTTTCATCTTCAATGCCTTTAGAAGGCACAACAGAAATTTTAAGTCGTTTGTGCGTCTGGACAAGATACACGTACCACAGAAAATTTGTATACGTAGGTGAAACGTGCGGCGGGGGCTGCTTCGATAAAAGTCACTTCCTGTTGCCAGCAGGTGGCGCTATGACTGTGGGTGAATGTCGGCATGTACATGTGTTCAGGGCGGGACTCTCATCCTACATGTACAGTTTGGTCTAGATGTGAGCATGTACACTGAAGTTACAACAACTTCCTGTGTCATGGCGAATCATCGACGCCACAGACACGCCCATTGACGAAAACTCGCAAATAGCACAACTTTTCATCATCAATGCCTTTACAGCAGAAATTTGACGTCGATCCAACTAAATCCCTAGGAGGAGTTCGTTAAAGTACGAAGTGTGTAAATCATCCAAAAATGGCCGTTGAACGTGAACGAGGGGATAATCTTTTCCAATTTTCTAGGTGGCGCTAGCGAGTCATTTTGCCACGCCCATGCGCGAAACCCATAAAATACAAAATTTTTCACCAGTTCTGACATGTTTGCAAAGTTTGGTGAGTTTTCAAGTATGTTTAGGCCCCGACAATGGAGCTTACTTTGCAGAAAAAAATAAAAACAAAATCTTAGCTAATTCAATAGGGACCTCGCACAGTCGTGCTCGGGCCCTAATGATTCAAACTTTGTGACATGGTGCATTATCCTGCTGGAAGTAGCCATCAGAGGATGGGTACATGGTGGCCATAAAGGGATGGACATGGTCAGAAACAACGCTCAGGTAGACCGTGGCATTTAAACGATGCCCAATTGGCACTAAGGGGCCTAAAGTGTGCCAAGAAAACATCCCCCACACCATTACACCACCACCACCAGCCTGCACAGTGGTAACAAGGCATGATGGATCCATGTTCTCATTCTGTTTACGCCAAATTCTGACTCTACCATCTGAATGTCTCAACAGAAATCGAGACTCATCAGACCAGGCAACATTTTTCCTGTCTTCAACTGTCCAATTTTGGTGAGCTCTTCCGAATTGTAGCCTCTTTTTCCTATTTGTAGTGGAGATGAGTGGTACCCAGTGGGGTCTTCTGCTGTTGTAGCCCATCCGCCTCAAGGTTGTGCGTGTTGTGGCTTCACAAATGCTTTGCTGCATACCTCGGTTGTAACGAGTGGTTATTTCAGTCAAAGTTGCTCTTCTATCAGCTTGAATCAGTCGGCCCATTCTCCTCTGACCTCTAGCATCAACAAGGCATTTTTGCCCACAGGACTGCCGCATACTGGATGTTTTTCCCTTTTCACACCATTCTTTGTAAACCCTAGAAATGGTTGTGCGTGAAAATCCCAGTAACTGAGCAGATTGTGAAATACTCAGACCGGCCCGTCTGGCACCAACAACCATGCCACGCTCAAAATTGCTTAAATCACCTTTCTTTCCCATTCTGACATTCAGTTTTGAGTTCAGGAGATTGTCTTGACCAGGACCTCACCCCTAAATGCATTGAAGCAACTGCCATGTGATTGGTTGATTAGATAATTGCATTAATGAGAAATTGAACAGGTGTTCCTAATAATCCTTTAGGTGAGTGTACAAGCCAACCATGTTTTGTAGGCATATCTAAAAAGTAACTATAACTATCAAATAAATGTAGTGGAGTAGAAGTCTGTAGTCTATTCATATATTATTGTTAATTATTGTTTCTGTTTAATAACAAACACTATATATCGATGCAAAGAAGACAAATTGAGCGTTTTCATAAAAAAAACCCAGAGAAATGCTGATTTTGTGAGAACTGATTTGTAACTGTGGTGTTGCCTGATTTCTCTTGACATCTAACAAGCATAATGGAGCAAACCTGCAGATAAAAGCAATGAATTACTGGATCAAAGAGATAAAATCACCCAAGAAAGTATCTTTAAAAAACAAGCCGAATAGTGTGCACTGGAATATGAATGTAAAAGATGTGTGTGAATGCGCGTGTATTTGTAGTGGGAACATAATTAGTTTGATGGTCTGATATCCATCTTCCAGTCGGGTAGAGCAAACTGGCTTTCTCTGTAATTAATAATCCAGTTGTATTATCTCAGTATCTCCACTGTCTCCTCCCCTGTGGCTGCATTCACAAATTCAAAATGAAAATTTCACCTAAAACGTGATCTCATGTCTTCAAGAAGCCGCTCGCCTCTCTGTGGATTTCTGTCTGTCTTTGATTTCTGTGTCTTGCAGTTACGTGTCATGTGTTTGGACAAGGACAGGAAGCGCTCAAAAGGGAGGTGACCACTGGTCTTGTTTCCTTCCTCTCTTGGGTTACCCTACTTTCTGTTTTCATTGAAATATTCCTTTCATGTTCACCTACCTAACAATTTTAGACAAGGCTGTGTGTGTGTGTGTGTGTGTGTGTGTGTGTGTGTGTGTGTGTGTGGAGGTTGTTGTGTAACTGGAGGTGTGGGTGCAGGTGGCTTATAGGGTTTTTAACACCTGCTGAAACCAGGAATGTGCAGATGGTTTCATGTGTCAAGTGTGAGTGTTTTTCTGTGTTTTACTCACTGGGCAGCAGCAGGTGCAGGCCGGGATGATGGCAGTGAGGTCTGTACGTCTGGAATCGAACGTGGATTTGTGAACTGAGGTCCTGAGTGACGAACTCTAGGGAGGACAGACGACCTGGCTGAACAAAGCTCATAGCCGGGAACAACAGCACCTGAGTGAAAAAAAAGGGACATTTCACATGTTTAGAAAAACACTTTGCTGAATAAAGGTTTAAGGAGAACAATACGGTGATTAAATAAACAACATGAGACTCCTCCTCACTTCTATGCCACCGCTGGGAGGTTGTGGAGTGGAGGACGGAGCGGATGGGGCGCGGTGCAAATGTTTATGGGAGGGAAACACAGCCAGGCCCACCATGTAGAGGCCAGCATCTGGAACACGCACTGTAGAGGCACAAACAGAATGAATTCAATCTGACAAAAGACGAGAGAAGGATTTAAAAAGAGCTGAGAGGTAGTGAAGGCAATTTATAAGAAATGATGGACAACTGCAGTCCACACTGTTACACATTTCTTTGAGAAAGAGAGAAGAAGGTGAGAGAGAGAACAAATCTCTGAGATTAGGAAGAACACTTCAGTACACGATGTATCAGCTCACTGCACACTGCACACTGACACAGAGACAGAGTCAAAGACAGACTGGACCACAGAAACACAATTAGACAGGTAGACACACACACACAAGCTGCGGACTGCCACAAATATACACTAAATTTCACAGGTTACACTGGATTTCTGTTCAGTTTTGAAGGCAGTTGTAGATTCTGCTGGTTTCTCGGTAAAACCGTTTGCTGCTGAGGAATTACGTCTGCGTGTTACATCATGTGATAGACTGACATGTACGCCTTGAAGTTTATTGTTCTGTTTCATGATAATAACTTAATCAGAATGTCAGAGAAGCTTCGTACTGACTCAGAAATGAGTACAATATAAATTTAACACCTCCAGGCGCCATCTGGTTGAGCATGTGCACATTATAAGTAGATGGCATGTTATCATCCAACAACAATTATTTGGGGTTAAAGCCAGTCAAACGGCCCATTTCTTAACATGTTTTTAACCTCAACTCAACTTATGTTGGTCACTTAATATCTAGATATGGTCAACACTTTGCACTTTGGGTGTGGACAAAATGGCAGCAATCAAATGTGCTCCATTTGTAATCAGATATCCACTTTCCACATATGAATATTATAAAACACTTTATGGAGTCTGCTTATTTTCTACAGCTTTGAGGTCCATGTTCATTTTAATAAATGTAATATTTTATTCCTTTACAAACACTGTATTCACAGACAGAAATTATGACAAATGGGAATACCTGAATTATGTATGTGGGGAACAACAATAACATTTATCATGTAAAATTGTTTCTATTCTTCCCTGTTCACCTAGTCCGAAAACGTGAACCTATTCCCAAACAGAAACATGTCCTCATCAACAATAAAGGGTATGCGCATGACGTCACAGAACGCAGTTACGCTCACTGAGTGGCAATCTTTGGCTGGCTCCCTGAAGCACCAGGGATTTGTGGAAATTTAATTTACACTGAATATGTGCCTCTAATTTATTTTTCTTCTTCTGTTTATAGGTTTCTAGGCATTTGAACTGCTCCATTTTTGTGTGCATGTGTCAGTGTGTCTGTGTGAATCTTTGAAGCTTACCTTGGGGGCTGTATTGGCAGACAAAGGCCCGCTTGGCATTGCATAGGTGTGAACTGGTCTGACAGCGCTGATCAAGGGACACGCACACGTTTCCGCGGGAGATCGGGGAGCGATGTGCCAGGCCCGCCTCTCCCTCCTGTGCCTCTGAGCCGTTCACCCAGCGCAGCCTGCCTGGAGAGTCGACATCACTCAAACCCAGCCACACGCCTCGTTCCCTGGGCCAGGAACAGACAGGTAAGACACAGATCAACAAAGTGGCTGCTTCACATTTAGCTACGTGGCTGCTGACAGCTGGAATATTGTCTCCATCACTTGAAATGTACACAGAAAGACACATATAAACATACCAAATCTAAGACAGGATTTCAAAGAAAACACATGCAGGGTGAATGAATTGTTAATTTTTTTCCCCAAATGTGACATTGCCATCAGGCAGAAACATACCACACAATCCTCCTTACATCCAGACTTGAATCAATGTGTGTCTCAGTATGTGACAAAGTCTGAGCAGTACATGCCAGCTTCCCTTCAGCAATCAATGATTGATGTCACAAAGGGGATGTCGGTTATTTCGTATGTCGCTTTGATTACAACAGATAAATTGGATTTTCACTCTATTAGTCCACTAATGGACTGCACATTTCCCCCCCGGCTTCAATTTTTATTTCTGTCATGTTAACTGAAAACAAAATGGTCTCTCCTCCTAAAGAAAAGCCAGTGGATGACTCACTACAATCTAGTCAGACTCTACTGGCTGACTACATACATCTGCGAAAAACAACATCTGAAAGAGCGGACAGGGGTTAAAAAATACAAGCAGAGAGGGAACAAGGAAGGGTCTTTGTGGCAAAAAACAAGGACTGATTAAAAAAAAGGGCTCCTTATATAAGCGAGGGGGTGGAGGAACACATGAGCAGAGTAGGAGAGAGGGGATAAGCTCCGTCTGCAGCAGGTTTTTTCTTCTCTCATCCACTTCAATCTACGAGGACACGGCTTCACCCTCATATTACACACACACACACACACACACACACACACACCATGAACTGTGGACTCCGCCTCCCAGGGTGTTAAAGTTACAGTGCAGCTGTGCTTTTACAGATGGGTTTTTTGCGACCCTCTCTGATATAAACACCAAACACTGGTGGCCTTCAGACCAGCACAAGGCCAGAAATGTGTTCATTCAAAGCTTTGATGTCCATATACTGTGCATCACTTGGACACATAGAGTACAGCATTACTATTTTTGTGGAGCGAGACTGGCCAAATCTAAGGTCATGATCTCTTTACATCATATACACTATAATTCATTATTTTTAAGCAAACTGAATGAAAAACAAAAAATTAATGAATAGATGACAAAAGTCAAATGAGTTAAGTTTTAAGGCATGAAGTTCATAAACACTAAAAAATGAATTTCAAAAAGTACTGCCCTTGAAAACATCCCCATGACTGAACAACACGTGCACACACATCCAGACACAAAGTCACATTCCAAGAAAAGGCCACTTTTCGTACCCCAATCTGAACCATGTACTGCATTATAGTACAAAAACGTATACTGAAATTCTTTTTCTGTCTCGGTTTAAGAAGTGTTGACAAGTTAAGAAAAAACTGAGAATATATAATTATACATTTTATACCATTGCAAAAAAGAGAAGAGAAGAGAAACCCCCATTTCTGCAGCCATATATAGACAGAAACACTCACTGTGTGACTTTGGGAGCCAGCAGGTTACGCAGCGTGTCACTCCTGACTATTGCCAGATCCCCGCCACGGTCTAAACACTGTTGTCGAGCATCTGTCCAGCTCAGCTCCCCTGGAACGATCTGGAAACAGTGTGAGGACTCGGTGTAGTACACTCCATCCCTTGGACAGTGAGGGGAGGCTGGCAGAGGACAGAAGCATCCACATGATTTCCCAGATTGTTTGAAGTCACACTTCATGGAAATTATTTTATTGCTAAAAAGATGATCTTCAAAAGATTAGACTTCTAGATGAAAAAAGTATTTTTAAAAGTCAGAATGTATGAAGAGCATCTATACTGTATAATCAATATTTTTATCCAAAGGATCAAATATATACTGTGGCTCATAGTGAACCCACACAGAATTATCTCTGCAGTTCTTCCCAGTTCTGAGGAGCGTTTCAGCTTGTTTCTGTGTTTTGGTTTTCCAGCCCACAACATTGCTGTTCTGGTTGACTCTCATTGCTATCAGAGTTTTTTTCCGGCAGCAGCAGACAGAAGTTTTTTTTAATCACAAAACCTCTAAAAACCCACAGAACATTACCTGCACAGAACTAAATGGCAGAAAGACAAAGTTAGTAACTAGCCAGTGAACACACTGTAGTGGAGCATTTAGTAGAAATCCCTCCATCACCAGTCTATAGACCATCGATCAGATGACTCATAAGCGTCATAAGCTACTCAGAGCTTGTGTGTTTGTGTATGTTACCTTTGGCAACTTGGACGCCATCCTTTGTGATCGACCAGTCTACATTCACATCAACAGCGCCCCAGCTGACAAGCGTGACCTCTAGGCTCTTATTGGCCACTGCAAGAGAGGGACAGTGCAGCTCCAGTCTGGGAGGAAGTGTCACGTCCACTTCTCCGTGTGCAGAGACCTGAACATGCGCAAATTATTATTATTATTATTATGTTTAAAAAAATGAAAAGAAAAATGCTTTTCTTTGATCATACTGTATACAAAAATTTTTTATTATATATTTCTCCCTCACCTCCTTGTTTCCAGCCCAGGCCAACAAACTGACCGCATAATGTCCTGGAAGTCCATATTTGTGAGGTGCTGTGGTGAGCCCTCTTCCTGTAGTGTTGACCCGAGATGAAACGTCACCAAAGTCCCAGGACAGTGTCACCGGAGTGACAGAGGAGGAGGCGGAGAAACTAATGCTGTCGTGAACGCTTTGCAGAGGGAGAGGCTTCAGTGAGACCGAGAAGTCCACCACAAACACATCCTGAGCCAGAGTCCACCCACACTCCTGTGTATGGAAGGAACCATGTGAGGAAGAGGAGGTTTCTGTGTTAATATGCACAAGTATTTATAAGCAAAATAAATATTTCCTTACTGTTAATTTGTAAGATGTTTTTGTGGTTTTACTATTATTCTTATGGTTTTAAATAAAAACTTTGGTTTTAATGAGACTTTTGAACTGCTCTGATTTAAAATAAACATATCTTGGTTTTCAATTTGTGTTTTGGATAACTTCTCCTGAGTCGCTCTGTACAGCAGTGGTGTTGGAAACTGAAACTGAATCTGAGGAAAGTCATTCAAGCCACAGAAAGGAAGTTGTTGGGAGGTTATAGGAAGGTTTAGAGGAAATCCTGAATGTTGTGTTTACAAGAGAAGAAACAAAGCAAGAGAAGGAAGCTACACTTATGGAGGTCTCCATTAAAAGCCACACTTGACATCTGAAGATCTTACAGTGCAATAATTTCTATCTGGGACCACTGGGTGCTATATACCTTCATAACATGGGGCTTTGTACAGGCAGCAGAGCACTGAGATTCGCTGATGAAATTCGGCCTTGAGTTTGTGCTGCAGAGACACTCGTGCCTCGCCCCCAAACCCCCGTAGGGGTGTGATGCAGCAAAACACACACTGTTACACTGTTCACGCGTGAAGTTTCCGGGTGTAGAGGAGGAGAAGATAACTAGCTCGCTCCGTCCCCCTCCTCCACTGCTGCTGTCCTCAAGACAAGCTGCATAGTTCAGACCTGTAGTGGAAGGAAACACAGTCATTACATTACATCAGATACATTTTGATCAATTTTTAGTATCAGACTCTGTCCAAACAAGCAAAAGAGATCCAAACAGGTCAACTAATGAGCAGTTTATTCCGCTAATCTGAATCTGTCCCCACATTGACTGGATAATACAGTAACATTCATCAACATTTGTCCTTTGATTTGAGTTTAAAACACCCAAAACAGCTGCTAAGAAGTTCACCTTTGTTACCTTGTACCTTTTTGGTAGCTTGTGTAATTATCTTAATTTAGTAAAGCAGATTAATGCATTTTTTTTAGATTTGTAATTTTTCTGACATGTGTCAAGAATTAGTTTGTATTTGTTTCATACCACAGGTGAGCAGGCTGACGTTGAGCAGGGGTTGGTGGCGGAGCTCAGGAGGATGCTTGCAGAGCATGGCGTCCGGGCGTCGAACTCGCACCCCTTTCTCCTGGAGCCAGCTGACCAGCCGGAACAGCTTACAGTCACACTCGAAGGGGTTACTGCTCAGATCACTGGAGGAGAGGAAGACAGGGATGAAGTGATTGGATCAGTAATGGTGAAACATGACAACAATCACAGTGATTGGAACGGAGGTTAACCTCCATTAAATTTACTTGGACTAAGATTAATGTCACATTTTGTCACTTTGTTAGCAAATAACAGTGAAACAACATTAAATGGGCTTCTCTTAATGTGTTTAAAAACACTCAAATATTTTTTATTTAAACATAAAAAGTTATACATTTCAGCTTTTGCATTAAAATATTGCTCCAACATTTTAGTAAACGCACTTGTTTGCTGACTTAAGTTAGATGAGAAAAATAATATCAGTTAAATAACCGTTAACAGTTAACTCCTAAATAACAGCTAACTCCTGCCAAAAGTTGGACAATAGTTACACATTCCAAAAATAAAACTTTCCTTTTAGACGGTGTATCTCGTTAGCTAATGCACTAGCCAAAAGTATGAAAAGCCTCGATTTACCAAAACTAAGGATTTCTAGAGTAGTTGGAAAGAGCAGGCAGAGCTTGGATTTTTTGCCCTTGCTTACAAAACGTCAGTTTTTCATTGCAGGTACAGAATACATGGAGCAAGAGATGGAAGGAGAAAAGAAAGCAATGACACAAATAAAATATTATGTGACATGTGTCCCTCTGTCTATTGCTGACTAGTCCGCTGAGCGTCACTCAATTACAGACTCTGCACAAGACGAAAACGTTTCTCATCTTATGACCTGGTGAGGAATAATTACTACTCACTACCTCCCACTCTAGTCTGAAATAGAACTTCATTCATCTTGTGTGTAGGCGACGTTAACTGGAAACATTCAGCTTATTTAAGCAAGTGTGATCAGATTCTTCTATACAATATATAGGGTCTAATTACATTTGATTTATTATTTTTAGATTTGACAAAAAATACAGAGAGGAATACAGTGATTTGGGAATACTTACATTTGAGTTAAATTGCATAGATTGTCGCATATTCTTTCTTCTATGGTGGTGATTTGGTTGTTGCTCAAATCGCTGATGGAAAGAAAACAAAGACAAATCACTGTTGAGACTGAAACAAGAGCGAACAAGAGAACAAGAGTCTTTTTCCTTGACTTTTTTGACTGGACTGACTTGTGGCAGTTACTTTAATACTGACATTTTGGCAAGATTAATGTGGTGTGGGTTTGTCATTGACTAAAAAGCTTGAAGCCAATAATTGAGTCATTGGATGAATGAATATGTGAAACTGCTTCTCCTACATTATTATCCAATTTTAAATTGATGCAGTCACGCAAAATGACTACATTTGTGTTTATCAAATAAAAAGGACATTATCACGTCCTCTTTAAACAAAAATGACTACTCGTATAACTCAGATATATAACATAACACACAAGTGACTGACTAAATAGAAACAAACTAAATCCCAAACAACTCAAGTGCTAAATAATAGCAGTAAAAACTTAAATGTTTCAGCCTCTTTCTTTCCCCTGTCCCCGCCCATCTACTTTGTTTCCATGCCTCTCTCTTTCTTTCTCTTTACCCCTCTTCTCGCTTTCCCTTCTCCACTCATGATCTCCTTCTCCCTCCCGCTCTCCTCTATCCAGTAGGCTACATAATGGGGCCGTTGTGTGGTGGTTTTGGAAGGAACTGATGGAAACCACCAGAGTCCTCTCTCATCACACACACACACACACACACACACACACACACAAACATGTGCTTAGACGCCCATTCAATGGGTGGAAGAAATAAGGTAATGGATGGAAGAAGGGAGAGATGGAGAGAGAGATAGAGGGAGGTAGTGGGAGCCTGGAGCAGTAAGCTGTAATTGAACGTAATCGTGCTGTGATTGGTGTGTGTGTGTGTGTGTGTGTGTGTGTGTGTGTGTGTGTGTGTGTGTGTGTGTGTGTGTGTGTGTGTGTGTGTGTGTGTGTGTGTGTGTGTGTGTGTGCGCTTGTGTGTACAGTATTCAATGTGTGTTTTTTTGCGCTCTCCAGTCCAGCTAGCTTACTCCAGGGATTTGTGCCTACTTAAATCCAGACTAAACCAAGCCTTTCTCTCTCCTACTTTCTTTTCATCTTCCTCATTCTCCCTTACTCCTCCCCTCTCCTCTCCACCTTAGGTTTGCCAGGCCCTCATCTTCTCTAGACTTTGTACTCACAGGATTGACAGCGGCCCACAGCAGAATACGCCTCTGGGGAGAACATTGATCCTGTTCCCTTGGAGATACCTGAAAGAAATATATATACATAGATATATAGTTAGGTAGGTCGACAGAGATGCATACAAATGTGCTGTAGGGGAAATTAATAAGAACACACAAACACAATGCTGTGTGTACTCACAGCTCTCGGAGACCAGTGACACGATCTAGCAGGCTGGTATCAAGTGAAGAGATGTGGTTCTTGGAAAGATCTCTGCGGGAACAAACCAACATATCCACATTTAAAATGCACGTGAGCGCAAGATGCCTGCATGCATACACACAAACACACACATACTTGCACAGTATCATCAGAAGCAACAAGTAATTTACCACATACGCGTAAGTGCTGGGAAATATAATGATAGCAAAGGAGAGGGAAAGTGAAACATTTAGCTCACACGAACAGAGGTAGAGATAAACAAAACCAGACATACTAAATTTGACGTAGATGTGCCAAAGAACACAATACTAAGAACAATATACGATTTTCTGGTTGATCCTTACTTTGTAATGCAGCTGTTGTCGGGAAAAATGCCATGTCTCGTAACTATCAACTTTTTAGGAACTACAAAAATAGTCCTGTTAAAGATCGGTGACCTTTGATGTTTTCAGTTCATTCAGTCAATGTTTTCATCAGCACAAAGGTCAGTGTACTTTCTTCTTACTTCCTCCTAACTCATAACATAGCATGTACAGTAATTCCTTTTTGCCTTTTACAGCAAATATGTGGAGCAAGAGTTGATCACATGTAACAAATCCCCCCCGACCAAATACAAATTGGGAAATGTGTGTGTTACACCCTAAAGTCACCAGGACACCTCAAATAACATTACATACATAATGATAATTGCCTAAATTAAAGGGACACTCAACACTATCAGAAAGTTGGGGGGCAGATTTCTAAAAAAAGCAGCAGAGGCTGAGACATGTTGACTTTTAGCATGGGTCAACCTCCAAAAACACTGGATCCCAATATCAAAAAATGGATGATTCTCCCGGCCTTGTAAATACAGACTTCTTTCAAACCCCATTTTTGATGCCCAAGTTGATGGCATCACATCAGGATTATTTTCTCAGACTTTAGAAACTGCCCCTCCACAACCACAGAAGACTGATTTCACAGAATAAGTAGTGCAGAGGTGAAAGACGAGCAGAGCGGTGAGAACCAACAGATAGGGTTCACTTTGGTACTAGACATGAGCTACAAAATTCCTCCAATTTAGAAATGTTCTGTTATTTTCATGTTGTCACATATGCATAATAAATATGCCAATGGTAGACAGTAACTAAGTACAGTTACTTAAGTACAAATTTGAGGTACATTACTTGAGTGTTTTCTTTTCATGCCACTTTCTACTTCTACTCCACTACATCTCAGAGAGAGATATTGTACTTTTTACTTCACTTCATTTATCTGGCAGCTTTAGTGACTAGTTACTTTACAAAGTAAGATTTGTACACACAAAACATACGAAGACTTAATAAAATATGTTTTGTTATAAATTAAACTACACAACAGTTTATACAAGTACAGCTGACACGATTATTAGATTGACATTGAAATTAACTGGCATCCCCAAGTAATTTTTCATGTAAAACATTTCATGGTTCCACCGTCACAAATGTGAAGATTTGCCGCTTTTCCTTTTAATTATTTCAATTTATTTGTAATAATTTTGAGATTTGTACTGTTGGTTAGTCAAAGCAAGTATTATAAAAGGTGTCACTTTGGGCTCAGGTTCATTGTGATGGCATTTCTCACTATTTTCAGGATTTTGAAAATCGATTACTGGAGAAAATAATTAGCAGATTAATTCATAATAAAAAAAATGGTTGCTTGCACGGCTATACAAAATAGTTAAAAATGAACTCGTCACAGGACAGTTTTCTTTTTGCAGTACTTTTACTTTTAATACTTTTAGTAGATTTTTCTTATACTTACATACTTTTACTTAAGTAACATTTTCAATGCAGGAATTTAACTTGTATTGAGTTTTATTTTGAGTATTTTACAATGTGTTATTAGTGCTTTTACTACGTAAAGGATCTGAATACTTCGTCCACCACTGAAAGACTTTAGAGGACAGAGGACACAGGTTTCTGCTTGTGACAATTTCTTCTACTATGTTAATGGACATTTGATTTTCTTAGCTTAATTTATAAATACTATAATCACAATATGTCACTTTTTAGCGTTATTCAAAAATAATACAAATGCATATTAGAACATTTACTTTTTACATAAACACAAACACATATAAATATAAGGATCCCTTAAATTTAGTTATTAAAGCATTGCAACCCACATACATTATGTAATAAGTGGGACATTTTGTAAATTGTAATTTCTCTAAAATGTCTCTATACTAGACAAACTATAATGGCGGGGTGAACCTCAAACATATCTTTGGCATTTCCATATAACAATTACTTAGCAGCCAAAATAAATACCAATAGTAATATATCTTCAATAAGCTAATAGTGGCTGACATATAAGCCTGGCTTATTTACTGGTCCAGCCCCATTGATCATATAGTATACATGCACACTTACGGTACACTACACACACAGTGTTAACAGTACAGTACACAGAAACTAAACACTACAATGTCATCACTTCCAAACTGAGTCAGTGACACACCAGTGGATAAACGCGTCAGAGTGAGAAAACTGAACTGGTTGAACTGTGGAGGTGAGTTGCCAAGACAAGGAGAGCAGAGGAGGAAGCCGGACAGGGTCGAGCTATGTTAGGTGTGCCTTCACAGCAAAGCCTCAGCTGCACATGACAACAATGAGATAAAAGGAACAAGGGAAAAAAACAAGAAGCCAGGAGACACAAAGCCAGCGGTTGTGAGATGACAAAAAGCCCTGTGTGTGTGTGTGTGTGTGTGACAGACGACAAGACACTGCTGGCCTGGTGTGTTTAACAATCAAAGACAGGAAAATGTGTATGGGAATGTACTCCCCTTTCTCCTCTCTCCCTCACTCTCTTTCTTCCTCTGTGTGTGTGTGTGTGTGTGAACGGAGCAGGACGCCCATTCCCAAAAGGAAACATCTGTACATTCCAGACAAGCTGTGTAAGAAAGATGGAGACCGAGAGAGAAGGAGAGCGTTCTCCTCTGCTAAACCCATCAGCAGATGAAACAGGACAGCATTAAGACTGTGAGCTGATCATTCACGCATTACGCTGACACCTTGCCTCATGTAATGCTCTCAACATTAATGCCAGGTGTGTGGGCGACACTGCAAAGACGAGAGGAGATGAAGTAGAGAGAAAGTGTGTGTGTGTGTGTGTGTGTGTGTGTGTGCGTGCGTGCGCGTTTAACATGACCATATAATGTGACCTTCACCATGTCTATTAGCAACAGGCTCCTGTTCTCTCAGCTACCTCTACACACACATGGTTCAAGTTACACACACACACACACACACACACACACACACACAGTAGAACACAGTTGAGGTATAGGCTTGCGCACAAACACACATGCACACAGAGCACACATATGGTTCTGTTTTACTAACGGTGTGGCCAATGATCTAACCACTCCTTATAAGGCCTGTCTGGTGCCAGTTATTCTGAGCTGGAGGATGAGAACACACACACACACACACACACACACACACACACACACCCCTTATTGACTACTCTGTGCTCAGGCAGAGGGAATGACAGGAGGGGAGTGGGCATCAGCTCTAGAGAGGAAAAGATAAATCTGAAGAGACAGTGAGATGGAGGAAATGAAAAAGACAAAGAAAGCCACTAAAGAAGATTGATAACTGTTTTACTTCATGCATCTTCCCTCTGCACAAAAAATTTGGTAATGAAAACTGTGATCTAGGTCTGATCGTAGGACATATCTGCTGCATCGTGGTGGTGAAGTGGTCCAAGTCCCTGTAAGCGAAGGCCAGCACTCCACTAACCCGCTAAACACAGACTGCTTTGTGGTTGCTTTCATCCCCCTCAGCCTCCCTGACTGATTCCTCCGCTGCTCCCTCCCTCCCCCAGTCCCTTCTCCCAATTTATTTCCCCTTTTTTCCCCTCTGTAGCTCTGCTGCTTTGTTTATGTTCAAAGGCTGGGCAGACCTACGTGTGTCTGACGGGAAGGGAAGCAGGACAAAAGTAAAGCAGAGGTTAAAGATGGTGAAGTCAGAGGAAGAGAAGGCAGGTGTGAGGGGGGAGCAGTATGCGAGACAGACCATGTCTGGAGAACAATTGCCCCACTGTGGGCTGCCCGTCCCAGCTCAGCCATTCTACTCAACACTGCTTCACGTGAGCGCTGCCAGCAGGCACCTCATGCCTGGGCTATAAGTGGGGGGAGGTCTCTGGAGTATTTGGGTACTTTCCCTACTGCAGGAATAGAGGGAGCATGAAATTCAGGAAATGGGACTAGGGAGCTGGGGAGAAAAGGGTGTTGATTCAAAAAGTATGGTCTAAAAAGCCTAACATTTTGCTTCTCAGTCTGGCTGGCTGTGTCACAAACACTCTCCTCTCCTCCTTAGAACATTCTGTCCATTTTTCCAGCTGCTGCTGCCTGGGTCGTCTGGTGTCCAGCTGGCAAGTGAAGGGCAGCTGTGTGCAGCGGTTTAACACACTTACTCAAAGAACGACGTACACACTTTTACATGCTGTCAATGCATGCAGGAAAAACAAAAATCTCGTAACACTGTCTCGCGCTCATTGCTCACTCTTTTACTGGTAAATGAAACTGTGAGTCCCGAATATCTTGAAGTCATAAACTGTAGGTTAAAACCAGTGTCTCAGGCCCACAGTACTTCTGGGGTGTGACTACAACAAGGACAAAAGCTTATTATTTGAATTAAGCATAATTTCAATAAAAATAGAAATAAGTAACTATATTTTATTTATTTTACACTCCAAATACTCATAAAATAACTCAAAATCAAATCCAAAAGTCAAGCTTGAATTTCTTCCAGACTTGTTTTTACACACACAAAAACTGAATGGCAATGTCAGGAATTAGAAAAACCTGGTAAAAATCTTGGCAGCAACTTGAAGCAATTGATTTGAGTGAACAATGGCATAGTGGGGCCTGCTTCTACTTCTCTTGTCTTGTTTTGTTTCTGAAAGTGTAAGATGCATCTTCCGCACACTGCTGAAATCTACCGTTATGTCAATTTGAACAAACGTGTCTGCCAATTAAATGCATGCACCTATCATCAGCACTGACTTCTTGTCAATCGTCACTA